TCTTTATCGCCTGGCAGCTTCACTTGAATGATTTCAAACTGGTCCTCGGAGTTTTCAGGGACAATTGCGACCAAGCGCTTACAAGGACAAACTGCAAAACTTAGAACTTATCTTTCCTCTACAATTTCATTACGGAGATCACCAGATATAACGTTGTGTAATCGAAGAAAAAAGCCTTTTGAATCATCCAAGCCTACAATGTAGTCCTCGTTACTGATAAACTCAATATTATGTACATCCATGCTCTCCGATTGAAAAATCACTTTTCCCGAAACTGCGTCGAGGACGCAAGAGCCAAATCCATCGGAAATGACGAAATATTCTTCAGTAGGAGAAAAAATAACAGTTACGTCAATTCTAGGTGGATGTAACTGAAACGTAATTTCCTATAGCACTCTCTACACTACAAAAATTGTCCGCGATTTGAATTTAAAAACGTTTCTGATCCCGCTTCAATTGAGCATTTCTTGGTCTCCAGTGTGGTTTTGCAATTCAAGAAACTATGGCAGATGCTCGTTCTTCTGCTTTCTCTATTTTAATCAAAAATGGAGGAAGTAAAATTAAGGCCATGAACCACCCTGAACAATGGACGCACTTTCACACACGACTGCAATGAGTTCAACCATTCCTTTTTTCAGACTTTTTTTTCAGTTAAATACCAGAAATTTCATGTTCTCCAAATGCAATATCAAAAAAAACATTATCAAAAACATTGTCGCGGAAAAGTGGTACTGACCAGATGTACCCGTCTATGACCCAAGCTTAGCTAGGCTACCGGAGATCAACGCCGAAAGCGGTTTATACGGCATGCGGAACTAGACGGTTCCTGTGAAAATGATCACCAACTGATGAAAATGACGGTGAAAATACGGTCATATTCATGCAACTTGACATAGTGCATGCAATTCTTCGTAAACTGACCTCATTGACGAGAACGGATCTTTCGCTGTTCAGCCGAAAACAACGGTAAACCACAGGAACTTATCAAGATAAGCTCATCTTGCAGATGAGCAATATCAGAAATATTATTGAACCCCATGGCGTGTACCTGTGGGAGTCTGGAACGGGCTTACTTGGTATCGTCACGAAACGTTGCGTGACGAGACCAAAGTACACAATGAAAATATAGAACACTTATTAATTTAAGCAACTTTCCACACTTAAGGGATTGTGGAATGACAAGGTGATTACTTGAGCTGGTCTAGCAGAAAAGTGAAATAAGCAACAATTTACCAGCCTTGGGCTCAGCGAGAAATCGATACTGCAACCTTGAGATCTCGAGTAAACAATCACTTTTGCGTGTATTTTCTTCTCGTGGCCATTACAGCTTGCTGGTACGTATATGTATTCACTTTGCTGCAAACATTTAACCTCGTTTCACACGAAGTAACAACAGCACAGCCTTAAAAATTTTAGCTTAAGTAAAAATTGGCAACACTGAAAGAGCCGCGCCCTCCTTTTTACGTATTTGTTAATATTCCTCTTCAGTGTTGGAGATGGGAATGATGGAGGGAAAACACTTCCGACTTTGTGGAACATATTCCTGGAATAAAGAGGCTCCCATGTAACTTTAAATTAGATTGTTTGGATTACTAAATATGTTGGTCTATGACAGGGGATATGCGAACCTATGTAATGCATTTTATAAACGTTGAAAACCAAATGGTTGTTTTTAGCAGGCAGCTTCAAGTACAAGATTAAATAACTTTAACCCCGAAGACCGATTGGAATCTAATTTCTCCTTAACCCTTTACCCCCTAACATCAGTCTGCATATTCTTCATACTGTTCTCTATACATTTCCTGAAGCGCTGTCAAGGAGTATTTGTTAAAAAGTCAACAGCTTCATCAGTTGGTGATCATTTCCTTGATTCTCGTAACCTTAATGTTTGATTCAAGGGTGATATTGTAAGAAGAAATTAGAAGCTGGTCACTCTGGAGGGTTAAAAGGTTAAAAGAATCGCCCCTTATCCAAGAGGAAAGGAGATGATCACCAACTAAAAAAGCTCTTGATTGTTAAACAAATTCTCCTCGTCAGTACCTCAGGAAATGAATGGTGAACGTTATGGAGAATACAGATCAGGCTCTTACTTGATGTAGAAGACACAGATGACGTAGAACAGTAGAGAAAAAAAGGAAAAAAACCTAAAAGAACAAGGAGACAAGTAAAAGCAATAGGTTGATAATGCCATGTTCTACTGTGACGTGTTCTGTTTCTTTTATACCATGAAGGAGCAGAATTTCACGGGGTGATTCAAATTAGGAATGGGTGAGGATTTTTCCACTCTTAATTTATGAGGTTTCCTGAGATAAAGGCGGTTTGACTAGTGTATTTCACTACATATGCTTTGCGTATGTTCGTTTGCTTTTTAATTTTTTTTCCTCATCTATAGTTGTAAGGAAATTAGAGAGGGAGATGTCATGATCCAGAAGGTGTCTAAAGGAGTTCCCCTTTTGGTTAAAACTCAAAAATAGAGCAGCCTAGTAAACAATTTTTCTAAAGTCTTACCCCCCCCCCCCCCCCCCAAATCAGGCTGTTTGGGCCCAGCGTACCCGTTTGGGTGGAGTGGAAAACGGTCACCACGTTTCAGCCTCTCGTCACCCTGGTGTGGTTGACTATGCAACAATGCTCTGACTCACAGGGGCACCTTGCCAAATGACTACTAACAGCCACCTACTGGAGGTTAGGGCTATGCCCACAGAATTTCACATCAACTGGACATTGATCATGAATCCTTCTCAGCTTTAATTTTATTTTAGAACTAGTTCACTTTGTGTGACTACAGCCCCCCTACCCGATAAAAGAAAGTATTGTCAAAAATTTCAAAAACATACGAAAACTAATTTGTATGCAAAAATCAGCGTATTGAATATCCTTCTTTTTTCTAGAAAATCATGTAAGAGAAACAATTTCTGCACGGTTATTCTGGTTCTATCTTCAACCAGGCCGGTACAGGCTATGTACACATAAAATGGATATAAATTAAGCTGGTTTCTTATTTACACACAGGTGAAAGTGCCTCTTTCACAAGAAAAATACGAGAGAATCACCATTGGTACCACAAGCTATTCTCTCTTCTTCTCTAACAGTCTAAAGCTGTACAAGTAATTTTGCAGAAAATGAAGTTCACGCCTTTCTGAGAACTGTACAATTTGTCAATACCTTTTTCGTTTTCCTCGAGAAATTAATCTCACGATTTAAACGAGTTTCAAATCAACTCTAAATGAAATACTTATAATACTCCGCATCCATAAACCAAATTGTTAGCTTGTAGCTGGGTGATGAAACACCACAGGAGTAATAAGATAGATCGTTAACCCTTTAACTCCCAGATCAAATTTGTAATTCTCCTTACAGTCAAACATAAAATTTTTAAAAAGTTAGTTCAGGGAATTTAGTATTGGATCAACAAATTATCCCCAAATTGAGATTTTTCTTTATTCTCATAACTTATCTGGTTGATGTTCTATTGATTTTGTAAGGAGAAATTCTGTCTTAGTCAATCATGGGAGTTACAGGGTTAAATGTTTGTCTTAAGTTTACGCTGGGAACAGTTAAAAATGTTTATGAAGTCTCTACAAGAAAAATGTAATTTAAAACCTTGATCAGCTTTGTCACTGAAATCATTCTTGTACTCGCTCCCATCTCGATCAGCGGTCTCTCCTGTTCAGATGTCGGGACTAGAAGATCGTAACCACTCGAATGCAAAGACGTCAGCGGAATAAAGCCTTTCTGACAATGTCTTTCCCATTCAGCAACGAAACTGTAAATCTCTGTAGATGTCCTACTCTGGGAGGTTCAACCTAAGGTAAAAATTCAGTAATAGAAGTTAAGTCAAAGGCAACATCTCCAGTAATAGAGTATTTTTTAGTAAATTAACTAGTGATCAGTAGTTATTTTTCACAAATCATTCTGTACAGTTCTAACCGGACAGTTGTCTGTAATCGGACACCTGAGATCGGATAGTTGAAGCGTCCAATCATACTGAGTCCTTTCCGCCAAATCCACCAATCACAGAATTGATCACAACAACCATAGCAACAACCACTATCACTAAAAAAAACTGTGGAATTTCCAAAATTGAGAAATTTTTCTTTTTAGAAATTGTCTCTACCAGAGATATTTGTCCTCAATATGTTTGTTGTCTTCGGAAATTGTAACGGTTAAGATAAATTGATATAGGACTTTGTGTCGTCCAATTGTGTCTATAATCACACTCGTGATGGACAAATCGGACTTTGCGGTCGTCCGATTTTGCTAATCTCTCGTATGATTACAGACCGAAGTGGACTCCACTCTGTTCTATTATCATTATTTATCATTAATATCATCATAGTTATAATAATCATCATAACTTTTCTTACTACCACTGTTATCGTTATTATTACATGTACAATCATCATTATTGTTATCATTATCACGTTATTATTAAGTATCATTATTGTTATTCTTACTACTATCAATACTATTAACATTATATTATTATCCACATTATTCTTTTTCTGTCTTCAAATAAACTTTGTTTCAACTGACCTTTCGATGTTTGTCTTTTCTTTGTCACCTGGCAGCTTCGCTTGAATGATTTCAAAATGGTCCTTGGAGTGTTTATAGCCAATTGCGACTAAGCGCTTACGAGGACAAACTGCAAGACTTACAAATAGTCGTTCCTCTACAATTTCACTGAGGAGATCACCAGTTTTAACGTTGTATAATCGAAGACACAAAGCTCTTAGATCATTCAAGCCTACAACGCAGTCCTCGTTACTGATAAACTTAATATCATCTACATCCATGTTCTCCAATTGACGAATCACTTTTCCCGAAACTGCGTCAAGGACGTAAGAGCCAAGTATACCATAAGTGACGACGTTTTCTTCAGTAGGAGAAAAAATAGCACTTGGAAGGCTAAATGGATGAAACTTAATAGAAGTTTCCCATAGCACTCGGTTTTCACGCCACAGCTGCAGTGAGTTACAATCAGTGGTGGTTAGCACTTCCCATTTATTATTACATGCCAAAAATTCACCTTCAAAATTTCCAATCTTTGACACAATTTGTTCACTCGTTGTATCTAGAATGACGACTTCCTGTCTGCGATCAAAGTTATTCCTCGTTTCCAAGACGACTCGTTCCTCTGATAAGGGTACAACATCATCGACAGGAAACTCAGTCCAGCTTTTCATGCAAACAGACAACTCAGGGTTCCACAACTCAAGCGAGCCACTAACTGTTCGAAATAGGACACCTCTTTTGACGGGCACAACACTTAAAGCTCTGATCCTTTTACTTAAAACATCGCCAGCCACAATATTTATTCGCTGGATCCTTGTACCTTCCACGGTATAAAGAGAGTCACCATCAACAGAGAAATGAACGTCAAAACTTGTTTGAAAGCGATCATATCCAACAAAACCGTTTTCCTCCATGTCCTCAACTAGAGGTTCCTGTTGTTCCTGATCATCTAGGAAAGAGAGAACAGAATAAAGATCTAGGCAATTAAGTATTATCAACTGCGTTGATAACGTAAATTGGCCACCATAAAGAGTTTAATAGCGATGGCCAGTTTACGTTATCAACTCAATTGGTAATACTAAATTACCCTGTTATACTCTCCCTCCGACACAGCACCACAGTTTCTTTGGAAACTTACCCCCTTTACAATAAGGATCAGCTCCATTCCCTAATAAGCTGCATGGATCAGTTTCCAATCGTTCTGACAGTTCATCGAGTTTGAGCCTGTTTTCTGGTGGGTCATTAAATTCCGTTCGTTCTCCCACAAAGTCATCAAGTTCATCTCTCTTTTCCGTAGAGTTGTTACGTTCCATTGTCTGTTCAACTAGGCCACCGAGTTCAGCTCTCTGTTCTGATGGATCAGCAACTTCAGCTCTCTGTCCTGACAGAACATCGATTTCAGCTTTCTGTTCCAGCATATGGTTGATTTCTGGTAGGTTATGTTCCGTTAGATCGTTATTTTCGGTTCTCTCTGTCGTAATGTCACCGGGTTCTATGCTTAGTCCCGCTTCATCGTTACTCTCAACTCTCCACTCCCTTACGTCGTTAAGGCGACACATTTCAATCACTTCACTGCCAGGGCAAACTCTTAGTAACATCTGCTTTTCTAGTACAAGTGCAAAATCCACAGATGATAATATTCCTCCAGATGGATACCAAAAGGGATCTCCTGATAGGAAACCACTCTCATTGCAAGTCTCAAATTCCGAGGCGTACTGGTAGGAACTCGTCCCAAAAATGCAATCCAAACTATACATTGACTTAGTGTTCCTGTCAATATCTAAACAAAAAAGCTTGGGCTCCGGAAACCAAACATGTTCAATCTCCGGAAGTAAACAGAAAAAAAACCGGCAGTCAGGAGTCAACTTAACATATCGTGACCAGACTGAAGCACATATTAGAGTCTCAACTCCATCATTCATGTCAACGAGGTATGCGCACTTGTCAGAATCGACGATCACCATCCGTCTTCCGCTAGCAGTCCAAGCAAAAGATAAAATTTCGCATTTGTGTGTAAAACGATTAATTTCGCTTCCATCTTTTAGACTCCACTGAATGACGCAATTCCTCCCGTCCAGACAGTCAGTCAGCATCGTGCTTTTGTCACCAGATATTGAACAAACTTTGAACCGGCACTCGCTCGAACGGAAAAGAGGTTTCACGTCTCCGAACAAGGTATAACCCTGACACAGAGTCCCTTGAAAGATCAGGTCTAAGGTTGGATGGAAAACTACTGACCGGAAAAATGGTAAACGGAAACTAAATCCTTTCGTTCGGTGCCGCCAAAATGTAGTGTCTAATACCAGCTTAGAGCGTGTCCACATTAGCTGGCCAGTACGGAGCGACCACAGATGAATTGTGTCATTCGAACACTTGCATACCAGGTAGTCCTGATTTGGTGAGACATCAAAGCAGATCACCTCATCTGAGGCAAAAAACCGCAGTAAAACATCTGTTCTTTCCTCCTTCTTTCGCAAATATTCCATGTATGGTAAGTCCGCATACTTGGTGTTTAGCAATCTTAATGCCTCCGCAGACAGTTCACGTCCTCCTTCATTCAACAAGATTTGAAAGATGGCATAAGGAAGTTTTGAAAGAGTACTTAAATGCTTCCGCAACAGCAACAATAACGTCTCAAGGACTTCCCTGCAATTCTTTGACAAACCATTTGTATTTTCCTTCTCTTGTACGCAAAGAACATCTTCAGTAGCTGCTGTACTCTTCACAGTTAGCTTTGCATAGACCAATTCTAGGTCCAAAACATAATTCTTTACAATGTCGTCCAGGCTACACGGACGAGCATTCTCTTCTACCTCAAGTATATGCTGAACACCATGCTGCAAGGCATACCTCGACGTCTGTTTCAGTGTTGAACTTTGGATCCCTTTAAGTTTCAATTCATCTAGTTCATCTCTGCAAAGCTTTGCAATGACGCGATGACATTCTTTTCCGCTAACAATAAACTTCTTTTGCCTCGAAGTAGACTCCTCAACCAACCAGTCCTTGACTGACTTGTGAAAGAAGTTAATGCACTCGCCCTCAATGGGTAGAAGAGCCGAGATACAATCAACTGCGTCTCGTACTTTTTGCTCATCAGTCGATGACCATTCTTTTGAAAGGAACAACTTGTAGACAAACTCGACAGGTAATGGTTCTCTTGCTGCCACCATGGCATTTAAAAAATCGAAGAATTGCTCTTCGGTGATTCCTAGTTCTTTCTGCATTTCATTTTTCAGGCGTTTGAAGTAGTCTTGATAAACGGACGAAATACCTGATGGCAAGTCGCTGTTGATCACTTCAGCAGCACTCATACGCACAGCATTCTTCTTAATGAACTCTGTCAGGTAATAGGTATATAACATGACTCCTTCTGACTTTTCAACAAGCTTCTCTAATATGGTATCTTGGCAATCAGATTGCAGAACATGTTCCAGTTGCTCTTGAAAGCAAAGCCTAACATCCATCAAGTTTTCTTGATCGTTTGGGTTCAGCTTTATGGGATTTAAGTCTTGAATCTTCTCTAAGATGTTCATTTCAGGTCGCGTTGTTACCACAAATCGTATCCAACACGGAAGCGTCTTAAAGTAATCCGCAATCACATTTAAAAGCTCATTACGCCCCTGGTATTCACTTTCGTCTAAGCCATCTATAACCATGAGATGGACAGAGTCTGGATCTTTCAAATCTGAAAGAGGTTCTTTAAACAAGAATTCAAACAGTTCTTCCACTTCCATGTCTCCAATTTCAACGCCCACATTTCTCGACAACTTCTTCACGATAGCCTTCCTGTACTCTGGAAGCGAGTCTGAAAGTTGACAGGCTAAGGACTGCAACATCACTTTGGGATTCCTTCGGCGTGCCTGGTTATGCCGACAGAAGTGGCTCCCCGACAATCTTCCAGCCTCTAACATCTTTCGGCACAAGACAGCTGAGATTACAGACTTTCCCATCCCCGCATTTCCACTAATAACAATCACTCTATTTGGAGAACTTTTGTCGTCTAACCATCTCTCAACTGCTGCAATGATCGATAACCGAGTTCCCTCAACATATCTGCTTGCATGGCTTCTAATTTCACTTAAATTATCCACGTTTGCTAGTTTCGCAAGGACTTCGTCATCTCTGATGCTCTCCTTCTCGTTATTCAAAATTTGAATGGTGTGCTGGGATACCTCCTCCAAAGTTTGAAGCTTCTCACAGACTTTTCCAAAGTTATCTTGAATGGCTCTAGTGTCTTGCTGTTGGCTCTGATGCACAATACTGACAGATTCTTGCAAGTTCCTCTGCAACTGATGAACTTGTACCAGCTTTGCTTTATTTTCATCAATAGTTTGCAACACTTTGGTCTCTGTATCCCGTATGTCCTTCAGCTGTGATTTTATATCTTTCTCAGAATCAGCCCACTCAAGCAACGCATCTAAGAACTCTTGCTCTCCACAATGTTCAGCCTTCAATCTATCAATTTCTGCCTGCCGCAATCCAAGAGCAACAAGGACAACTCTGATCTCATGCCACAGAATTGAGAAAGTTGGATCAGCAATACCAGTTGTGGTAACATGGCCATACAATTCATTGCGGTAAAACTTTATGCGAGCAAGATTTGCTTTAAGGGTGTTGTCACTTGGAGGTGGTTTAGTGTGCCACCCAGAGCGGGGTGGGAAGAGACCACAAATATTGGTTAAGAGAAGGAATAAAAGAGTGATATCAAATGTTTGGGAGTCTGGAGGAGCACCGCTTGGAGGAAACAATAGATCCCATTGAGGTTTGTGTAGAATCTTTCTTTTCAACAGCTTTTTAAGACTCAAATAGTTTGCATTCAACGCGGCTGAAAGACTTGCTGGGGGATGATATCCATTGAAAATGCTCCTGAGAACTGTTGTTCCACCATCGATGAGAAGTCGGCTGAGCTTGGCTCCATTTGTCTTCTCTACAGAACTGGCAAGAGGTGAAGGAGTAGCTGATGCCATATGATCCAAAATACAAAGATGAAGTCATCAGGTGTACCCGCTCGTTTTCTGAAAGAAACATTACAATTGGGTAATTGCTTCTCTTAGACATGTACTGGAAAGAGGAGCAAGACCTCTCCACTCTACTAATCAGTTTGACTCCTTCAACACTATTTAACCCTTTACACCCAAGTGTCATAACGCATATTCTCCATACTTTCTTTACACATTTCCTAAGGTGCTGACGAGGAGATTTTGTTTAATGATCAAAAGCTTTTCTTTAATTAATAATCATTTCCTTCATTCTCATGACCCTAATGCGTGATCCAGGGATGATATTGTAAGGAGAAGTTAGATGCTGGTCACTCTTTGGGTTCAAAGGGTTAAAGAAACCTGTCATCTTTAGAGTATCAGGGATTGTTTTTGTGCTCTGAAGGAATAATATACCTATATAATCGTGTCTCTATAGAAGTTTATTGACTAAAATATTATAAACTTCTCATCAAATCTGTGCTGTATATATAATGATAATTACAAATTACAATACTCCAGGTATCTTCAGTTCATACTCATAGGATAATAATAATTATTATTTGACAGCCTTATGGTTACCTGAGCTCCCCCACACACCATTTGCAATCCTTTGGTATCAGACAATCAACTGATTGGTCAGACAAGGAGCCAGCTGAAGGAATAAAGTCTTTGGGATCAGAGATTCCTGAAAAAAAAATCAAATCACATAACAATTTATAAGAAAGTTATTTATAGTATTTCACTGCTGAACCACTCAAAATGTTAACTGAAGGCTTTGTAATGACACCAGATTCACTGTTCAATAGAACACAGGAATGAAAATGATAAAAAAATTTAATTCAAAATTTAATGCAGTTAAATACTGACAACAATTTTCAAAATTTTGCTTGTCAGAGTTTTCACTTTAGGGAAATAATTTAACATATGACTGATATATGGATCATAATTTGCCACAAGATTTTTATCCAAGACCTAAACAACATTGTGTTTAATTCTAATATACAATAAATTCATATCATTTTAATACTGAGTTCCCTTAGCATTAGTTTACACCAGCAATAGAAGCATTACAAGCCAATTCTAGAGCAGGGTCTTAAGTTAAAAGAGGAAAGAAGTTTTTAGAAAGTATGTTATAATACCTCATCAAAACTACTGCCACTATATGCACTAGAAGGGCATGGAAGCCTAAATCTCTCTTGTTATCTACCAACAGGAAACTCCAAAGAGCTAATGCTGGGTCAGAAGAGGTACCCACTACTTTTGACTGCTCATAAGCCACAATGACATTTTCCTTACAAAATAACCACATTACATGTAACAAGATGCACACAAAGTGAGTGAACATTTTCTTACTGTTGGTTATGTATACATTCTTTATTGTGACCTTGACAGCATAACCCAAGCAAGAGCAACATATCTTACGATATGAAACTCATGAAAATTTCTTATGCAATACTTTCAAAGGAAAAATTACTATGTTTTACCTTTTTCTGGCATATTTAATAAGCAAACATTATATTGCAATGTATTGTGCTCATCACAATTAATTCAGACCTGGCCAATTTTTTATTTTCAGAACTTTTAACCCTTTACACCCTAACATCAGTATGTATGTTCTCCTTACAGTTATCTAAATATTTCCTAAGGTGCTGACAAGGAGAATTTGCTTAACAATCAAGAGCTTCTACAGTTGGTGATTACCTCTTTTATCCTTATAACCTTCATGTTTGATTCACAGGTGATATTGTGGGGGAGAAATTTGATGCTGAACACAACTGGGAGTTAAAATGTTAAATGTATTCCACTTTTTCTTAATTTTTTACTTTCATTCTGTGACACTTTTTTGAGGTTGTGGAACACTTGTAACATGAGCCTCTCTGCAATAATAAGTTGGTTAGTTAAAGCCCTCTCATGTTGGAATTATTGCAGTTATTCAGCTGTAAGAAGTTTCCAGCTATATTAAGAACCCATGTAACTTGAAGAATTGACAATGTCTACAAGTCAGTTAAAAGACCCATAAATAGTCTTTTGATTCACACATGCACAGTAAGACGGAAAATTCTGTCAACAGACTTAGAGTAAAGCAAAAAATCAATTAAAATCATAAACAAACACTGTGAAAAGGCTGCACCAAAATACTTTGCTATAATTGCAGGTATGGAGGAGGCAACTGAAAAGACAGTGAAGTGTCAAAACTGAAAAATGAAAAACAAAACTTTTCCTTTTCCAGGTACATATAGGGTAGACCACTAAACTGTAGCTTAAATTGCAGCTCTCAGAGCATTGATTGTTATAAGATTGTCACCTCAACTGAAACAGTACAAAGAAAAAAAGTTCCAAAAGTTGCAAGGGTGGTAAATCAAGTCTGATGTTGAAGATCAAGGGCCAAAATTTAATGCTTTGAATGTGCAGATCTTTCAATGACCTTTTGGTTGTGAAAATTTCAGAAAATATGATTCAATATTAGGCATGTGCTGGCATCTTGTGCCATATGGCACTCAGTAGCATAAAAGGATTAAAATGTTTCCTCAAGCCAGAAGGTGGAGCATTGAAGCATAAAATGCAAAGAACTGGGGTCTAATTCAAAGTATTTGGACACTGGCTTCAATAAAATGCAGGGCATGACATACATGGGCAACTAGTTACACCTTAGGTATTTTGGGTCAAATTTTAGCACACAGTTGTGAAGCTAAACTCTTATTGAACCAGATATCTGTGGCATGAAAACGCTTCCAGGATTTAAGTTTTTAATGACTGTCTACATCATAGAATTAAAAGTGTTTTGCTTTACCACCAAACCAATATCCTCTTAATATCTTAATGTAGAAATCATTTTAGGAAGCACACAACCCTTGCAAAATGGCTTTTGGAATTCCTAGGAATTCCTAGGATTTTCCTAGGAACTCCTAGGAATAAAGGTGTGAATTTTCACCGTAAATTCGGACTGGGAATTCCCAACCATAAAAACCTAGAAATTCCTAAAAATTCTCAGAAATTCCCAGAAATTCCCAGAAATTCCAAGTTTATAGCCAACAGGACTTGGAATTCCTAGAAATTCCTAGGAATTCCAACTCAGAGAACCAATGACTTTCCCTGAAAAGCTGTAAATCTAAAAAATTCCTAGGAATTTCTGGGAATTTCTGGGAATTTTTGGGAATTTTCAGGAATGTTTAAGAATTACTGGGAATTTTAAGCAAAAATTTGAGGCTAATGATATAAAATAAATACTTTAAATTAAAAAAACCCAGCTAAAATTCAAGTATTCAATGAAATTTATTTAGAAGCTTAATTAAGGCTTACATGTAAAATATTTTTGATTAATTATTAACATCAATGTGTGGTAATATCAGGATGGAATTTGATTTATTTTTCTTTTCTTGAAAACTTCATACAGATTAATCCTCAATTACAGCTATTCATATAAAATAGTTCTAATCAATCATTAAATTTGGTTTGACACAAATTGTGAATAAAATCTGTTGATTCTTTTCCATAAAATACAATATCTTAAGTTATATTTGTATAGTTATATTCTTAGGAGTGAAGGGGCTAATTACAGACAAATAAAATTGATTTTTTGATTAAAATCTTGTTGTAACTGTAATAATAAACTAGAATGAAGTTATCCTAAACTGCAAACTTAGCTGCTGTTTGTACTGTTTGTATTTTTTTTCCTGGGCTCACAATGAGTTGGCCTTGAATGAGGTTGTCAACAAGAACCTTGACCATTTTGTATCTGGATTCCTTGACATCTGAATTTGAAAAAAAATAATAATTATATTAAAATATGTATGTTTAAAGCTCGGACCAGGCTTTTAAGATGGCTATGAGGAAAAGGGCATTCGTTGGATTCTCAAATTGAGAAATCTCTGTTATATTGAGTGACTTTTATATTGGAGTTAGTACATCTCTCTCATGGATTTTACTAAAAAAGGGCTGAATACATTATTTTGTTTTTACCAAGGAGGGCTTCTTTATGAACTAAGGTTTGTTATGAATCTTGAATGTTCCCAAACGTGACTAGAGGAATCTTGAAACCTTACTGCTAGGTTTATTTCATTTTAAAGCATAAGCTTAAGAAACTGCGGCATGCAAGTGACTGATTCGATTCTCAGAATTATTCTAGTTTCAGTTGCGCCGAGCGTTATGTAAGCTTAATTCAACCCGCTACATCTATTCTTTTATAAGATTTTGATCACGTAACGAATATCGCAATTTTTACTCACCACAAACTTTCAAAATCGTAGCTTTACAGATGGCCACTCGACCCTTGTTTGTACCAGTCCATATGTCAACTGTTGTCCCTTCTTTTAACTCCACGGCGCCAACGACTTTCTTCTCTTTTACAACACTCGCGCTATTCTCGTTTTCCCATTGAACCACAATAAAAGCTATCTTTATAAATGTTATATTAAGCAAAACAGTTGAGAAAAGCGATCAACCGATGAAAAGTACATTCAAAGATGAGCGCCAAATGGAGTCTTCTTTGTTTCCGATCACGGGCATGATCTTTTAGGACTTGTCATTGGCTAGCAAAGTGAATCCGCTGGGTTGCCGATTGCAGTGTTAAGAGAAGCGCCCAACTTTATTCTGACTTCTCCGACTGGTTCTCTGCTTCTAGAAGATGGATAGCTTGCTGATATAAATAAAGATGTGAGCTCACTCTATGTAGAAATAATCGACAAGAATCGATCGTATTACAAATGCACGATTTGCGGCCGAAATTTGTCAAGGAAACAAAGATTCAAAACTCACTTGAGTTGTGTTAATGGCAAAGGTGAGAAATAACACAAGCCAATCACAGTTTTGAATGCGACGACAAATCGTCTTTTACCCTCATATTTATAAAAGAAGGATACTACATTCAGAAGTATAAGAGATACATAGATGATCCCAGTGTACCAGTACCTAAATCTACAAAGCTTGACCGTAGCAAGCGTTCAGCAACACGTTCCAACACCGCCATCTCGATTCCTCAGTCAGTCGTTTCCACTGAACTTAAAGCAGTATTGACAACAGAGTAGAGTGCGTCTTACAAAGGAGAAACATTTGTACAAGAGAGAGGAGTAGCTATATGCGATTACAGAGGTGCGTTGGAACTCTGGTCCACAAATAGTTATGCACTGCCCGAAGTATAAAACAATTTTGTTGATAGCTGACAGACAGACAGACAGAGAAGAACAACAAGTAAACTTAAGAGCTGTTATTATTGAAATGTGACTAGCACTTTTCATTTTTATATAAAGAAGGACTCGTAATTTGCACCAAAAATAAAAAGATGTAATATTTTTTTGGGAGATCCAGTGATTGGGACATTTAAGAAATTAAGTTATGAAAGGAAACTTGGTTGGTACTTCTCACTACTAACAAGTCTTGTTGACAAATATTTTCAGATCAGAGTTTCAAATAAAGTAAATTGAAGACGTCATATAAAAGGTGTTTTTCCTCAAAGGGAACATTGACAACCTCTGTCTTGTCTGTATGCCAAATGTTTGCAAAGTGTGTGGATGATCCACAAGTATTGGAACTCTTACAAAAATGTTTTGTAAGAATAAAAACAGCAAAACAAATTACAGCAATTAGTCATGAAAATAGAGCAAAAAACTGAAAAAAAAAAAAAAGCAGCAACAACAATCATGAAAAAAAAATAAAGATTAATTAGGTGTTGAATCTGTTTGTCTAAGGCATGAAATTTCTACTAAAAGTATTGTCAACAAAAAGTCTCTGACAGCGTTTGAGGCAACTGAGCTTGACTGTTCCAAGGTTTTCTAACAAAGGCAACCAGTAATGTAGGTTAGGGAAGTAAGATAACAATGTAATTATTGTTAATTATTGTGGAAGTTGGCAATTTCCATTTAACATAACTGACAGCTGGTTCATGAGAAAATCCATATTAATGTAAAGATTTACTAAAACTTAGTTTGAGTAATAAATTTCATGATCGTTAAGTTATAAACATGTACATGTATGTATATCTCTTGGTAAGTTTTGTATAGCATACCTTTTATTGAGCCAAAGTTTTAAGCCTCTGAAATTACTCTTTTTCTTAAAACCTTCACATTCAAGGTATTGAGAATTTCTTAGAATTTGTGTGGACCTCAGGGTATTAAAATTGCCCCAAATTCAATTCCCAGAAATTCCCAAGAGTTACACACTTCTTAAATTATAGGTAGTTTGTAAAGCTGAGAATTCCTAGGAATTCCTAGGGATTCCAAGTCCTCACAAAACTGGAGTCTTCCTTTCCCAGAAATTCCCAGTAATTCCAAGCTTTTTAAATCAGAGTTAATTTGTATAGTTGGGAATTTTTGAGAATTCCTAGGAATTCCTAGGAATTCCCAGAAATTCCCAGAAAACTGGGAATTCAGTTTGCAAGGGTCATTTGCATAATTGGGAATTTTTGAGAATTCCTAGGAATTCCTAGGAATTCCCAGAAACTCCCAGAAAACTGGGAATTCAGTTCGCAAGGGAATGTAAATTATTGGAAATATAAATGCATGTGTATTTATGTTTATGTTGCTGCCACTCATACACACAAGTAGACACGGAACTTGAACAAACCAATCTTAAAAAGTTTAAACGCAAGCGGTATTGCCTGGGAGGGGAATGTTGAAGCTCTGAATTGATTACTGCATTAAAGAAAGCTAAACTTAATACATTACTGCTCAGAGAAATCTGTCCAATTCACTTTTCCCTGATACTTAAGTAATTAGTCTGTGGAACATTCACTACTGAAATTATCAAATTTTTCAAGATCTAGCAAACCCTAACCTAATGACAGGAATATTGAGTTTTATGCACTAGGCCGTTTCGCAGTTCTTCTTTGATTAATTAATTCCTTGCAACAAAGTAAATCAATCAAAACTCGTGGAAAGTTTAGAGAAAAAAAAACTTTACTTCTAATTTTTTATTTAAGAATGTCCAATTGAAATTGGTTTGCATGTTATCTACTCACTATCCTCTATAATGGAAAATGGCTATTTCATCTGGAAATCTAAAGCAGGTGATATGTAATGAAAGATCAAAACATGATGAAATCTACTTAAAACACGATAACAGGAATGTAAACCAAATCTGTTGGCTGCATGATATCAATTGGAAAGCGTGCCTGCGGAAAATTACTTCTGGAGGTGCTATAAAAGATTTGGATAGCTCACATCCACATTTTAAACGACACGATACCAATTAATTTGGTGTATTATTTACAATCGTACTCATTTGTATCATCAAAAACGATGCTTACTTTCAGTTCATGATTTAAAATGGAAGTAGGTGATTCAAAATGTTGTATAGCCAAACTATGATCCTGGTTTCTCTGATATTACCCTCAGTGCAAAGCGTATAAGCCATAATGACAAAACACTTATGTTTTTCACAATTAAGCACAAAAACTTTACCGAAAAATTGACTGCACTTCCATGATTCGAGCCACGAGACACGAACCACATATGTGGAAATCGAACGCGGAAACGTGCCTGATTCAGGTAAAAACCAGCTAAACTAACAAACATCTGGTTTTTTGTATTTCTGAAAATAGAGAGATCAGTCATAATTATATCCTTACTAACCTTGCTGGTGAGAAAAGGTCCAGTATTACCAAGAGAAACTATGGCAAACGTGGAACACGCCTCGTTGTAGGAAATGTGCTTAGAGAGGCAAAATGCAACTTCACTCGAGTCGAGTGGGGAGTACCAGAAGACTAGAAGTAGCGCGGGATCTGAAAAGCGAATATGGAGATATTGACTCTTGGAATTACAAAATAATATGCTGTCATGACAACATTTATTCTTGGTCTTAATCACTCACTGATTTCATAACAGATTCCTTTCATGAGTCATGCGATTCCTTCCGAGATGTATTTTCCATACGACGCAAAAATACTTCGCTGAAAGTCCCTTTCTTTTACTTTCCTTTCTTAAGCCGGTGAAGGTCGAAATAAAACGAAATCCTCCTAATCATAAACATTTTCTCAAAATTTTTGTTATTAAATAGAACAATTTTAACTCTGGTAAAAATTTGACACAACTTTGCGACGCGATGATCGATAACTTAGAAATGATGTCCTCAAGTCGAGCCAGTCGCTTTCCTTTCCTCTCTACACCTACCACAGATGACATCAAACGGCTCCATATACCGAATGATCTGCACAGTTGGTTAATGGTTAAGTCAAAACGAAATTTCCTTTCATGAATTTTTACTTAGCGACGAAGGAAATCGTAAGCGGAAGTGATTACAGATGTATTGCTTTCACGCCTAAAGCGTTTAAATAACAGGCTATTGAAGAGGAAAAAAATGAATGATAACGAGCTTATATTCCCACAAATGATGAAATAAGCGAAAAAAGTATTTCCAATCTAACCTTTTGGGAAAACAGATCGACAGCCTTCCAGCGATGCAGCCAGATATCGAGGAAACCAGCGCCCCAAAATCTAATCTGCTTCTCTTATCTCTAAATGAACTCTGGGATTTTGGGACTGACTATCATTGTCGGTAAATAAACAAGGATGAATTCCACCTGCAATCGTCACGCTGTTAAACGTGTTACGCGTGTGACGTCAGGCTTTCTGAACTAACCGAGACATATTTGAAGAAAGCAATTAAGTGCTTACAGGAACATAATGGCTCCTGGTACTAACTTATCTGCGTTTACATAGGCTTTTCTATGCACTCGAACGATCGGGAGAATTCCTAAAAGTTTAGCAAGCTCCCGACTGTGTCTCAGGTTTGCATGACTTGCTTGAATTCTTCTAAATCCTCTATGTAAACAACTGGAAAGTCCTTTATCGATCAATTATCGGTATCAGATAAGCCAAATTTAATAGCGTGCTAATTGGATTTTTAACGATCTTTCGGTTTAGAGAAAAGAATACTTGACTTCATTTTGACCTAATCTGTGACCTATTATGAAACAGATGCACAGCGAAATGAAATTGCAGCGTACACAACAAAATTCTTTGACACTCGACTTTCACGCAACCAATTTCCAGGACGGTTGAACGTCATAAAATTGAAAGTAAACCCTGTCTCGTCGTTTATCATTATCTAGAATCAAAGTGAACAGAAAAACATTGTGGGGGACCATATTTGTTGATCCAAACGAAAGATTGTTGGAATTGTTTTGATTAAGCAGTATAATCCTGCAAGAGGTCTTTGTGAAAGCCTGATCACTAGTTGAGAGCCGCGTGTGGTGACGTCAATTTTGATTCGCTGTTTAAACGAACGAGTGGCAAAGAGGTAGAGCCTGAAAACAAGCTACACTATCGTTTTACTATTTTACTTTTTTTGCCAACTGCAATCGGTGAAAATCCCTTTCAATCCTGCATGTCGTTTACCCTACTTCTTCGCTCTGAGCGAGGAGGGACGATAGACTCACTCCGCTACGAGGACCCACGAGGATTACGCGGTAGATTTAAGAAGATAACGATAGCCGCATATTAAACGCATCATCAGGTAATATATCAAGGTTAGTTTTCCTTGTATCCTGAGCGTTGAACAGCCTCGTTTTCTCATTATTACAAGACAAGGTGGAATTAGTACTCGCTGCTACGTAGAACGTAGCTTCGTCAAATTCCACACCGTCTCTGTAAGGTGTTTTCAAGCGTTTCAGAATAGTTTGAACCTGCAAAAGAACAGGAGAAGGAAATGTTAAATGTTATCCATCCCCAGAAATTAAGGACATTTCGAGCCCGCTAACAATTATCAGCGGTATATCGTATTACACTCCGGAACAATAGAATATCAAGAGAATTCAATATGGTGGCGATCACGGCTCGATCTGCAAAGAAGAGTGTTTCGTACCATGACTTATACAATTTGAGCACCGCAGATCCTCTATTTGATGAAAAGAAAAAGAAAAGAAGACCTGCAAGTAAATTTTTGGGATTTTTCGAGGCAGAGCGATGACATGATGTCAGAATTTTGATTTGCTTTAATTTAATTTTCGCGCTAAGACTACTAAATTTGCATTAAATGCCTGGTATATTTTTATTCCGAAAAGAACCTGAGAACTAATTTATTTCCCTGCAAGAACATAAACAAATATGGCCGACGATTCGAAGGTCAGCGTTGCTCGTGTTTAACTATTTCAGTCATAGTTTTCAACATGGCGTCTCGTCACTTACTCAACATGGAAAATAAGGGATATTCTGGCGCGTTGGGAAGTTTTTTGATGAGAGGAAATGGCAATTTTACAGGATATTTGGACGCTTCGAACTCTGTAGCAGTCAATTCGATCGAGAGCAATTGACTTTATTGATGCACTTTCCTGTAATAGGCGAGTGTTTGGGATGGAGAACGACGGATTTTGAAGAACTGTATGGCGACCTAGGTCAATGATCAGTGACAAAAGAACTGGCTCGGGAAGTAAGTGGTTTTTATTTATCGAGTCCCTGTGAGGTTTGATGAATAGCATAATCAGTACTGAATATGTCTCGATCGAGAGCAGACGGGACCATGAGCTCCTGATTGTTATATTTTAGAAATTTTCACAAATTTCCATACAGTTTCTTATATTATTTGGACGCCATAATGGACGAAATGCGCAAGCGCGGCCGCCATCTTGTCCAATATTTCTGCCGATGAGTGCATCTTAAACCACATACAAGTCAGTGCTTGCAAGTATTCCCTTCGGAAAGTTTCCCTTGCATCGTAGATGGAAAATTAGTACTAAAAGAATCCCTTTCCAAAAGATGACAAACGAGTCTCCGTGTTTAAATACGACAAAGGAAAATGTCAGGAAAAAATTTTTGTCTGTGTATATGACCCATTAGCTCTGACGAAGGGCTAACGCTCGAAACGTCGTCTTTGGAAACTCTTTGCGGTGGCCAATTTACGTTATCAACTCAGTAAATAATACCAAATTATCCAACAAGGACACTTCTCAAATAATTTTGCACAGAATCTCGGGAAAATTTTGCGCCGACGAGTTTCTTCTAACAAGCGTCTTTGACTCATGTGTATTCTCTTTGCCCGCCAAAGTAAAGAAAGGAATAAAACCAAATGACTTCCTATTTCCCTGTTGGTCATAATCTCTTTCGATCGTGCTGGATGAAAATAAAGGTAAAATTTTTGCACAGCCCTACACTATTGTAAAACAAATCTGTTTTTACAATAGCAATGTATTGTTTTTGTCATTGTTTTCTCTATCCAAGAACTGAATACATAATGTAGCATGGGGCTGTGGGGAAATTTTACCGAAATAAACCTGCAAATAAGTATGCAACGGTTTTCAAGATTAAAAATGTTTGACGGGTTCTACTGGTTTCACTGCTCTTACCAAAGAAAAGTCTCCATTTTCTGCGGCCTCTATAGCTCTTTGGGCGATGTAATTTCTAAGAACAAACCTGCGAAGAAAATATTTGCACAACGATATATAAAAAAAAACTTGGAGATATGAACAGAAATAAAACTCGTCAATGTCAGAATTCGTTTTGCTTTAGCGAATAAATTCCAAACGATGTAAAGAACCGGTAGCTTTATGCTCAGGGCGATGAAATTCAGTGAGTCAGGGCTCAAGTGCTGGCCGTGTCAATGTGTTTTGGTCATAAGCTGGACATATAGTTCTGGTGGTAACTATCTCTGGAAGGTAAGTTACCCGGGAAACGTAACGAAAAGTAGAGGAGGGGAGGGGAAGGGGGGGTGTGTGGGGAGGGAGAGTAACCCTGATTGGCAATACTCCGAGGGGATTTCTCGCCAAAGAAACAGGAATGAGCTCCGACGGCAGTGCGAGGCAATCTCACAAGCACACTTCACTTGATGCCTCGATAATTCCAAAAAAACAAGGTGTTGGTTACAGTGAAGTCATTTTCGTCAGTGTATTTGTCAATTTTGATCTCTAGTCGCGTATTGATTCTCATTGGAGAGATAATGGATTCGGGGCTTAAGGTCAACATTTCATTCTTCAAAAAGAACACAAACAAGTACCTTGGGTTGTTGGATTTCATTACCCTGACTCTTTCTTTGTTTAGCTGTGTGCAAGAGAAAAAAAGTCAGTAAATCAGTAAAAAATTAAAAGTAAAGATGAGTTCTTCAAAGAGTTATTTTCAAATGAATGGAAATGTCGTGTTTACCTCTTGGACATCATGATGGTCGCATTCCTGATCAAGACGATCTCTTGGTAAATGAAAGAAAATAAAAACAAAAGGAAGAAGGAATATTAAATGAAGACAAGAATTCACTTTTCAACTCTAATGTAATAGCATACCAATTATATACTAAATACAAATTAACCCCTTCTCCCCCTGTACAATATGGAAGTTTGTTGTCTGTGATTATACAATATTCAATAGGGAGGAAGGTATTACAGCGAACTTCGGTACATTTAAACTTCATTTATAATTACTTCCTTAAGAGCAGCTACGTGGATGTCATGTGTCCATTAATTTTGTCCTTCATTTACGATCACCCTTGTGGTTTCTTACACGTAATCCATGATTCCCACTCACTGGTAAGCTGTGATCCACTGCGTCCATAAAACACGGTCGTTATTCCCTTTTCCGTTTTGCGTTGACACCTGAGTCGACGGTCGGTCGATCAACCAATTAATTAATCAAACCATTAATAAATCAATTAAGTTTTATCAACCAAGTCGATAATTTAAATCGGTCACTATAAATAGTTTCTATGCTGATGTTCGGAGCGTTAGCCCTCCGTTGATCGTTCTGACGAAGGACTAGCGCTCGTAAAGTCAGCTTTTAGAAACTCTGCGGTGGTCAGTTTACATCATCAACTCAGTCGATAAAACCAGATTATCTTGCTGAACCCCGGCCCGTCCCCCCACCCCCAGCGCAGCACTACAGTTTCCTTAGTAACTTACCCCTTTATTCAGCAATAAATCAATAAATCGCACAAGTAATCATTTATATTATCATATGACCCGTGCGGCCCCGCTCGTGCAATCCCACAGAAAACCACGATGAGAGCTGACGTGTGTAGGGCCGGACGGGTTGACGTGAGCCGGTCCGGAAAAAGCCGTCCAGCTCTGCATTCACACGGCTCTGTTTCAAAAACTTAAAGGGATAAAAGAAAAGGGTTAAAAAAGTCACGTTTTCTGATGAATAGTAGTTTCAATTAGCGTAAATTACCGCTACGCGAGCTCATTTGAAAGGTGTGGGAACAAGTGGGAGACGCGCAGTGAATTATGGGACGGATGCTCACATTTCATTTGTTGAGGTGAAATGGCTAAGGTTCCTGGCATATTTTTCTCTCTGTTTATAATGGTAAACCACTACCTATGAGGCCAAAAGAGAATCAGGTCCAATTCTCTTGACAAAATAAAATGGCGTCGCGATTACTTCGCTGGGCTCTGGATAAAGAAGCTCAGGTTCAAGGCCAGGCAGGGTCATTGTGTTGTGTTTTCAGGGAAGAAACTTTACTCTCTCAGTGGCCCTCCTCTCAAAGGATGAACTATCATGGAATTCTACGAAATGCTGAAAGTTATGTCCAATGGACTGGAATTCATCCAGGATGCCCGTATTCTCGTTCTAAAGAATTTGAGGTAAGCTCCACCTGAAATGAACTGCTAAGCCCAGAGGAGTTTACCGACAACCTCCCACAGACAAATGCCAGAAACCCGGTGCTACAACACTTTTCGACCTAAGAAAAGAAGGTCTAATCCCTGGCTATTTTCGAACTAACCTCCATTCAAGAATCGTCGAATACGCTTTGATTAATCCTTGCAGAGGAACACATTGAGACACAAGGTATTCAACGATGTCTTCATCGCTAAGAACAGAAAACATACGAGTTGATTATTCAGCTACAGTGCACGGAGTCAGCTTTGAACGACAGAAAACCGTAGTATGATCCAGAACTGAATTAGCTTTAAATTAGTACCAACAATCACGTGAATATAAAACCAATTTGTTAAGGAACCCGTCACTTGATTTGAATTGAAGCTGTGATCTGTTATGAAAGTCTACGCCACTTTACCGAGTTTTTTCGAACAGTCACATGATCTATACTTTTACATCAGTTAAGGACGCTAGCGTAGTGCTCTGCAGCAATGGCCGAATGCACTTCGAAGTTGCTTTCAGTTTACCTCTGTAAAGTCTGCGATTTGATAGATATAACTCAACCCTTTGGCTCCCAAGAGTGACCAGCATCTAATTTCTCCTGACAATATCACCTCTGAATCAAATATTATGGTCACTGGAATAACGGAAATTATCACCAACTAAAGAAGCTCTTGATTGTTAAACAAATTCTCCTTATCAGCACCACAGGAAATATATAGAGAACAGTATGGAGAATATGCATACTGATAGTAGCGTGTAAAGGGTTAAGTCACCTTCACCAATCAAAAGGAAAATCAAGATCCATCGCGCCTTGTTCATCCGCGCTCTCCTCAATATCTCCGTTATAACTTTATGGAAATTAGAGAGGGAGATTTCCTGATTCGAAAGGTGTGTAAAAAGTTCCTTTTCTGGTTAAAACTCGTCAACAGGGCAGCCCAGTAGAAAGTTTTCTGAAGCCTTCCTCCCTCTCCCCCGACTCTTCAGAAGGTCAGGCTGTTAGGGCCCAGCGTACCCGTTTGGGAGGAGTAGATAAGGGTCAGCACGTTTCAGCCTCTCACCACCCTGGTGCGGTTGACTATGCAACGATGCCCTGGCTTACACAGCCACCTTACCAAATGACCACTAACAGCCACCTACTGGAGGTTAGGGCTATCCCCTTAGATAAGAGTTCCCCTTTTGGTTAAAACTCATAAATAGTGCGGCCCGGTAGTAAATTTTTCTGAAGCCTTACCCCTCCCCCAACCCACCAGAAGGTCAAGCTGTCAGGGCTTAGCGTACCCGTTTGGGAAAAGTAGAGGAGGTCAGTACGTTTCAGCCTCTCACCACCCTGGTGAGGTTGACCATGCAACAATACCCTGACTCAGACGGGCACCTTACCAAATGACTATACTAACAGCCACCTACTGGAGGATAGGGCTATGCCCACAGAATTTCACATCAACTGGACATTGAATCCTTCTCAGTTTTAATTTTATTGTAAAACTACTTCACGTTGTGTGACTAAAGCCCCCCCTTCCCGAAAAAAGAAAGTATTTTCAAAAATTAAGTAATGTCTTCAAATTTCAAAAACATACGCAAACCAATTTGCATGCAAAAATCAGCGTATTGAATATCCTTCTTTTTTCTAGAAAATTATGTAAGAGTAACGATTGCTTCGCAGTCATTCTGGTTCCATCTTCAACCAGGCCAATATAAGCTATGTGCACATAAAATGGATTTAAATTTAGCTGGTTTCTTATTTACACACAGTTGAAAGTACTTCTTCCACAAGAAAAATACGAGAATCACAGGTAGTACAAGAAGCTCTTTCTCTCTTTTTCTCCAACAGTCTTAAGCTGTACAAGTAATTTTGCAGAAAATGAAGTTAAGGCCTTTCTGAGAACTGTACATTTTGTCAATACCTTTTTCGTTTTCCTCGAGAATTTAATCTCACGAGTTAAACGAGTTGCAAATCAACACTAAACGAAATGCTTACTACACTCCGCTTCCATAAAACAATTTCTCAGCTTGTAGCTGAGTGATTAAACACCACAGGAGAAATAAAATATTTCGTTAACCCTTTAACTCCTAGATCCAATTTATAATTCTCCTTACAGTCTACCATACAGTGCTTATAAAGTTAGTTTAGAGAATTTAGTTATGGATCAACTCATTATCCCCAAATTGAGGTTTTTCTTTATTCTGGTTTGATATTCTATTGATTTTGTAAGGAGAAATTCTGTCTTGGTCACTCATGGGAGTTACAGGGTTAAATGTTTGTCTTAAGTTTACGCTAAGAACAGTTAAAAATGTTTATGAAGCCTCTACAAGAAAAATATAATTTAAAACCTTGAACAGCTTTGTCACCAAAATCATTCTTGTACTCGCTCCAATCTCGATCAGCGGTCTCTCCTGTTCAGATGTCGGGACTAGAAGATCGTAACCACTCGAATGCAAAGGAATCAGCGGAATACAGCCTTTCTGACAATGTCTTTCCCATTCAGCAACGAAACTGTTAATCTCTGTAGATGTCTTACTCTGGGAGGTTCAACCTAAGGTAAAAATTCAATAATAGAAGTTAAGTCAAAGGCAACATCTCAAGTAATAGAGTATTTTTTAGTAAATTAACTAGTGATCAGTAGTTATTTTTCACAAATCATTCTGTACAGCTGTAACCGGACAGTTGTCTGTAATCGGACACCTGAGATCGGACAGTTGAAGCGTCCATTCATACTGAGTCCTTTCCGCCAAATCCACCAATCACAGAATTGATCACAACAACCATAGCAATAACTACTAACACTAAAAAAAACCTGTGGAACTTCCAAAATTGAGAAATTTTTCTTTTTAGAAATTGGAGATATTTGTCCTCAATGTGTTTGTTGTCTTCGGAAATTGTAACGGTTATGATAAATTGATATAGGACTTTGTGTCGTCCAATTGTGTCTATAATCACACTCGTGATTGACAAATCGGACTCCTGCTTTGCGGTCGTCCGATTTTGCTAATCTCTCGTATGATTACAGACCGAAGTGGACTCCACTCTGTTCTATTACCATTATTTATCATTAGTATCGTCATAGTTATAATTATCATCATAACTTTCCTTACTACCACTGTTATCGTTATTATTACATGTACAATCATCATTATTGTTATCATTTTCACATTATTATTAAGTATCATTGTTATTCTTACTACTATCGATACTATTAACATTACATTTTTATCCATATTATTCTTTTTCTGTCTTCAAATAAACTTTGTTTCAACTGACCTTTCGATGTTTGTCTTTTCTTTGTCATCTGGCAGCTTCGCTTGAATGATTTCAAAATGGTTGGAGTGTCTTAAGCCAATTGCGACCAAGAGCTTACGAGGACAAACTGCAAAACTTTGAAATAGTCGTTCCTCTACAATTTCACTGAGGAGATCACCAGATTTAACGTTGTATAATCGAAGACAAGAACCTGCAGTCCTCGTTACTGATAAACTTAATATCAGCTACAGCCATGTTCTCCAATTGACGAATCACTTTTCCCGAAACTGCGTCGAGGACGTAAGAGCCAGCTCTACCATAAGTGACGACGTTTTCTTCAGTAGGAGAAAAAATAGCCCTTGAAAGGCCAAATGGATCGAACTTAGAAGTTTCCCATAGCACTCGGTTTTTACGCCACAGCTGCATTGACTTTCTATCAATGGTGGTTACCACTTCCCATTTATTATTACATGCCAAAAAAAAACCATCAAAATTTCCAATCTTTGACAAAACTTTTTCACTCGTTGTATCTAGAACGATGACTTCCCATCTGTAAGGAAATTCAACCACCGTTTCCAAGGCGACTCGTTCCTCTGATAAGGGTACAACAACATCGACATGAAACTCAGTCCACCTTTTCATGCAAACAGACAACTCAGAGTTCCACAACTCAAGCGAATAAAAATATGTTTGAAATAGGACACCTCTTTTGACGGGCACAACACGTACAGACCGTGCAAGAATCACACATTCCTTTTTTCTAATCCTTTTACTTAAAACATCGCCAGCCACAGGATTTATTATCTGGATCCCTCCACCTGTCACAGTATAAAGAGAGTCACCATCAACAGAGAAATAAACATTACTTGCCCGGTAATCAATTTCAACAAAACCGTTTTCCGGCATATTGTTGATTTCTGGTAGGTTATGTTCCGTTAGATCGTTATTTTCGGCTCTCTCTGTCGTAATGCCACCGGGTTCTATGCTTTGTCCCGCTTCATCGCCACTCTCACATCTCCACTCCCTTACGTCGTTAAGGCTACACATTTCAATCGCGTCACTGAAAGGGATAACTCTTAGTAACATCTGCTTTTCTAGTACAAGTGCAAAACTCACAGCTGGGAAACTTCCTCCATATGGATACCAAAAGGGATCTCCTGATAAGAAACCACCCTCATTGCAAGTTTCAAATTCCGAGGCGTACTGGTAGGAACTCGTCCCAAAAATGCAATCTAAACTATATATTGACTTAGTGTTCCTGTCAATATCTAAACAAAAAAGCTTGGGCTCCGTATCCCAATCATCTTTATCCTTATCCGAAAGTAAACAGAAAAAAAACCGGCAGTCAGGAGTTAACTTAACACATCGTGAACAGACTAAAGGACATATTAGAATCTCAACTCCATCATTCATGTCAATGAGGTATGCGCACTTGTCAGAATCGACGATCAACATCCGTCTTCCACTAGCAGACCAAGCAAAAGATAAAATTTCGCATTTGTGTGTAAAACGACTAATTTCACTTCCATCTTTTAGACTCCACTGGATGACGCAATTCCTCCCGTCCAGACAGTCAGTCAGCATCGTGCTTTTGTCACCAGATATTGAACAAACTTTGAACCGGCACTCGCTCGAACGGAAAAGAGGTTTCACGTCTCCGACCAAGGTATAACCCTGACACAGAGTCCCTTGTAAGATCAGGTCTAAGGTTGGATGGAAAACTACTGACCGCAAAAATGGGAAAAGGTAATCCCATGTGTTCCCTAGGTCCTGAAAATCAATGTTTGATACCAGCGCAGAGCGTGTCCACATTAGCTGGGCAGTACGGAGCGACCACAGATGAATTGTGGCATTCGAACACTCGCATACCAGGTAGTCCTGATTTGGTGAGACATCAAAGCAGATCACCTCATCTGAAGCAAAAAACCGCAGTAGAACATCTGTTCTTTCCTCCTTCTTTCGCAAATATTCCATATATGGTAAGTCCGTATACTTGGTGTTTAGCAAGCTTAATGCCTTCGCAGACAGTTCAGGTCCTCCTTCATTCAACAAGACTTGAAAGATGGCATAAGGAAGTTTTGAAAGAGTACTTAAATGCTTCCACAATAGCAACAATAACGTCTCAAGGACTTCCCTGCAATTCTTTGACAAACCATTTGTATTTTCCTTTTCTTGTACGCAAAGAACATCTTCAGTGGCTGTTGTACTCTTCACAGTTAGCTTTGCATAGACCAATTCTGGGTCCAAAACATAATTCTTTACAATGTCGTCCAGGCTACATGGACGAGCATTCTCTTCTACCTCAAGTACATGCTGAACACCATGCTGCAAGGCATACCTCGACGTCTGTTTCAGTGTTGAACTATGGATCCCTTTAAGTTTCAATTCATCTAGTTCATCTCTGCAAAGCTTTGCAATGACGCGATGACATTCTTTTCCGCTAACAATAAACTTCTTTTGCCTCGAAGTAGACTCCTCAACCAACCAGTCCTTGACTGACTTGTGAAAGAAGTTAATGCACTCGCCCTCAATGGGTAGAAGAGCCGAGATACAATCAACTGCGTCTCGTACTTTTTGCTCATCAGCCGATGACCATTCTTTTGAAAGGAACAACTTGTAGACAAACTCGACAGGTAATGGTTCTCTTGCTGCCACGATGGCATTTAAAAAATCGAAGAACTGCTCTTCGGTGATACCTAGTTCTTTCTGCATTTCATTTTTCAGGCGTTTGAAGTAGTCTTGATAAACGGACGAAATACCTGATGGCAAGTCGCTGTTGATCACTTCAGCAGCACTCATACGCACAGCATTCTTCTTAATGAACTCTGTCAGGTAATAGGTATATAACATGACCCCTTCTGACTTTTCAACAAGCTTTTCTAAGATGGTATCTTGGCAATCAGATTGCAGAACATGTTCCAGTTGCTCTTGAAAGCAAAGCGTAATGTCCATCAAGTTTTCTTGATCGTTTGGGTTCAGCTGTATGGGATTTAAGTCTTGAATCTTCTCTAAGATATTCATTTCAGGTCGCGTTGTTACCACAAATCGTATCCAACACGGAAGCGTCTTAAAGTAATCCGCAATCACATTTAAAAGCTCATTACGCCCCTGGTATTCACTTTCGTCTAAGCCATCTATAACCATGAGATGGATAGAGTCTGGATCTTTCAAATCTGAAAGAGGTTCTTTAAACAAGAATTCAAACAGTTCTTCCACTTCCATGTCTCCAATTTCAACGCCCACATTTCTCGACAACTTCTTCACGATAGCCTTCCTGTACTCTGGAAGCGATTCTGAAAGCTGACAGGCTAAGGACTGCAACATCACTTTGGGATTCCTTCGGCGTGCCTGGTTATGCCGACAGAAGTGGCTCCCCGACAATCTTCCAGCCTCTAACATCTTTCGGCACAAGACAGCTGAGATTACAGACTTTCCCATTCCCGCATTTCCACTAATAACAACCACTCTATTTGGAGAACTTTTGTCGTTTAACCATCTCTCAACTGCTGCAATGATCGATAACCGAGTTCCCTCAACATATCTGCTTGCATGGCTTCTAATTTCACTTAAATTATCCACGTTTGCTAGTTTCGCAAGGACTTCGTCATCTCTGATGCTCTCCTTCTCGTTATTCAAAATTTGAATGGTGTGCTGGGATACCTCCTCCAAAATTTGAAGCTTCTCACAGACTTTTCCAAAGTTATCTTGATTGGCTCTAGTGTCTTGCTGTTGGCTCTGATGCACAATACTGACAGATGCTTGCAAGTTCTTCTGTAACTGATGAACTTCTTCCAGCTTTGCTTTATTTTCATCAACAGTTTGCAGCACTTTGGTCTCAATATCCCGTATGTCCTTCAGCTGTGATTTTATATCTTCCTCAGAATCAGCCCATTCAAGCAACGCATCTAAGAACTCTTGCTCTCCACAATGTTCAGCCTTCAATCTATCAATTTCCGTCCGCCGCAAGCCAAGAGCAACAAGAACAGCACTTATCTCCTGCCACAGAGTTGAGAAAGTTGGATCAGCAATACTAGTTGTGGTAACATGGCCATACAATGTATTGCGGTAAAACTTTATGCGAGCAAGATTTGCTTCAAAGGAGTTGTCACTTGGAGGTGGTTTTTTTTGCCACTTAGAGGGGGGTGGGGAGAGACCACAAATGTTGGTTAAGAGAAGGAATAAAAGAGTGATATCAAATGTTTGGGAGTCTGGAGGAGCACCGCTTGGAGGAAACAATATATCCCATTGTGATCTGTGTAAAATTCGTTTCTTTAAGAGAGTATTCAGAGTTGAATAGTTTGCATTCAACGCGGCTGAAAGACTTGCTGGGGGATGATACCCATTGAAAACGTTCCTGAGAACTGTTGTTCCACCATCGATGAGAAGTCGGCTGAGCTTGGCTCCATTTGTCTTCTCTACAGAACTGGCAAGAGGTGAAGGAGTAGCTGATGCCATATGATCCAAAATACAAAGATGGAGTCATGAGGTGTACCTGCGCGTTTTCTGAAAGAAACATTACAATTGGGTAATTGCTTCTCTTAGACATGTACTGGAAAGAGCAAGACCTCTTCACTCTACTAATCAGTTTGACTCCTTCAACACTATTTAATCCTTTACACCCAAGTGTCATAATGCATATTCTCCATACTTTTTTTACAAATTTCCTAAGATGCTGATAAGGAGATTTTTTTTACTGATCAAAAGGTTCTCTTTAGTTAATAATCATTTCCTTCATTCTCATGACCCTTATGCGTGATTCAGGGGTGATATTGTACAGAGAAATTAGGTGCTAGTCACTCTTAGGGTTCAAAGGGTTAAAGAAACCTATCATCTTTAGAGTATCAGGGATTGTTTTTGCACTCTGAAGGAATAATATACCTATATAATCGTGTCTCTATAGAAGTTTATTGACTAAAATATTAAAAACTTATCATCAAATCTGCACTGTATATATAATGATAATTACAAATTACAATACTCCAAGTATCTTCAGTTCATACTCATAGGATAATAATAATTATTATTTGACACACCATTTGCAATCCTTTGTTGATCACATTTTGTTGATGTCACAGTGGTATTCCAAAAGCCCGCTGATTGGTCAGACAAAGAGCCAGCTGAAGGAATAAAGTCTTTGGGATCAGAGATTCCTGAAAAAAAAATCAAATCACATAACAATTTATAAGAAAGTTATTAATAGCATTTCACCACTGAACCACTCAAAATGTTAACTGAAGGCTTTGTAATGACAACAAATTCACTGCTCAATAGAACACAGGAATGAAAATGATCAAAAATTTAGTTCAAAATTTAATGCAGTTAAATACTGACAACAATTTTTAAAATTTTGCTTCTCAGAGTTTTCACTTGAGGGAAATAATTTAACATATATGACTGATATATGGATCATAATTTGCCACAAGATTTTTATCCAAGACCTAAACAACATTGTGCTTAATTGTAATATATAATAACTTCATATCATTTAAATACTGAGTTCCCTTAGCATTGGTTTACACCAGCAATAGAAGCATTACAAGCCAATTCTAGAGCAGGGTCTTAAGTTAAAAGAGGAAAGAAGTTTTTAGAAAGTATGTCATAATACCCCATCAAAACTACTGCCACTAGAAGGGCTTGGAAGCATAAATCTTTCTTGTTATCTACCAACAGGAAACTCCAAAGAGCTAATGTTGGGTCAGAAGAGGTACCCCACTACTTTTGACTGCTCATAAGCTACAATGCCGAACATTTTCCTTACAAAATAACCACATTACATGTAACAGGATCACACACAAAGAGAGTGAACATTTTCTTACTGTTGGTTATGTATACATTCTGTATTGTGACCTTGACAGCATAACCCAAGCAAGAGCAACACATATTATGAAATGAAACCCATGAAAATTTCGTATGCAATACTTTCAAAGAAAAAATTGTTATTTTTTACCTTTTTCTAGCATATTTAATAAGCAAACATTACATTGCAATGTATTGTGCTCATCACAATTAATTCAGACCTGGCCAATTTTTTATTTTCAGAACTTTTAACCCTATACACCCTAACATCAGTATGTATATTCTCCTTACAGTTATCTAAATATTTCCTAAGGTGCTGATGAGGAGAATTTGCTTAACAATCAAGAGCTTCTACAGTTGGTGATTACCTCTTTTATCCTTATAACCTTAATGTTTAATTCACAGGTGATACTGTGGGGGGAAATTTGATGCTGATCACAACTGGGAGTTAAAAAGTTAAATGTATACCACTTTTTCTTAGTTTTTTACTTTCATAGTTCTGTGACACTTTTTTGAGGTTGTGGAACACTTGAAACATGAGCCTCTGGGCAATAATAAGTTGGTTAATTAAAGCCCTATCAGGTGGGCATTACTATAGTTATTCAGCTGTAAGAAGTTTCCAGTTATATTAAGAACCCACAACTTGAAAAATTGACAATGTCTACAAGTCAGTTAAAAGATCCATAAATAGTCTTAGTGATTCACACATGCACAGTAAGATGGAAAATTCTGTCCATGGACTTAGAGTAAAGAAAAAAATCAATTTAAATGATAACCAAACACTGTGACAAGGCTGCACCATACGGATAGCAATAGTTCTACTTTAATTAATTAATTCCTTGTAACAGAAGAAATCAATCAAAACTCACAGAAAGTTAAGTGCAAAAAAAACAAAAAAAAAAAAAAACAAAAACTTTTATATAAGATGCACTCCAAGTTTTGGATCTATTTTCCATGGGAGAGGAAATTTTTTTCATAAAAACAGTGCACTACATAATCAAATAAACATCATACAATTATCTGTATAATTGATCTCTACAAATGAGTAACAATTTAGAAGGTTATTTTGAAGTGAACATTACATATTTTTTAAACACTCAAAGTATAAAACACATCCCAGAGCAGAACAATCAACAATCTTCATTCCACCACAAAATCAAAATTTATCATCTTTCTTTAATTCTCCCATGATGCTTTCCAAATTGCAGTATGTAGTAATTGCATGTCACATATGAACTTAATTTTGGCTTGGCTTGTTTTACTGCCACGAGAGAATGGCAAATTTATTAAAATGAGAATAATGAACCTTTAGACCATGTGAAATGAATCAATTAAAAGGTAATGACACTAACAGGTGTAGAGGAGGTACAGAAGTGTCAAAACTTAGTCTGTACTTCCCAAAAAGAAAGTACAGTTGAAGTATACTTCATTTATACTTAAAGAAGAAAAGTATAAATGAAGTACATTTTGTTAATGTACTTCATTTATACTTAAAATGTAAAAGTATACTTCAAGTATACCTCTTCTTTATTTTAACATAGCTGGTGAGTGACTGTCTAAAGTAAAGTATACTTTAAGTATACTTGTTTGTACGTGTAAAATAAAGAAATAACTAAGTATTAAACAATAAGCAGGAATTGCATTGAATGATTGATACCAGTGGCACATAAGTGGAATAACAAGGAAGTATGAAGAATTCCCCTTCTTGCGTAGATCCTTCAAACAGCATCTGTTCTTACACAATTTATCCTCTGGTATAGACAATCCCTGATATTCCATAAAAAAGTACAATAGTAGTGAAACTGGATGGGATTCTTTAATTTCATGAAGAACTTCTTAAGAAGGGCCACTGAAGAAGCACATTGATTTGGCAACGCACAATGAAGGCTAATGAGCGTTAATAGATCAACAAGCGCAAGTCTGGTTAAACTATGTCGAACAGCGTATGTAACGATAAGTAACATGCTGACTGCCATACTGATCGGTGCTCCATCGTACAAGGGAACATCTTCAAACTGCCTCTCTTCCTGATCCGCGTTTACTCCACCAGCACTTTCGTCAGGGTCGAAAGCATCCAAGTATTCTTCAACGTCCTCTTGATCATCTTTAACAGCATCTATCGTGGCTTGTTCAGACTCAGTGACCTTGGGAGTTTTTCCAACGTCACTTTCTACGAGGGTGAACTTATCACTTGGAGTCTCAAAAGATTGGTCGCTGTCATCGCCATACGGGCATGGGAATTCATCGAGTTCCTCGCATTGAACCAAAGAGCTTTTAGACGTAATACCACTATGATGTAACAAACTGTGTGATAATCCAAAAGAACTCGTCTCCGTGTATTCGGTATTAGTGGAAGAGCCGCTACAGGCAGTGCCTGATCTCAGTTGCCCTGATCTTGTCTGTGAACTTGTGCTACAAAGATCACCCGCCGAAATAGAAGCAATTGCGGTGCTCTTATCTGGCCACTTCTTTAAAGTCGTTCGTGGTATCTTTGCTCCTGGCTGAGAAAGATACTGGTTGTAAGGCCCGCGTGGTTTACGTTTCTTTTTACAGGCAGCTGAAGGCGTAAAATGAGTGGAAATGCTCTCGTTTGAGTCACTTTTATCGTTATCCAACTCGTCCATGTTTACATTTATTTAATAGACTACTGCTGACATACAGTACTGTGGGATCACATACGGGATGCCACGTGATACCTTATATGGTGGAATACGGGACATCTTACATTCATATATGGTTATACGGTTTTGGCGGGTAAAATGAAGGAGTCGTTTGGCGAGTTGTTGAGAAAGAGGTCAGGGAAAGAGATTGTAATTTATTCAGATCATTTGCGTGAACATTTTATGCCTGAAGTATTCCTTTTATCTCCAAGTACAATATGAGCAACAAAAGAAAAACAGCACCTTCAGTCAAGTATGGCGAAATGAGTAAGTTCTACTGCTACAGTTGTATACAAAAGTCGTTTTTTTGATTATAATCTCTACGCGCCAAAACACGAAGCTAAATCAATAAGCCTAGCTTACTTGGTAGTTGTTTTCATTTGCCGTAAAGCTTAGAAAGGTTTAAAATATCGCTTAAAGATGTTAATATTATATCTTACTGACCTTCATTTGTAGATTATGTTCTTGTTCAATTCCTTGAGGATAACATTTAAAGTATTGTGACCGAAAACCAAGTGATAAAGGAGGACACTGGTTTAGTTAGTTTGATGGTGTTTGCGACAGCATTATTCGCATTGCCATGAGGAACAAGATCACTTGTCTTGAAACAAATGCCAAGAACAAAAGGGTAGTGAGTTCATCTTAACTGGCCAATCCAAGTTCAAATGAACACTATAGGGACATGTTAGTTAGCATTTAGCAGTTAGAGGTTAGGGGCTAGCTTTACACCTGATGAGAGCTAGGTCAATTACTGTGTTAGTAAATGTTAGCTTTTTAGGTCATACATATTCCTTTTTTTAAGCTTTTTAGCAGATGCCAAAAATTAAAGCCCATCAAATAAGGACAGTAAGTTAGCATATAGCAGTAAGCAGTTAGAAGTCAGCTTTTTGGGGTCAGTGCTGTAGGCTGGTAAAGGTAAGTTCTTTATTACATTATTACATAATATTGTGAGAATGTAATTTTTTTTTGAATTAAAAAAATAAGTAATCAGTTTATTAATAATGAACAGTGTTTTGAATACTGTTGACTTAACTCAGGATTTTAATCGATTGATCACTTGCGACTTTCTTGCTAGAAATTACATTAATTTTATGAATTATATCATAGATCAAAGAGATTGTCATTATATCATGTATATTATTCAAGGTCATCAATAAGTTTGTATTGCAATACTTATGCCATTGTGGATTTTATTCTTGGTTTTTCAATAAACCTGTGATACATACACCTGTCAGTTGTTGTTGTTAATAGATTGACTAAAATAGTCCCTGGAAGAGGTACATGTAACCAATAAATAATACTTCATGTTTGCAACATGGCTAAAGATTTTTTACATTATTTCATGGTCAAAAAGCTGTAAGTATAATTATGCATCAGTATCCCATATTCAGCATTTTTAGTCAGCTCGTGTATTTAAATAAGAGTGCACAAAGTATACTTAGAGTATACACAAAGTATACTTGAAGTATACTTCACATAAAGTATACTTGAAGTATACTTCACATAAAGTATGCTTGAAGTATACTTTTTAAGTGACCAAAAGTGTTGTACTTTAAGTATACTTCTCTAAGTATACTTAAAGTATGCTTTAAGTACAAATAAAGTATACTTTTCAAATTGTTTAAAAGTATACTTAAAGTATACTGCATTCCTGCAAGGGAATATACTGAGCATGTAATGGCATCTTTTGCCATATGACACTCATGAGCATAAAAGGGTTAAAATGTTTTCTCAAGCTCGAAGGTGGAGCATTGAAGCATAAAATCCAAAGTCCTGGGGTCTAATTCAAAGTATTTGGACACTGGCTTCAATTAAATGCAGGGCATGACGTACATGCGTATTTAGTGACTCCAGCAGGGTGAATGTAAGAGACAAAAGATGAAGCACTACAATTCACAAACCTAACCATAGGTCGAAGCTAACCTGGGTCACATTTAGGCACACAGTTGTGAAACTTAACTGCTATTGAACCAGATATCTGTGGCATGAAAATGCTTCCAGGATTCAGGTTTTAAATGACTTTCCATATCATAGAATCAAAAGTGTTTTGCCTCACCACCAAACCAATATCCTCATATTATCTTAAGATAGAAATCAGTTTTGGAATCACACAATGTAAATTACTGGAAATACAGATGCATGTGTATTTATGTTTAAGTAGCTGATGCATGTGTATTTATGTTTAAGTTGCTGTTTGTCTTACACATAAGCAGACATGGAACTTGAACACACCAATCTTCAAAAGCTTAAATGCCAGGGGTATTGCCTGGGAGGGGAATGTTGAAGCTCTGAATTGATTACTGCATGAGGGAAAACTAACCTTAATTATACAATGATGCACTGAGAAATCTGTCCAATTTGCTGTTCCATTTTACTTAAGTAATTCTGTGAAATATTCAGCAGTGAAATTACAAAAAATTTTCAAGATCTACCCAACCCTCAGCTGAGGACAGCAATATTGAGTCCTGTGCACTAAGCTCTTTAACAGTTCCACATTAATTAATTAATTACCTGTAACAGTTGAAATCAGTCAAAACTGGTAGAAAGTTTAGTGCAAAAAAACACTACTGTAAACTTCTAATATTGTATTAAACAATTTCCAATTGAAGGTAACTAGATTTACATTTTTTCTAGCCATGTTTCCTCCAATAGGGAAAGGGACCATTTCATCTGGAAATCTACAGCTGGTGATGTTTTGTAATGAAACATCAAACCATGATGAAATCTACGAAAAACACGAAGGAATATAAACCAAATCCCTAGATTGGTATCAATAGGAAAGCGTTCCTAGGGAAATAACTTTAGGAAGCGGCATAAAAGATTTGGGTAGTTCACATCCACATTTCAACCGACACGGTTCCAATCAATTAGATGTATCATTTTCAATCCTACTCCTTTGTATCATCAAATCAAAGTGCTCTGTGAGCAAACTCGTAAATTGACACATGATTTTGACACATGAAGTTTAATGTTATCTGGTTTAGGAAATTTGGTGGTTGACTGTCAAATCTAGAGTACGAGCAGTAGTTCAGTATTCGCTAATGTAGCAAAGAAACAAAGTAACGTTGGGATAAGAAGGCATTACAATTGAAATGATCATGCTATTACATTTGACAAGGTGGATGATGTCATGTGTTTTCTATCATTTTTGTTTCTTGTTCAAAAGAAAAGGTTGGAAGTAAATGTGGGTGAGAAGTGAAATTTACTGTCTTTCATTGTAAATATTAGAAAATCAAGGCAATAGTGTCTTAATGAAAACATTAACGATTCCCTCTTTATCAAATCAGACAAACTGGAACGAGTTTTGAGTGATATAACTAAGCCAAGCCTGCCACCGTCATTTTGGATCTCCGCCTGGGTAGATTTAAGTCACGTGCTAGGCAACGTATAATCAATAACAAGATAGAATTTCATTTCAGGCCTATTTATCAATTTTGTGGTGTGTAACTTTCGCATTTTAGTACGTTGTATGTATGTTGAATCTTCAAATTGTCTTGAAACTTAAAAGAAAATTGTTCTTTAAAAATTCACTGAAAATCGGTAGCTAAAATTGTTTGTTTAGGTGTTATCTGATTTTCGTGTTAACTTGTAATTTCGTCAGTCGCCGGCATCTTTTGTTGCTTCACACAGGAAAAACACACGCGACGAAACGTAATGATCAATTTTGTCCTCAATCTCACGCCATAACAGAAAAAGCTTTTGAACATCTGTAAACTCCGAGCGCTTCGCAGTAAGTAATATTTTCAATGAATTTTCGGATTGTTTTCGAGTTCAAGGATTGTAAATTACAATTTTATGAAAAACGAAGGTTGTTCTGTTATTTCAGTGTGAATCCTTGCATGCCTGCCAGTCGCTGGCGCCGCTTGTTGAAACTAAATCGAAAAAAAAAACTCTTTTAAGATTATCATTGGCTTCTTTTTCACCCCACCACTATTCTTAGCAACAAAGGTCGCCATTTCTTCTGTTTACTGTTCGCTAAAAACTATCAAATGCACTCAAAAGCCTAAAATCTAAAAAAAGTTTACAGGAATCGACCAATCGAGCGAGCGAGCGAGCGAGCGAATGCCATTCCCCACATGGTATCTATAACTCGCTCTTGCGCATGCGCGCAATTCACGAGTTAAAAACGATGCTTACCTTTCGTAGATGATTTAAAATGGTCGTGTAGCCAACCTGATGATCCTGATTTTTCTGATATTACCCACAGTGCAAAGCCTACAAGACATAATAACAAAACACTTATGTATTTCATTATTACGCACAAAAACTTCACCGAACAATAGACTGCATTTCTATGATTCGAACCACAAAACACCTGCGTAGAAATCTAACGCGGAAACGAGCCTGATTCAAGTAAAAACCAGCCAAACTAACAAACATCAGGTTTTTAATATTTTTGAAAATAGAGAGATCAGTCATAATTATATCCTTACCAACCTCACTGGTGAGAAAAAAGTTCAGTTTGACCAAGAGAAACAATGGCACACCGGGAACACGCCTCGTTGCAGGAAATGTGCTTAACGAAGCAAAATGCAACTTCACTCGAATCGAGTGCGGAGGACCAGAAGACTTGAATTAGCGCGGGATCTGAAGAGCACATATAGAGATTTTAACACTTGGAATTACAAAATAACATGCTGTTAGGACAAAATTCATTCTTGGTGTTGATCACTCATTGTATTCATTACAAATTCCTTTTAGTGAGTCATGCGATTCCTTCCGAGAAGCATTTCCATACTAGGCAAAGTACTTCGCTCAAAACCCCTTTCTTTTCCTTTCCTTCTTAAGCCGGTGAAGGTCGAAATAAAATGACATTGTGTTGGTTCCATCAAGAAATCCTCCTAATCATGAACATTTTCTCCAAAGTTTTAAGATTGAATGGGTCAATTTTTACTCTGGTATAAATTTAAAACAACTTTGCGACGCAATGATCGATAACCTTAAGTTGTGCCAGTCGCTTTTCTTGAGAATCACGTTCCCTCTCGTAAGTACAGATCTTTGCATCTATCACAGATAACATCAAACTGCTTTAAATACCGAATGATCTGCACAAAATGGTCAAGTCAAAACGAAATTTCCTTTCATGAATTATGACGTGGCGAGGAAGAAAATCGAAAGCAGAAGTGATGACAGATGGCTTCCTTCAATGCCTAGAGCTTTTCTCTACATTACAGGCTATTAGAGAAGAAATAAATGTATGATAAAGAGCTTATATTCCCACAAATGATGAAATATGCGAAGAAAGTATCTCCAATCTCACCTTTTAGGAAAACAGATCTACAGCCTTCCAACTACGGAGCTAAATGTCAAGGAAGCCAGCGCCCTTAATCTTATCTACTATTGAACTCTGGGACTGGCTATCATTCTCGGCAAATAAACAAGGGGTAAAGTTACCTTGGTAACTTGGTTACAAGGTTAGTTACAGACTTGGGTTATTAATAGGAGTCCGTAAACGCGTTTGTGACGTCAGGCTTTCTGAGCTTACTGAGAAATATATTTCAAGAAAGCAATTTAATAATTTTTTGTGTTTACATAGACTTTTGTAGTGGCCCATTGTTTCATTCTCGGCAAATAAACAAGGGGTAAAGTCCACTTGCAATCGTCACGCTATGAAAACGTGTTAGGGCAAGTAATGGTTAGTTACAGGCTTGGGCTATTAATAGGTGTCCGTAAACGCGTGCGTGACGTCAGGCTTTCTGAGCTTACTGAGAAATATATTCCACGCACGTTGTTTCCGTGGAAGACAATAGCTGTCACAGTTGAGGAGGTATGTTTTGAGGTTAATAGTTCGTTCGTTGTCTGAAATAGTCATTTTAATTTATTCATGGATCGAAATTGAAAATGTTTCATTGGCAGGTTGTTGTGTTTTTAACGTATGCAAATTAGGACCTGCTTGACAAACAATAGAATCGGTGTATAATACGCACCACGATTTTGATGGTTATTTTTGAAGAAAAAAAGAGAATAGAAAAGATCATTGTGCAGCACTTTGCAATACTTCTACGACACATAGCTTTGTGAATCAGTAGAGTAAACCTTGATTTGGCGAAATCTTACGAGACACCTTCAGAGATGGCTGTCAGTGTCTGAGAACAAGTGTAGATTATCTAATATTTCTGATAACATTTCAGGTTGTAAATTCCTAGACTAAGACAACTTTCGGCAGCCATTGTCGTCTCGTCCAAGGAAACAATGTGCGTGACAGCCGATCACGTGCGACGTAACAGGTTTCCCATTTATCACGCGATAATTTATCATTTATCGCGCGGTAATTATCATTTATCGTGCGATAATTTCCAATTATCCCGCGATATTTTGGTTTATCGTGCGATAAAAAATGTGGCACGTCCTCTAAGGGCCACCGTATTTTTCTGAGCTCTCGAACGATTAGGAGAATTCTAAAAGTTTTGCAAGCTCAGGTTTGCATCTTCTAAATCCGTTGTGAAAACTCTGGAAAAGTCCTCTATCGATTAATTACCAGTGTCAGATAAGCCCAATTTAACACGCATTTTGATTGGATTTTTCGGTGGAGAGCGACGAATAGTTGACTTCATTTTGACGTAATCTGTGACTTAATATTTCTTAACAGATGCACGGCCGCTACTTTTCGGGACATTATACGACACAAAATTGAAAATGAACCCCCGTTCCTTCGTTCATCTTTTAAGAATCAAAATAAACAGAGAAGCATTGTGCATGGGAGCGGTGGGTGGGGGAAGGGAGAGTGGGAGTAGGAGTGGAAGTAAGGGTAGAGGGGATAAAATTGGTTTGCCACGACAGAATTTTGCATTTTGAGTGGTAACGAGTCAACAATTTTGTCGTCGATTGTGGCTGTACCTTTTTTTGAATGTAAATCCGGACGAAGGGACGGTTTTAGTGTCAATCTGCTTTTTCGCTTGGAGAAGAACATAACATATATAGAATGCGAGCAAGACAACATTTTGAACTTGAGGTCACGCTTTATCACTTCATGATCAGGTCCTCGATGAAACATTGCTGCGAGTGTTGAACGTCTCAACTCGTGCAAAACTCGGGCTTGGAATGATAATTCAAAAGAACTTATCCTTAACACTTTGTTTAACTGGGCTAAAAAGGTTTGGCCGAACCACGCGAATTGTCATGTTAGACGATTTTAAAAGGGCCGTTTCGCCATAGTAATAAAATTATAAATTGTTCTTGTTTTTAAGTTAAATTTAGAAAAAAAACTGTGTTCTCATTCTTAAATAAACAATCTGCAGTGTGAAGTTTGTATCTCATTCTTAGCCTGTATTTTGTGTAGATGGCTTCATAAAATTCCTTAGACAACCTGTGGTTTTAGTATTACACATCTAATATCTCGCTCACGCAACGGAACGTTGGTGAACAAACTGACTAAGAGACACAAACCACAAAGCTATAAAAAATATGTTATTCTGTTCTTCCATTCCAGATCTAATTCACATCGGGTACAAACCGCCAATTATTGGTTTTTGTTAATACCGTCAACAACTGGAAGAGGCACATCCATCGAGATAAACCATCCTAGTCTGTTCACAAATGATCACAGATCTGATCATCGTCCAGGGCTCGAGGGATAAAAGCGAACACGATCAGGGGATAAAACGAAAACAATCGCAAGGGGGAGGGGTTGGGTGAAATTGAAGATTTGTGTACAACTAGTAACATAATGCTTGAGGTGGTTGTCCTTGAGTCCTCGCGATAAAAGCGGCTCCCACGTCGCTTTTGTCGTGCTAAGCTGATAGCTTCTCTAGTCTCCAAACGCTTCATCGGCGTAGAGCATTCTAGCGGACATATTTGTTGATGTAAACGAAAGATTGATTGGAATTGTTTTGATTAGGCAATATAGTCCGGCAAGAAGTCTTTCTGAAAGCCTAGTCACTAGTTGAGAGCTGCGTGTGGTGACGTCAATTTTGATACGCTGTTTGAACGAACGGGTGGCAAAGAGGTTGAGCCTAGGTACAAGGCTAACCAATAGCCTGAAAACATGCCACACTATCGTTTCACTTTTTGCCAACTGCAATCGGTGACACTCCCTTTCAATCCTGCATGTCGTTAACCCTACTTCTTCGCTTTAACTGAGGAGGGACGATGGATCTACTCCGCCACGAGGACCCACCAGGATTACGCGAAAGACTTATGAAGATCACGAAAGCCGCATATTAAACGCATCATCAGGCAATTTGTCGAGGTTAGTTTTCCTTGTATCCAGAACGTTAAACAGCCCTGTTTTCTCGTTATTACAAGACAAGGTGGAATTAGTACTTGCTGCTTCGTAAAGCGTAGCTTCGTCAAATTCCGCATCGTCTCTGTAAGGTATTTTCAAGCGTTTCAGAATAGTTTGAACCTGCAAAAGAACAGGAGTCAGTGATTGCAAGTATTGTCTTCGCAAGATTTCCTTTGCATTGTTGATGGGAAAATAGCCCTAAAGGAACCCCTTTCCAAAAGATAACAAACGAGTTTCCGTGTTGAAATACGACAAAGAAAAATGTCAGGAACTGAAGAAATTTTCGTTGGTGTGTATGACCCATTCGCTCTGACGAAGGACTAACACTCGAAACGTCATCTTGAGAAACTCTTTATATTATCAACTCAGTTGATAAAACCAAATTAACTAAAAAGGAAACTTCTTAAATAATTTTGCACAGAGGCTCGGGAAAACTTTGCGCCGACGAGTTTCCTTTAACCCTTTAACTCACATGAGTGACCAAGACAGAATTTTTCCTTACAATATCAATACAATGTCAACCAGATAAGTGATGAGAATAAAGAAAATATCAATATGGGAATAACTAGTTGATCCAATACTAAATTCCCTGATCTAACATTGTAAGAGTTATATGGTTGACAGTAAGGAGAATTACAAATTTGATCTGGCAGTTAAAGGGTTGACCAGCGACCTTGACTCATGCATGTTTTCTTTGCCCGCCAAAGTAAAGAAGGGGAATAAATACAAATCACTTCCTTTTTCCTTATTGGTCACAGTCTCTATCGATCGTGCTGACTGGAAATAAACCTGCAAATAAGTATGCAACGGTTTTCAAAATGAAACATGTTTGATGGGATCTACTGGTTTCACTGCTCTTACCAAAGAGAAGTCTCCATTTTCTGCGGCCTCTATAGCTTTGTGGGCGATGTAATTTCTAAGAACAAACCTGCAAAGAAAATAATTGCATAAAGATAAAGTTAAAAGTTAGAGAGATGAACAGAGGTAGAACTCGTCAGTCTCAGAATTCCTTTTGTTTTAGCGGATAAATTCCAAATGATGTGGAAGAACCGGGAGCTTTATGCTCAGGGCGATGAAATTCAATGAGTCAGGGCTTAAGTGCTGGCCGTGTCAATGTAATGTGGTCTTAAGCCAGACATACAGTTCACGTGGTGACTATCTCTGGAACGTAAATCGTCCGGGAAACGTAACGGAAAGTAGAGGAGGGGGGGAGGGGACAGAAAGCAGGGGGGGGACGGAAAGTAGAGGAGGGGGGGGAGAGTAACCCAGATTGGCAGGGGATTTCTTACCAAAGAAACAGGAATAAGCTCCGACAGCAATATGAGACAGTCACGCAGGCACACTTTACTTTATGCCTCGGTAATTACAAAAAAAAAACAAAAACAAAAAACAAGGTGTTGGTTACAGTCATTTTCGCCAGTGTATTTGTCAATTTTGATCTCTTGTCACGTACTGATTCTCATAGGAGAGATAATAGATTCGGGGCTTAAGGTCAACATTTCATTCTTCAAGAAGAACACAGACAAGTACCTTGGGTTGTTGGATTTCATTACCCTGACTCGTTCTTTGTTTACCTGTGTGCGACAGAAAAAAATTAAATCAATGAAAAAATTAAAAGGAAAGGGGAGTTCTTCAGAGAGTTATTTTCAAGTGAATGGAAGTGTTGTGTTTACCTCTTGAACATCATGATGGTCGCATTCCTGATCAAGACGATCTCTTGGCAAATGAAAGAAAATAAAAACAAAAGGAAGAAGGAATAATAAATGAAGACAAAAATTCACTTGTCAACTCTAATGTAATAGCATACCAATTATACATAACCCCTTCTCCCCTTGAACGATGTTGAAGTTTGTTGTCTGTGACTATACAATATTCAATAGGGAGGAAGGTATTGCAGCGAACTTCGGTACATTTAAACCTCATTTCTTATTACTTCCTTAAGAGCAGCTACGTGAACGTCATGTGTCCAATAATTTTGTCCTTCATTTACGATCACCCTTGTGGTTTCTTACCCGCAATCAATGATTCCCACTCACTTGTAAGCTGTGATCCACTGCGTCCATAAAACACGGTCGTTATTCTCTTTTCCGTTTTGCGTTGACACCTGAGTTGAAGGTCGGTCAATCAATCAATAAATTAATCAAACCATAAATAAATCAAATAGGTTTTATCAACTAAGTCGATAATTTAAATCGGTCACCATAAAGAGTTCCTATGCAGACGTTCGGAGTGTTAGCCCTTTGTTAGCCGTTCTAACGAAGGACCAGCGCTCGAAACGGCAGCTTTTAGAAACTCTGCGTTGGCCAGTTCACATCATCAACTCAGTCGATATAACCAGGTTATCTTGCTATACCCCCGTTCCCCCCAGTCCCAGCGCAGCACCACATTTTCCTCAGAAACTTACCTCTTTACTCAGTAATAAATCAACAAATCTCAAAAGTAATCACTTATATTATCATATGACCCGTGAGGCTCCGCTCGCACAATGCAATAGAAAACCACAGTAAGAACTGACGTGTGTAGGGCCGAACGGGTTGACGTGAGCCGGTCCGGAAAAAGCCATCCAGCTCTGCATTCAAAAACTTAAAGGAGTAAAAGAAAAGAGTAAAAAAAGTCGCGTTTTTCGATGCATAGTAGTTTCTGGTTCTGACTCGAAAGTGGCAAAGCAAAAGTTTTTTTATTGTAGAATCCTTTTTTTGAGTTGTCCCGCGTGCGCTCGTCCATCGCGTCCTATTTTCGAAATTTTCAACAGTAAGTGGTCATATAAAAAAATGCTTGTTCACCGAGTAGGGGGGCCGAACGAGAAAGTATTTGGCTCCCAGTCATGACACACGCATCTGGCTGCGCTCGGTCTGTAAGTTATGACTTCGAGCTAAATATTTTCCCGTCCGGCCCTCCCACTCAGTCAATACGTACATAGTAACAAATTACGTCTACGAGCGGTAAGGTTGTTTAAAATAAGAAGTGTAAATAATTTTTCATGTTGAATACGTCTTAAGGGTATGTCTTGTGGGTAGTTTTCAAACCATCCCATCATCATCAAAAACCCATTTATTTACTCTCATAAATCCGAGAGGGAAAATTGGCTCAGTCCGTAACTTACAGCACAGACCTCGAACTCGGTTAATAAGAGGTCTTTACTCGATCCATCTGCCCTTTAATAAGAAGATTCAATCACCTTAAGCTGCTCAATTTTTTCCCAGCGCCTTTTGTCCTCCAGAAGATGTTTATCAGCTTCCTTTTCAATATGAGAAATTACATTTGGATTTGACTTCCAAACCTCTCTGCACATCGCTATCATCTGACTAGAAACACGAACAAGAGGAAAACAATTGAACGGTCTATCTAGTAGCCGACCACTGATTTCTTTACTGCGAAGGTTTTGATAATTCTTTAATTCAATTAGCGCAAATTACCACTACGCGAGCTCGTTTTAAAAGACATGGGAACAAGTGGGAGGCGCGCACTGAATTATGGGATAGACGTTCACAATTCATTTGTTGAGGTGAAATAACTAAGGTTTCTGGTATATTTGTTTCTCTACTTTAAGTGGTAAACCACTATCTATGAAGCCAAGAGAGAATCAGGTCCAAGTCTCTTAACGAAACAAAATGGCGTTACGATTAGTAAGCTGGGCTCTGGATTTAGAAGCCCAGGTTCAAGGACAGGCAGGGTCATTGTGTTGTGTTTTTAGGGAAAACACTTTTACTTTCACAGTGGCCACCTTCTCAAAGGAGTATAATTAGATAACGGTAGGCCGATGAACTATAATAGAGTTCTCACGAAATGCTGGAGGTTATGTCCAATGGACTGGCATCCATGAAGGTGTAGTAAGAATGACCCTATTCTTATTCTTACGAATATGAGGTAAGCTCCACCTGTAATAAACGGCTAGGCCCAAAGGAGTTTACCGATAACCTCCTGGAGATAAACGCCAGAAACCTGGTGCTACAACACTTTTCGACCTAAGAAAAGAAGGTCTAATCGCTGGCTATTTTCGAACTAACCTCCATTCAAGAATCGTTGAGTACGCTTTGATTAATCCTTGCAGAGGAACACATTGAGACACAAGGTATTCAACGATGTCTTCATCGCTAAGAACAGAAAACATACGAGGTGATTACTCAGCTACAGTGCACAAAGTCAGCTTTGAACGATAAAAACCGTAGTATGATCCAAAACTGAATTAGCTTTAAATTAGTACCAACAATCACGTGAATAAAAAAACAATTTTTAAGGAACCCGTCACTTGATTTGAATTGAAGCTGTGATCTGTTATCAAAGTCCACGCCACTTTTCCGAGGGTTTCAAAGGGCGACATGATCTAAACTTTGCATCAGTTAAGGACGCTAGGGTAATGCTCTGCAGCAATTGCCGAATGCACTTCGAACTTGCTTTCAGTTTAGCTCTGTAATGCTCTGCGATTTGATAGATCAAACTCAACCCTTTGACCCCCAAGAGGGACCAGCATCTAATTTCTCCTTACAATATCACCTCTGAATCAAACATTAAGCTTACGAGAATAACGGAAATGATCAACAATTAGAGAAGCTCTTGATTGTTAAACAAATTCTCCTTATCAGCACCACAGGAAATGTATAAATAACAGTATGGAGAATATGCATACTGATAGCAGCGTGTAAAGGGTTAAGTCACCATCACCAATCAAAAGGAAAATCAAGATTCATCGCGCCTCGTTCATCCGCGCTCTCCTAAAAGACTTCTTTGAAGCGATTGAGTACGAATCTACCACTGCCATCAAGAGCTACTCGGTACTTATTCAATGAATGGGAGGACCACACGGGGAAATATTTGAGATTCTAACGTATAGATTATGCTCAGCGATGACCTTGCGTAATGACCGAGAGCCAAATATTTTCCAGTCCGACCCGACCAAACTCAGTCAGTAAGTCTTACATCATGAGATCCATGATAAAGTAACTTATCAAACTTGGACATTTTCCTTCAATAAATTTCCCCATTGCCAAAAATTCTCGTAGGTTCTGGCGGTTGTTTGAAATAGCTCTCTTGTACTTACGGAAAAATTGTTTCTTGCAGTATTAACAAAGGCGCCTTAACATAGCAGTATGGATGGAGAGACTAGTTACAGAACAAACCTTTTGGATGATGAGCACCCCGTTGGTGTTATATCACTGAGACATCTAAAGGTGTTGGTGAAATCAGCGCCAGTTTTCTCCATGGTGTCAAACAGGGCTGTTATCAGCTTCCTACCAAAATAATCGCATAGGACGTGTCAGTCACAGTAAGATATAAAACGTGGCGGACAGAAAGAGGATTAAGAGGTGTAATCAAGTGCATTGTGTGTAAAAGTTCGACAACAACTGAAAATTACAACTCAGAACTCCGAACTAAAACTGGAACCAGTTCTACGATAAAAAATTAATCAACACCCTCTATTTTCAACCTACAGGATTTGACAAGACAGGAAGAAAAAGCAAAAAAAAAAAAACAAACCAACAAACAAACAAAAAACCATGGTTCCGTTCCCTAATTGCTCTAACTGGTCAGTGAAAGTAATTTTGTCGAGGCAATAAGTTACATCAGGGGTGGGGTGAGGTTTGTCAAAGGGAATAAAGAATAACAGGAATATCCGATTTGACGGTATTGACAAATGGGTAGGCTTGTAACCGGAGGGGTATGTACTTACGAGCAGAGGGAGGGGAAGGAGAGCTACAAATTAATGGAATCAAATTTTCATTCACAAAAAGGTGGCCCTAGCGGGGTGGGGGGGGGGGATGAGGTTAGGTTATGACTGAGATTACGGTGTTCTCTCAGTGATTCATTCTTATTGTAGTGACAAGTTCAACTCACTCATCTGTCGGCAATTCTTTCTTCAATAATCCAAGCTGAAACATTCAAAAAGCATAATTATGATGATTACTTATAACAAAAGGAGGCTGCCATTCGTTCATAGATTTCTGTCGTAATTTACCACTGGTAAAGACTCACCTTCAACCTCATTTTAGCCATGTAACATCTTTGAAATTCTGAATCAAATCTGAGAAAAAAAAAAGGAAAAATAAATCTTCTGAACAAATTATCATAAAATGAGAATATCTCACAAACAAAACTTGCAAATGGCTCGTCAGAGTTTTTGGCAAGTTCTACACCCTCCCTCCAGTGGCTGGAGGTTTCACCACATTGCAAGGTCAACTCCCAAAGGTTTGCCCAAACCTCAGTGAGCTCTTTCCAAATAAAAATCAACTACAAAGCCTTCACACTTCACATACATATCTGAGATGATTGCACTAAGTCAAAGTTATTTTAGTTTGAAAAATAGGTGAAGCAAAGAAATCCTCTTATTTTGGACTGAAATTAGACAAAGGTTTCAAGACAAATCAAAAACTCCTAGATGGTTTTTCCAAGAACACCTGATCATGAGAACACTTACAAATCTTCTAACAGAGTCCTAGATTTGTATAGTGGTAGTACATCTTGAATGGCCTCTGCTAATGTGAGCAAATTCCATTTGCACAGTTCAGGCTGATTCTTGAAAGAGTTTCTTCTCCTAGCATCTGTTTGTGCAATAACATACGTACACTGTAAAGTCATAAGTAAACAAAAACAAATACATTTCCATGTTAGACTATGAGGATAAATAATTTTCATCTAGACAAGTCAGATTTTAACAGTCAATTGAGTATATCTATTATGGGAGGGGGTTCCTGTGTCCCTTTTTCCTGGGATGAATTGGACTTAGGAATGTTTGTTTCTGTCGATGAAAAATTTGTAAACCACAAACAAAAAGTAAATGGAGACAGGTTTTAACAGAGGGGCAGAATCCCGAATACCAAAGAGAAAACTTTTTGAGAAATGGCAACATTTATCAAAAAGTCAAATGTCAACCAATATGCAATGCAAGGTTTGAGACTCAAACTTCTGCAACATAGTTTTGAAGCAAGTGCTTCATCCCTGCCCCAGCCTGCTACCATACACTATTGTCACTGGATTAAGATTATTAATAGAAAATAAAGATACTCTCCTCTTGTTAATGACCTATCAATTTTTGACATCAGGAGTTCTCCTCCCTCTCACAGTTTATTAGCTAATTATGCACAAGTACCCTCTAATGAAGGGCACACAACTGTATCATGCCAATCATCTTACACTGTGTGACACAAAATGTTCTTTACCACTTACCAGATGCCTGACTCATATAATTTGGATCATAATAATCCAGAAATCCAAAAGGCCCATAATCAATGGTGACACCAACAATGCTCATGTTGTCTGTATTTAACACTCTGCAAAAAATTATTTGAATAGAAGCAGTAGTTTTTGCAGCCCACATAGAATGTAGCCTTACATCTACTCTTCCCCCTTTGCTGATAAAAGCCCTAACTCTACCCTTCCCCCTTCTTGATAAAAGCCTTAATACCTCTACCCTCCCCCCTTTCTGACAAAAGCCCTACTCTATCTCTCCCCTTCTGTAGTTTGAAGGAAGAAAAATGATACTAACAAGAAAGGCTATTCTCTTATCAACTGCCTGTCTTACCCATGACAAAATCCAACACACTGCCAACTGGCAACAAGGCGAGCAGTTAACAAAGTCAACTCTTGGAAAAAGGCAAGATACCATTCTTCAGGACTCTGAAAGTCTCCTGCAGAGATCTGATTGAAAAAAACAATAACAAAGTATGGCTGCTTAATTTATAAAAAATACAGAAAAATAAAATAGATTTCAAAAACATTAATTTAATTACCATAAAATATTAAGAAAAAATAAACTCTTTATTTACTTTGCAACTCAGAAAATGTATATGTGAATTTGTAGTCTGATAATTCATGTGTTTTTAGTTTTAATTTCTTGTGTTTCAACACCCTTGCCAAAAGGCATCAACAAATTCAGTGAAGGATGAACTGTCACTCCATGTCTAAAAACATTAATTTACTGCATGCCATAATGATATTTACCCCTTCACTCCCAAGATGTCATTAATAATTCTCCTTATGGTCTGTCATACAATTCCTTTGATGTTAGCTTAGAGAATTTGGTTTTGGATCAAATAATATTCCCCTGAATGGATATTATTCTACGTTTTCATCACTTGTCTGCTTGATATTGTATTGATATTGTGAGGAGAAATTTGGCTGATGTTTGTAACCTTGTTTCGTTAAAAATGACTGAGAATCATGTGATTTAGAACATTGATTGATATTTAAGCTTTGTACTTTACATCACATTTCAGTCAGTAAATCAATTTAAAAGAAAAAAGGTTTTAAAGTGTAATTTGCTAACCCGAAACAAGCCTTTAGGCTAACCTGTAGCCAACGGCCCACCACAGAAGTAAATAGAACATAATTGTCAAATTATAATTTTGAGCTATTTTGGAGTAGTGGAACACTACGGGAGTTAAAGGGTTAAGTGTACAAGTCAATCAGTGAGGGGCAGAGTTGCTTTGAGTACCAAGTGTGGTTGTGATTTAGAAGTACCAGTGCTCAAAGAGCAGTCTGTGGAATTAATTCAACATTTGAACTTAACTGACATACTTGGGGGAAGAAGGTTTTAATGGTGTAGCTTAGCAACTGATGCAGAATGTCCACTCTACCAGCACTAGGACCTTGATAATCAGTCACTGGATCAGGTGGCTTGAAAATTTCAAAAGAGCCAAACCTAAGAGAGTTTGAATGAGAATTCAATTTCACTTAAACAAAATAATAACAATTATTAAATAAAATTGTTGTGATTTGTTACAAATCTATGAATTCAACGTTAGTAATATGTGATATACAAAATTGTTTGAAATATATTTATATAATTATACAATGCAGCTCAAAGGTAAGGGGACTCATGTGACTGCCATTAAAACAAGCATAGTAAGCACATATGATATGTACACAATGACTAGTTGAATTGCATTGTTTTGTGGTTCAATATCACCATCTACCTTCCCTTTACAATTTTCTGCACTGTATTATTACACTTTATCATTCCACTGTTACTATTTTACTATATTGGGGCATTAGAACAAAAAAAATATACCACCATATAACTTGGCAGTACAGGGCAAAAATACCAACTGAAAGGTAGAAAGTAAATGGCGTCACTGAACAATCCAAACTTTGGTTTTTTTTCTACATTTTTTAGGCTCGTCTAAAGTAATAAACTTTTTTGCACATTTAATGGTTTTGTTTGTTTGTTTTTTTTCTTTTCCTGGCTCCTTTTCCATGTAGAGGACACAGGACACATCACAATAGAACACCTCCTTAATAGAATATTATTTTCATTGCTTTCATTCTTTTGTCTTTTTGTGGACTCTATTGTCATATATCAAACTCAGTGTCTTCTACACTAAGTGAGGGCCCTTCCCACACCTTATGTGACTGATCTGATGCTCATTCAAAGCTACAGGAATTATTTTGAAAACTCAACACCAAAATGCTATAAAATGAGCTGATGGTGAAATTATTATGATAAATCTCTCATTTAATGTTTTAACATATAATATGAATGGCCATTCTCATACTTAACCCAACTCACAAAATATCCATGCATATTATACCATCAAACTGTTATGGATGTGCAGCATGTCACTACAATGACTCACAACATAGTTAGCACTTAAGATGACCTGTGAAATACACATTCTTCCAAGGGCAGACTTCAATGGACAATTGTGTTTAATCAATATGGCAGTTAAGGCTTTTGTACCTCAGAAAAGTTGGAGCAATCCTCAATACTAGAGAAGCCTTTTCTTTTGAAATATTCCCAGTGTAATCTTTATCTCTTTCTACTAATGTATCTGAGGTTATACAACAGCCAGCTGAAAAAAAACAAACAAACAAAAAATGAACAATGCAAGTCTAGAATAAAACATTTGATTTAACAATGATAACCATAAAAGCTACCTCATTCATTTACCTCTTACATAACAAGATTTTTCTTTTCATCTAAGAAACTCCAATCTGAGAGGTTTGGCAAATTATTATCTGATCACATGTATTTATAAACAAAAATTGGCCAGTTTTATCCAAGGTTAGGGGATGCAACCCATTTTTTGGTATCAATCCTTGAAACCCTAACATCAGTATGCATATTCTCCATACTGTTCTGTACATTTCCTAGGGTGCTGACAAGGAGAATTTGTTTCACAATCAAGAGCTTCTTTGGTTGATAATCATTTCCTTTCAACATTATTTCGTTTCCTCATGTATTTGGTTCAAGCATTTTTGTTTATTTGGTCCTTGATTTTTCATTTTTTAAGTTTTTCCACCACATGCCAAGTGATTTAAAGCATATTAAATAAATCTGATTGAAAGTAACTGTTCTAGCATGGTAGATTGGTTTCAATGACCTCACTTTGATTGACTCGCAATCGCAGTTGAGAACACAACAGTGTACAAACTCTTACCTCTTGTGGTTGGTATTCCTAGGTGATACATAGCCTGAAATAATTTACAATAATGATAATTTTATTTAATTAATGTCACAACAACATAATATCAATAACTTTGGAAATAGTAAAAGATGAATGATAATGATGATGACAATGACAGCAAAACTGACAAAGTCAGTGGTAACCATAGTGACAGTCACTATGGTAACAGTAATGGTAACTATAACAGTAAGGGGTAATTATGATGGAAATTTACTAACTTAAAGATAATCTACATTTCATACTTCAAGTCAAGAGTCTTTAACCCTCTTAGTAAAGATTCTCTGCATACTGGTGCATGACAAAGGAAATTGGCTGGAAAACTTAATTTTTTATCCAAAAATAATTTGAACAAAATTTCCACCATTACTTGCTAAATTAAAAGGGTATCTGATAGGACTAAAATCATTATACCTCACTGCACAGGAATTCTCGAATGGATGATCGCAAGGCTTTGCGGCCATCTCTGTGATTAGAGAAGGGTGTAAGACCTGATCCCTTCAGCTGAATTTCCCATCTTTCCCCATTGGAATTAATTATTTCACCCAGATACCTGTTCCAAAGAGGATAGGAAAAAAAAATAAGTTGTAACTTAAAGACCCATCTTCAACCATTAATGTTATACATGTGTCAATTGTAACTAAAAGACCCATCTTCAACCATCAATGGTGTACATGTGAATATCAATTGAGTTTGGTTTGATACAAACAAATCATGGGGAATGTTTTCTGTTTTGAATGTTTTTTGATCATGTTAGCCATTCACATGCTGGGGATAGAAAGAGAGAGAAGAGAGGATTGCACAAGCTAGGAAGAAGAAGGAGAGGTCTTAGAATGCAAAGGACTCTCTCTCAAGGTCCACTTGTTATATATTTTTTTTTAAATCCTGTACACCCTAACATTAGTATTCATGTTATCCACACTAATGTCTGTAAATTTCCTGCGGTAATGGAAAAAGGAGAATTTGTTTGACAGTCAGGAGCTTCTTAAATTGGTGATTATCTCCAAATCCTCATTACCTTTGCATCTGATTCATGGGTGATGCTACCCGGGTAAGGTGAAATTAGAAGCCAGTCACTCTCAAGTCGGTTAAAGGGTTATGTGGTTACCCGGTAAAAAGTTGACTTCACCGACGAAAAACGAGCATCCAAAAAACGAGAGATTGGTCTACCATATGATGAGTGAAAATCATGTCCCTGCCACTTACATCGCAGCTCCATCTCCAAGCTGACCGGAGAAATACCCCTGCTGATGTCCGCAATAACAGTGAGCTGCAGTCTGACTTCCGGGAAGGATTTTGTCTCCACTCATATACTGCACAAAGTCTGGCCTTGTCACCTCAGATGGCGGTAGATCAAGGAGGGACAAAGCCTCCTGTGAGTAAGCTACGAGGGTTGGATTGTTTACTTTTGTCGGTTTTACAAGAGTGAAGCATGCATCTTTGACCTGTCTTATAACATTTTGTGTTTCCTTGTCGATCGGCAGGGAATTGAGAGCTAGGTTGTCAAAGTTTAAGGTCTCTAAAGTTGCCATGGTGTTGGTCGACGTTCGGAATGACCAAAGTAAAGAAGTCCGGAACAGAGGGACAAAGTGACGAATAGATTTCAGTCTCATCGGAAAAGACAAACCGCCATCTTGGCCGAGGAAACGAATGGACTGGGGAAAGTAATGTTGGGTCTGGGGGATGAAGACAGATCCTGGAACGAGGTTTGTAAGAAACCATTCATCATCAGAGGGAAGTGAGACTCTCGGAGGAAAACATTTTGTCTTAGATGGACAAGTTAAAACATCTTTGGCAAACTTTTGAGACTTCACAACACAATAACCCCACCTTCACCCTCTCCCCCCAAGAAAAACGGGGAGCCTCAATTCATGGCTACCAAATAGACAGAACAGATGTGTTGGTGGAGGGGTGTGGATGGGTATTCAAATGTTCTTAAATTCTATCCCAAAGTAACCTCTACACAGTTATGTTGAATCTTTTTTTCTGCCAGAGACAAAGAAATGTTTACCCTGCACACAAGGAAATCCTGGTCAGAAGTAACTGAACACTTTAGTTTCCTAAACAGGATGTGATTGTTCAAGAGGTGATTAGCTCCTATCCTGGATTATGCCAAACCTGCTTTCTGTTTCTCTTATAAAGGCATAGATCACAACTAAAATTTTGTGGCATTTAATCTAAGTACTTTAATTGTTGAAAAAATGGAGCTAAGACAGAAAAAATCAAAAGTAATTATCCTTCTTAACAAAACCACAAAACAAAGTAATAAATTATAACCAACTCTCTTGATGAGAAACAGAGAAAGTAAGTAACATCACACAAATAAGAGTTTAAGAGCGTTATTTCCATTGTTCTTGTTTATTTGATTTTCTTGGATAGAAAAGATAAGAATTAACTCAAACAAGTTATACCCTTTTCTTCCTCCAAAGAGTACGATTTATACCAGTCTGGCCTTTTGGTTTCCTATTGAGCCATCGATTTCTACCTGCTTTACCAATGACTCGATTTTCATGGTCAATATTGGAAACTCTCCCTAAAGTGGCCAAGCAATCAAGAGGAATGTCCTTCTCTTGTTTTGAAGGTAGTCGCAACCTTGCTGTAGTCTCAGTTTTATTGAGAATCTGAGCACATGTACCAGCAGCACGTACAAGCTGGGCACCTTTTCCGGGCTGAAGCTCGACGTTGTACACTACTGTGCCAATAGGAAGATGAGCAAGTGGGTAGGCATCCCCAGGTTTCAGTCTGGCAATAGATTGTGGCTTCCCTCGGAAAGCTGTGACAACATCTCCAACTTTCATCTCATGTGGTGCAGTGATGATTTTCATTCTATTGCTTCCATCTCCTGCCACCAGTGCAATACGACCAGAGCGACAAGGGTCGTAGCCTATATGGAGGACTTTGTCTCGAATCGGTTTAGGTTCTTCATTTTCTTGTGGCACGGGAGCTCTTACAAAGTCCACGATACGGAATGTCTGTGGATGCCCTCCTCCCTTATGCCGTATGGCGATACGCCCAGTTTCAGGGTCTCGTCCTGACTTCTTATGGTTACGTTTCACACTCCCGTCCTTGAGATAAGCTGGCACGGGAATGTTTGGCATACTTCGAGGTACCCTGATGAAATAATACTGAGTCTTGCCTTCCGCTATCATGCTTGTTGAAAAGGCACGGAGAAGCAAACTCGAGAGGGGTGAAACATTACGCATTGAGTTCGTTGTGGTATGGCGAAAGACCGATGTACTCAGTTTTGCTACGGTAAGAAGCTCATTCCATGCCATATTTTATGAAAACAAAACTGACGATCGGAGATGCAGGAATCACAAGTCTGAAAAAAAATATATTTACGGCTGTATTTACAAAAGAAGAAATCAACGTCATGAAAAAACTTTGAAAGGTAGATTAATCCTTACTTTAACGGCGACAAGATTTAATAATCATCATAAAACTTCAGATATTTAACTCACCAGATCGGCATCTTCAATTTTCAAGATGGCGAAGGCTTTAGCAAGCGAGATCTTATTTGACACGACATCATAACCAATTTTATGCGGGGGCCGCTGACAACAAGAGCCGTAGGTACTTGTCTGATCTCAAAACCCGTATGAATCGCAAAGGTCGCCATCTTTGAAAATCCTGAGTGTGTTGTTGTTGATTTCCAGTGGGTTATAACACATATTGCAAATCGATCTCCTGGGTAAAACATATTTTTGCTTCTAAGTTTTATTATATTAAGGATGACGAGTTAATCTAGTCGCAAGTTTTGATATGGTTATGAGCTAGATAGCCTTATTTTCGCGTACAGATTGAACATGTTCATCCGCAGAAAATGTACAGCTATATTTGATTGGTTATGCATCAGTTTCGGTTTATATTCTGTAGATTCTGCAGAATGTGGAGGCTTACTTTGTCAAAGGCGGCCAGAATTAAGCCACTGCAAGGATTGACACCTTCCTTGCAAGTTGCGGGTGAGTTATTTCTGGAAATCTGTATTGAAGTCACTCTATGATGTTACATAATATCGTTGTGCATTCCTCGTAAATACTACGCCCCAAGTAAACCGGTTCTTTTTTTTGTTTGTTTGTTTCAAGAAGTTTTAAACCAATGGTTAAGATCTTTGGTATAATAGACTTCAACATCCAGCCTGCCATGTATTGCAGCTTTCTTACAGTACATAGCATGCTGGGTAACGTTTCCTTACTTGTTTGAAAAAATAGTAAAACAGTGAAATAGTGTAGTGGTTTGTGCCACATTGCTGCAGTAATTAAATCGGACTAAATTTTTCGCTTTTCTTGGAGGATTTTTTTCGACATTCAGGACTTAACAGAAGTTGTTATTTTCTAGGATTGGGGGGAGAGGTTATTGTTGTACTCACAGTAGAAATCTTTGCTATAATCTTTTGAGACCATTTACAAGATACTAGATCTCCTTAAGTTGAATATACGGTCTTTAAAGTATTATTTGATATATGTTAAAGTTGATATTTTGGAAAAGATTGTAATGATTTACATTATGTATTGTGAATTATGTCTGTTCAATAATTAATCCACATCTTTATCACAAGCAATTATGTTCACTGTGATTTCCAGCAAAAATTCCTCCCCTTTTCAGATTGTTTCATATTTCAAATTAATTGACATAACAGGTTCATAAAATAATTTTTGGTGTGCACTTTTGATGTTTCAGCTCAGCATTATGCCACAGCTGCAGCTCCTGAAAAAATCGAGGTGTTTGTTAATGACAAAAGCTTGTTAGTGGATCCTGGAGTTACTGTCTTGCAGGTGAGATAACCATAGTTATCCTTGTGGAATAACAATTTTAGTTCCAATTTCATTAATTTGTACAGTTGCTTAGCAGTTTAAATGTTTACAGGTTGTATATCTCAGCTGGTGACAAAATTTTGATAATGGTAATAGGAAGCAGTGGAGTCCAATTTGGTCTGTAATCCTTCAAGTGATTAGCAAAATTGGACAACAGCGAAGCAGGAGTCTGATTTGTTAATCACAAGTATAATCACAGACAGAGTTGGATGACATGAAGTCCTGTCACCAATTACTCAAAACTATGACAAAATTTGAGAAAGAAACAAAACATTGGTCATATGTTTTCATTAACAACAGTTAGCTCAGCAAAATGCAAGGCAACAGTACATGCACATGACACATTCTGTCCACTTACTCAGGCATGACATTTTAAGTGTCCCAATAACTGTCCAATTACACCGTCCAATTACCAGCATGATGCATAAACTGTCCAATTAGTGCTCAATTTGGGCTGATGGTAACCAATATTATTTGAGAATTTTGGTTATAGTTTTGATTAGCTGCAGTATACACATGTATTTCATCTATATCTGTATGTAGGCCTGTGCAATGGCTGGGGTAGAAATTCCAAGATTCTGCTACCATGATAGACTCTCTGTGGCTGGGAATTGTCGAATGTGCCTTGTGGAGGTGGAGAGGTCCATAAAGGTTAGTCATTTCAGCTCTTAGTTTTTGCAAATCACAAGTTTTTTTTTTAACATTTTAGGACAGATTACTGCTTTTGTGTTTGTTGGACATGTATCAAAATGTTCTAAAAATATTTTTCCACTGAGCAAACCTTCCCATAAGGATTTGTGAACTTAATAAACTCTCTTTTCATTTTAAATCCTTAATCAATGGGTGAGTGCAGGGTGAGAAATTAATTTTTTTTTTCTGATAGCCACTTGGCTCCTAAATTCTTGAAAGTGGTAGCCAATTCAAAAAAAGTTGTTCGCCATTTTCAAAGACAAACAAAATCTTTCTTTATGCTGTCAGCGTTCTAGATAGACCCTCCAAAATTAAGTTAGGGAAAAGGACACTAGGATGGATGATATACAACGTTCAGGCTTATCTAAATCCAAGATGGCGTCTAGTTATCGATTGAGATGCATGTGCTACGTTTTGGAAACAAACTTAACGAGGAAGTTTGCCGCAGATTTATCGTTGCAAATTTTTTTAATTCACTATATCTCTTGGTAAGGTTATGATGAAACATTCTAGTTGCCAATCTGGCGACTAACTTTCAGGATTTGGTCGCCAAAGTGAAAAATTTAGTCGCATTGGCGCCTGTATTAGGCGCAATTTCACGCCCTGGAGTGGAAATATATTTTTTATGTAAGAGCAATTATGATAAGAAATGGTGTCATAAAGGCATATAACTTCTCTCTTTTCCTAAATTTAGATGTTAGTATGGTTTGTGGAACAGTCTGAGTTTCACTAATAATATTGTATCTGCTTCTCATCCCAATAGCCTGTTGCATCTTGTGCAATGCCTGTTATGAAAGGAATGAAAATCAAGACAGATTCACCAATGACAAGAAAAGCAAGGTAATGGGATCAATGTCAATATCTGAGTGGCTGCCTTCCTACCCCTCCCTTAACCCAGCATTAACCCTAACTTGTTACCAGTTGACTGTTGTTGGGTTAGGAGAGGGGTAGGTGCACACAACGATAGACACAATATCTATTAATCTATACAAAGTTACTAACACTAGAAGTACATTCTATTATTATTAAGTCTTAAGTGATACCATACATGTAAATTGTGACAGTTTCTGATCACAAAAACTACCAGTGAAGACTGGTAGACTACCAACAAATGGAGAGGTCATGGGAACATCTCTGCTTTTTTTATTTTTAATCCTTAAAAACCTTAACTCCTAAGAGTGATGAGCATCTAATCGCATCCTAGATTATCACCACTGAGTAATGAATATCGTTAATCATCACCCACTAAGAGAGGCTCTTGTTCATTAAGCAAATTCTCAGTGTCAGCACCTGAAATTTGTGGAGAACAGTATGGAGAATTTGCATACTGATGTCAGGGTGTTAAAGGTTAATAACTTTTTTTGTCAGAGAGGGTGTGATGGAGTTTCTTCTGGTGAATCACCCTCTGGACTGTCCCATCTGTGACCAGGGAGGGGAGTGTGACCTGCAAGATCAATCTATGGCCTTTGGTAGTGACAGAAGCAGATTTGTTGACAACAGCTTTTCAGGGAAAAGGTACTGTGTTTATTGACAAATGATAAAAATTCAGATTTATACTTACAGTACTGCAAATTCTTAAGAATGTACTAAACCGAGGCATTAGTCTTGAGATAAACCTTTTAACTCCTGTGAGTGTCCGTGACAGAAGTTTTCTTGACAGTATCAACACAATACTTAGCAGACAGATGATGAGAATAAAGAAAAATATCAATTGGGGAATTATTAGTTGATGCAATACCAAATTCTCCAAACTCATGTCATGAATATTGTATAGCAGACAATAAGAAGAATTACTTATGAGATCATAGGGGTGAATAGGTTAAATAGGTTAATATACATGTATTTGTGAAAGAAATATGACAGGCCATTGAAAAAATGTACTGTGCAGGGAAAGATGTACATTGTTATGTAGCATTCTAGATGGTGAAAACCCAATGCTGTTTAGGCTCATGGTTTGACTTGTACTGCTTGTGTGTCTGTATGTGCATGGTTAGGTTTCATGTCATTCCTTGATTTCTCCAGGGCTGTAGAAGACAAAAATGTTGGACCTCTTGTAAAAACCATCATGACTCGTTGCATTCACTGCACAAGGTGTATAAGGTAAGAGAAATTCTGTGACCAAGATCACATTTCCATTATCTCATCAGGAGTCCTAATAAAAGATCCATGCCACCAACAATGAGTTAACTTCATGTATAAAACCGACATTTAGGGCTTCTTTCTCTTATACTATTTCAAGGTTTGCAAGTGAGATAGCTGGTGTAGATGATCTAGGAACAACAGGAAGAGGAAATGACATGCAAGTTGGAACCTATGTAGAGAAAATGTTCAAGTCTGAGCTCTCAGGAAATGTAATAGGTATGTAATTATATTTGCACAAAAAAATTGAATTATGTTTCACAAATTTTTCACTCAATCTTGAAATCTCACCAGCCTTGGCAAGTGGGTCTCAAAGTTTTGTACTTGTGTCATACATGTAGTTCTCAGAGTTTAGGATTTGCTGATGTTATACCCTAGCCAAGGATATCTGTCAAAAGGAAGTTGGAGGACAGTGGTCAAGATCTTTGTGTTGGATGACTTTATCTTGTGATATCTGCCACTTGAAAATTTCATGATGTATTTTAAAAGCTGACACAGTACACATACTGTATATCACAAAAAAAATGCAAAAGAGAGTATTTCAACCTTATTTCTTGTCACCAAGAGTACCTTCCATGTCTATTAATCAGACTAATTGTAAGGAATTTTATCACTGAAGTAGCTTGGGCTTGGTCTTGGTCCCAGAGTTTCAAAATGGAATGTACACCTTCGGGGATCATGCAGCTCTGGAATTTTACCATTTTCCACTGCTACTGATCTTCAGGTGTCTGCCATATTTGGTGTCTGATATTATCTAAGCCATTCACGTTTATTTCACAGATCTCTGTCCAGTGGGTGCGCTAACATCCAAACCATATGCATTTACATCCAGACCTTGGGAACTTAGGTAAGGCCTTTTGCATTTGTCTTTTGTCTTACATAACTGGCAATTGAATAAGCTCGAACAGTAACATTACTTCTACAGAGGAATTACACTTTCCTATCTTTGACATGCTGTATGTAAAAATTGTTTCCCTGAAAAGAGAGTCTACTGTTATTTCATGCACAGTGTGATCTTCAGCTACTTTACATGAGCCTCTTGATGCAATGCAATGCTTACTGAGCTAGATTGACTGATGTTCTCCGTTATAGGAAAACTGACTCTGTTGATGTCATGGATGCAGTTGGAAGTAACATTGTTGTAAACACCCGGTGTGGTGAAGTCATGAGGATTATCCCCAGGATGAATGAGGTATTCTAAAAGAGCAAGAGACTTTACTCCAATAAGAAAGACACCTGAAGATCAAATTTGCTTTAATTTAATATTAAAAGTGCATTCTTTTAGGTAATGTGGATCATGTCAATATGTGATCAACTACACACTCACCCCTCCCCTTACCAAACAACTGTCAACTGGTGACAACTGAGGGTTAGGGTTGGGTTAGGGGAGGGATAGGTGGACAGTTGCCCAGATACTGATATTTTTTAGGAAATTTATATGGGCAAAAAAGGGAGAAGCCTTTCTTTGGTAATTATACAAAGTCTCAATAAGCTTTGTGTTTTAATTGTGAAGTTTATACAGTTACTGACACTGATTTTTTGCAGGATATAAATGAAGAGTGGATATCAGATAAGACAAGGTAAGAATAAGGGGGGATGGTGACTGGACAAATTTTTCGGTGATCAATCATCATTTTAATGCCAGTGTCCTACAGAGGGAGATTGAGTGACACTTTGGGAATTGGTATGGAAGACATCTTTAAGGTCAGGGATTCTGTTTCTGTGATTTCTGAGTCACACATTTACTACATGACTTACTCCACATTTGCTTTGACTCTTAACAACGTCCATGCTTGGAGAGTGCTGGACTGCCAGGTGGGAGGTGAATGGTTCAAATTCTAGACCAGACCAACACTCAGGGTCTTAAAATAACTGAGGAAAATGTGGTGTCTTTGTTATGACATCTGTAGATGGCTATACATACATTCTGGTCTTCTGGCATAAGTACAATAAACTGTGGGCCCTGTCTCCTGCATCTTCTCTGTACTGGTTGGTAGGGGACGGTAAATGACCCACCTTCTTGCAAGGAGTAGGGAATGTACAGTAACTCCCAGAGTTGTGGTTTTTTTATTGTTTATACAGCCCCAGTCCCCCCTCCCCCCCTCTGTTTAAACCAGCTTAAAACTGAACTGGACTTGCCCGTTTTAATATTGCAGATCAATAAATATATATCAGACTTCCCCTGCTATCAAACATCCATTGGCTACAACTGTTGCTAAATTATTTAACCTTGTAGCACATGTTAGTGTACATCATTGGTACATGTGTGTTATATTTCTATGCTCACCATCATATCACCCTTGAAACAGGTTCTCCTACGATGGGCTGAAACGTCAGCGTCTCACCAAACCCATGGTGAAAGATGACAAAGGGAACCTGACGCCGTGCACATGGGAAGAAGCCTTGGTGGAGGTTGCACAGAGACTGTCGCAGGTGAAGGGTGCCGAGGTAGCAGCAGTTGCTGGGGGTTTTGCTGATGCTGAATCACTGGTAGCTTTGAAAGACCTGCTTAACAGTTATGACAGTGAGGGGCTCTACACGGAGGAAGGATTTCCTGCAGACGGTTCAGGGTGAGTTGTGTTCAGCAGATCTGTATCTTTTGTGTGTTGGCTGCTGCTCTGAAGGAGATCGAAGACGCTTCAACTGGTTATACTCATTTTGGCAACATTTTGCTTTCGTTGTGTGTAAATGGAAGCAGTTTTTCCCGACATTTATGAGCGATTCTCGCCCACTTATTTCATTTCAATTTTGGTTTTTTTCGCTTTCAGGACTGACTTCAGGTCCAGTTACATTATGAACAGCACCATAGCAGGAATTGAGGTGAGCGGGGAAAGAAGCGTTTTTAATTTAGCATCAAAAGTGATCCGGAATTGCATGAGTATTTTCTTTGCTCTGTGATCAGGGTAGAAATTTCAACCGATCAGATGCCTCTACTTTGAATTTTTCTCAGCGGCATGTATTTGTAGAATTTTCTTTTGTTTTGTTTGGCTGTAGAAATGACTGTGGTTCCAGTTTTTACGACACTCGCTCTCATTATGGGGAGCATCATCAGTTCTCATCGCAAGAGTAGGCGCAAAGGGTCTGAGGTCTTGCTGCGGGAGAGTGATATTCTATACCCAGAGTGACTCAACATTCCTTTCATGCGTAGGCCATTTTAACCTAAAATTCATTCGATATCCAACACTAGTTTTCCATGTCTTTCAGGATGCAGACGTGTTGTTGATAGTTGGCGCCAACCCTCGATATGAAGCTCCGCTGGTAAATGCTCGTATCCGCAAAGGGTGAGGAAATCATTCATGTAATTATTTGACGATGGCTCAGTTCTCTTTGCAGTTTTCCCTTTTTTCCTTTGCCACAAAAGTCCGCCGTAGCAACAGTCCGTCCATTTTTAAATCACTTATGCTAACTCTGCACTTATTTCACTCGTTTCTATTAGCCTCAGCTCTGCTTGTAAACTTTCCCTCAGTCTCGATCGAGTATGCATTGTTTCGATAGCTTTAATTGATAATAATTATGATTCCAGATGGATGCACAATGACCTACAGGTTGCGCTGGTCGGCACTAAAGTGGATCTCACTTATTCATACGAGGTACAACATATGATGCGAGCTCTGTTTATACACTGGAGCAATTTTTAGTTCACTGTAGAGGGTGATGCAGGATAGCCTTGGTTTTGCTTTCCTTGTCACGTGATTGGTCGTGAGAATTTGTGGTATCCTCTCGAACAATCATATTCAACGTTAAAACCATTCGCAACCCGGTTACGTGCGTTTTCCCGCGCTTTAGCTAGTTAGCTTGTTTTTTCGTCTGATCGTCTTATTGTGATATCTTCTCTTCTGATTGGCTACTGCGATTACTTTGGTTTTGCAATACCCAATCGAAAAGCGTTCTTCGGCGATCAGCTAGAATAATGTTATTACAGAAAGATGTGAATCAATTGTCACAAGCTTGGTCATAAGCATTCGTAACTCAGGCAGTCGAGATGTCGCAGAAAACTTTTTGGTAAGGTTGCCCTTATTCAAAGTTCATAGGTGACCACGAGGATTAGCAATGTTGGACGTTGCTGTGTTCCGCGTGGACATTGAGTGAGCAAGATGGTAGATTTTGATTCCGGTTTCGAGTGAAGGAAGATGTTTATAAACATCAGCAACTAGCACGGAACAGTTCGGCAAGTGGTAGACAGTCCTTTTATTTTGCATCGTGATCTCTATGGTGTGTTTTTACCTTTCAGCATCTTGGCGACTCGGCTAGTGCACTGAACGAGATTGTATCCGGGAAGCACGCGTTTTCAAAGGTATTTCCCCCAAGCTGATGAACTGTACAAAATGAATCGCTACATTTAGTAATCTGTTGTGTTACTTTAGAAATCTTTAGAGACACAGAAGTGTAAATGATAGCCTTATCGTATAATCATCGAATTTCTTTCGTTAATCAATGGAACATTTCAATTTTTAATTTGTAGGTTTTGGCGAATGCCGAGCGCCCAATGATCCTAGTAGGAAACACTGTTCTCCAGGGACACGAAGGTGCAGCAACTCACCAAGTAGTTGCTGACATGTCACAGAAGTTGAAAAGTTCTAAGAAAGTCGACAAGGAATGGAAGGTTCTCAATGTATTACACAGGGTACGTGTTCACCCATGAATTTATACCCTCTCCCAAATTATCGAAGTCGGGTCTGATATTTACATTTCTTTCAAAACTAATCTTTCAGCCGCGTCACTGTTTTGCGGTTAAAAAAAATGAATGAACTTTCTAACCTACAGACGCCATAAATACGCATAAGCGAACCTGCAAGCAGGTGTAGACATATTAAATTTTCAGTATTTTTTCGTCAATAAGTTCCTTTTAGCGTACAAGGAAGGAAATCCAATCAGTGGTAACCTTTTATTTTAATAAAGGGGTAAGTTTCTAAATGATGAGGGGTTTCAAAGATGGTCTTTTTTATCAACTGAGATGATAATGCTAATTTTCTACCGTTAAGGGTTTCTAAACCTGACGTGTGGAGCGTTCGTACCTCGTCAGAGCAAGTTTCACGTTATTGTTGGTTACCACGACTCAACCGTGCTTTGGTTACATTGCCACTTTTTAGTGTGTGTTCGCATTTTTGTCACTCAGTTCCCACACATTTCCAACACACCACTTGTGTGGTTACCCCGATTGTTTTATTGTTAGCGGAGAAACCTCCGTAAACAGCCGTTTATCACTTTCATCCACGGAGTCCGCCAATGGGAACCATTCTCGTTAGTGGCCAGCTCCAGTCACTTACACCTTTTTTGCTTCCTGAGGATGTTCGCTCACAAGAGTTTCTAGTGCAGATGAAAATCTCAACTAGCAGTTTCTTAGAAAAGTGAACTCTACAAAAAGTTGGTGATAAACAATAAACAATAAACATGGCCGTTGTTATTTCGTAGGTGGCCAGCCAAGTGGCCGCTTTGGACATTGGATACAGACCGGGAGTCGACAAAATGACAGAGAAACCTAAACTACTGTTCTTGCTTGGCGCTGTGAGTTATTTTGCGCTCTTTACACGACTTTTTAGTGTCGCGTTTTTAATAAGTTTGTTTTGGGGGCCAGAGGCCTTCGTATGATAGTATTCGGTATCATATTATAATGGTTTCCGCGATCTTGCCGCCTTATCACTCTCTCCTTTAAGAAGATTTCGAGGTTTACCTTGTGAATACCAAGCGAAATCAAGTTTTTACACTTTATCTCCCAAGATCTATTTGTTAATTCTCCCCTCCAGCTGCTACACATTTCCTCTTAAATCAGCTACGAGCATTTGGTTGTAGATCAATGTAACAACTTCTTGTTATTGTTACCTTGTTATTCTGAGTATTCTCATTACTTATTTGCTGGTTATTGTATGAATAATATAGGGAGAAGTTACATGTTAATCACTTCTGGGAGTTACAGGTTTAAAGATCGTGCCTTGTTTATTTTGATATGAAAGCTGAAGTATGTCAATTGTAACTGAGCTGAAATCTCAGCTCGTCAACTGGGGCTGAAAAAACAGAAGAAGTTTATCAGAAGTTTCTGTGGGCCAGCCTGCTTATTAGGCTGAGACACCTTGAGTGTGGAAAGCAGATGGCCCCAGAAACATAACATGTACAAATACTGTGACTATCTTAGAAAGTGCAGTGTGCTACATGAAAGGACTCATTTTCGGATTTTAAATTGCAAAAATATTGAATTGCACCTTTCTTTGGTTTTGTAATACGTTCCTATTTTGTATGTACAGGATGCTGGATTAGTGAAGCGAGAAGATCTCCCTCAGGACTGCTTCGTTGTCTACCAAGGTGTGTGATTATTTTTGGGGGTGTGTGTGTGTGCAATTTAGAACGTGTGGTCTGATGCTCACTGTATAGGTATCCGCGCTTTTGCCGAAATCATCCCGATAAAAGTAGCTATGGAACTACCATTGTTCCTCAATGATTCATGTCGAACTCTGTGTCTGCTGCGTTCCAGGTCACCATGGAGACCAGGGTGCACACATCGCTGACGTCATCTTACCTGGTGCAGCCTACACAGAGAAAACCGCCACTTACGTCAACACAGAGGGGAGGGCCCAGCAGACAAGAAGGGCTGTCACACCACCCGTGTACGCGAGAGATGATTGGAAGATCATCAGAGCGCTATCAGAGGTAAGTTTTCAACAATTATCTCCTATCTCTTTTCGTTTAACCTAGATAAAAAGTAAATGGGTTATTACAATGTGTTTGTCTTTCCGGAACAGATTGCTGGAAATTCTCTCCCATACGACAACTTGGAAGAAATCCGGCGAAGACTCTCCGAAGTTTCACCGAATTTGACGCGATATGGTGATGTAGAGGAAGCGAACTTCTTTAATTTGGCTTTGGGTCTGATGCAGGTACGATTGATTTTGAGTTTTGCCAGTAATTCATCAACATTTTGTAAGATTTAACTGCCAGAGCCGTATATTACAACAATGTCATTCATAAGTTTCATTTAAAAGCATCGGCTTACAAATTTCCGCCATTGAGAAACACACATGTGCGCATGTCGTTTCCAAAGGGCAAGCGCGTGTTATGGAATTTCCCGCTATTGTTTGCGTGTACGGAGTCTTCTCTGATTGTTAATTGATGTGTTAACCCTTTAGCCCCTCAGAGTGACTAGCATCTAATTTCTCCTTACTATATCGCCCCTGAATCCAACATGAAAGTCACGAGAATAGAGGAGTAAAGCAGTTCTTGATTGTTAAACAAATTCTCCTTGTCAGCCTCTATGGAAATGTATAGAGAACAGTATGGAGAATATGCAGACTGATATTGGGATGTAAAAGGTTAATTGTGAAGGGAATGAGCCTCGATTCTCATGGACAGCAAATGCCTTTCAATGTAAAACCATTGTATTTCTCATTTTTCATTTCAGAGCTCTAAAGCACAATCTTTGAAACAGCCTCTGCAACCAAGCATTTTGGAACTAAAAGATTTCTACATGACAGACTCGATAAGTCGCGCATCGCAGACGATGGCTAAATGCGTGAACGCCGTGCAATCAATGAAGTGAAAACCATCCTGAGACCAAAAATCTCCTATGATTTGTAAATGTGTATAAATCGCTTTTTGAAGCCATTTGAAAGAACCGAAGGCGCACATTGTTGATGTGATCGACAGGCTTCATAATTTTTTTAAATTGGTTTTCTTTGTAGTCTTCTGGCAGAGATTAATTTATCAGTTAGAATTTCAGTCTCGCGATAATATCTTGAACGAGAGTTTCAACTTGTTTAAACAAAACTGATCTGAGTCGATTTTCTTTAAAACAACACTAAGATTTTATTTTCAATGGGAAGTGTGACGTCCAAGGAAAGTTTTTTACGACCCCCCTTGGTCTAAAGCGAGGAATTTGGTAAATTTATTAAGAGGAATAACCCATCGTAAAAAATTAACGAGTGGTTCTAACTTGTCAGAGTTATTTTTGCATAGTTTCATTCGTTATCCTGAATGAAGATGACAACATGTAATAAAAACATTCAAGATGAATGGAGATCTCGTTTGTTAAGACAGCGTTTTGATGCAACCCTGCGCTTCTTAGGGAAACAAACCTTGAACACGTGGGCAAGTTAATATGTATCTGTTTGGGAGGCCCTAGTAGTCGACACAAGATTGGCCTCAATTTGAACCGTGAGATATAGTACGAAATTCCCTGTTCGTCTCTTTACTGCTATTTGAAAGGGTATACAATTCTTTTTGCTGAGGACAACGTACTTATGTTGGTTTGGTTAAGATTGTGGTTTATCAAATCGTTTTTCCATCTATTACGTTTTCGTCGACCACTCTGCCTTAACCTTTATGGTAACACCTGTTTCATTCTTTGAAGAATTTAGGATTTAAGTTAATGTCGACTACACCAAGCCCCTCTACTTTTAGAGGTACTTCTAGAGTTTGACGCGCGCGCTGAAATTAGATTCACAAATTTATTGCGTCATAGAGGGACAATCTTGCCATAGCGGAAACTGCACAGATTTCACGAATGTTTCAGCCTACCAGTCGTCCTTCGCGATGTAGTTCTGACCGTTAACTAAAGCGCCTGGCAACAGGGCGCATCGCCAATTGTGTGATTTCTTGAGAAACGTCCTTCTTTAAGGGAAAGCGATCCAAGTTCTGTTGGCGCTTACGTTTGAAAGAAAATTATGTCCAACCATAAAGATATTAATGACACCCGCTGCAATGTGTGTGGACTGATCCGTCCGTGTCCGTGTGACGCGGAAAAATCGATACATGATATCGGAAACAGGGACAAGGGAGTTGATCAACCCATCATTATTATCAACCACAGAAGAATGTCTAAAAGAAGGCACTCATATCCTGCACCAGGTAAGATTCAATTGAAAGAAAAAAAAGTAAACCACGATTGTATTGGCTCTTCTTTATTGCCCTGTCTCAGATTGCTTTAGAAAACCCACGGCGTTATTTCAGCCAGTCCGGATGCAAAATTAACAACTTTGACGAGGTCATTTATATAGCAGTTACAAGCACTTGAGATTTTGAAACCCATTTATTTCAGCTGTTAAAGCTGTGATTTAGGTCAGTGCGAAGTTAGCGAGTTGCAAAAAACTGAGCACTAGCCAACAAGTTGGGCCAATCTTACCCGTCAAATAGCCCGGATAGCCAATCAGATGACACGATTCACTTCATCTTTCCCGCTCACAGACTTAGCCATATGATAACTTGGCTTTTCTAATTTTCAGGTTTGCACAGCCATAACGAGGCGGGAGAGGCGCGGGGCCGCCCCTCAAAAGACCAGCAATCAACCGTCGAGACCTTAACAAGGCATGCTGACCTTCAAAGGACATTGGCCGCGACACAGAAAAGCGGGAAAGCCTTGACGTTTCTCAAAGACATATTCGCTGCCAATCCAGATAACAAAATGGCTCTGAAACTATTCGGAAATAAGGCAGCAGTTCTTATAGAGCAACGTCGACAAGCGCGGAAGGGCAAAGGCGTCATTCACCCCTTCAGCACATTTCGCTGGTATTGGGACATCTTACTGATTATGTTTATTTCTATGCATGTTATTCTTCTACCTGTTAGTATCGCTTTCCTAAGCGACGATCTCTCGCTACATTGGCTCATCCTCAACGGTATCTCTGATTGCATTTTCCTCATAGACATTTTTTTAAATTTTGAAACTGGTTTTATTGATCCCAACAATAATGATGAAGTTATTTTAGACAAAAAGATTATTCGCCGGAAGTACGTGCGTAGTTGGTTTGTCATCGATCTGGTTTCGTCACTTCCTTTTGACTACGCCTACTTTATAGCTTCATCCTCGTCCACACAGCAAACGCTGATTAAGGCATCGCGGGCTCTTCGTATCCTCAAACTTGCTAAGTTGTTGAGTCTTCTCCGACTTCTTCGAGTCTCAAGATTAGTGCGATACATCAAGAGATTTGAGGAGGTATGTCTGTGTTAGCATGGGGAATAAGTACTAGTTTATGAGGGACACATCATCTTACATACATGTATCATTCGCGCGTTCGTGTCAAAATCTGGAATGAGATATCAAGAGAATATCTAATTTTGTCAGAGAAATCCTTCAAAAAAAATCAAAATGGGCTCTTCTCAACAGGCTAAGGACTAAAGATTCTTATATGGAGCCTGATGGGATAATACTAAATTTCAAACACGGCAAAATTGAAACAAATTGAACCAGTCCTACAATATCTTTCGTACACTTAGAAACGCAAGGACTTTTTCTCCTTTACAATGAGCATCTATCATTTTCCCTTTTTTCTTTTCTTGATTATTTTTTAATGTCTTTTTACGTGTTATTTCTTCATTTATGTGTTATTTCCAGTGTAATCAGATTTAAACAAGTTAAATTTACTGTAGTTAAGAAAAAAAATTGACCCGCCTCGATTAGCATCTGATATCTGCGGGTCAAAGGAATATCTGGTACATATATATATATATATATATATATAAAATATTCGTAAGTATATATTAATATCTTTATATATATATATATGAGATCTTGAGGATGGAAGGGTTTAGAGTGTGGGAGAAAACAAAATGAGTCCCCGCATGAATGAAACCGCAGACTTTCGGAATTTGCAGTCCGATCCTCAACTATTGGCGTATTTAGTTATTGTCATACGCAATTTGTCATCTGCTAGTTTCAAATGTGACAAATGCACTGCATACGGCCGGGATTAGTGATGTCGAATCTATCGAGTGTTTAAATAGAGTATAAGAGTAAATTTTGAGCTCAGATGTCGAAAAAATAACACTATGCATAAAAACAATCTTATCATAGTTAAACTCAGATCTACAGAGAGGACTATGCATCATTGAGCACATAACACACTGACTGGGCCAGACTTGGTCCGATTTTCCTTGGCAATAGAGTGCATTCTAAGAGCGTTAGAACATTCGGAGAACTCACGCGACTACTTCCCGATGGTTAATCCATTGTAAGTTACTCCCCCCCTGAAAGTTAGCCGATAGTTGACGAAGAAAAATTAGACACTGCATGAACGATGATTGCTTAGTCTACGAAGAATAACTTTTAAAAATATGACATCGAGTCATGAAATTTATCTGACGATTCACCAGACTAAACGATATTATTGCAAAGCTTACGTTTCCAAGCAAACGCCTTATCTCATACCCTTGCTACTGCTTTTGCATTTGTCATAGCTGTTATTTCAATTCGATGTTGCAGTTGCTGAACATATCTAGTGGTCAGATTCGTATCTTGAAGCTGATTGGCTCCATGCTGTTGTTGTCTCATTGGAATGGCTGTGTCCAGTTTCTTGTCCCGTATCTGCTGGAATTCCCAGAAAACAGCTGGGTCGTCATCAATGGATTAGAGGTTGTCACGATGTTAGGGCTGTGTGTCAAATAACGTGTGGTTGTAAAAGAACCAAATCATCGCCTTCAACGATGCTCGGAAATAGGACAATTTTTAACAGTGGTGGGGGCAAAGGCACGGTCTCTGGGGGAGGTGGGAGGGGAAGGGAGGATAGGTACTTTTGTTACTTGACTGACGCCGAATTGCTGGGCGGTGTCGGACGACTTCCACCAATAAACAATCCCTGGATCCTGTCCTGTTTCATTTGAATGTCTTAGGAAATCTGAGAGTGCATTGGTTTTTCTTTAGAGACCAGTCATAAATTACGTTCTCTACCATATGACACTAAAGCTGCAGAAGAGACGCACCGTTTTTTTCCTTATCCCAGAAGACTGGAATGTCTGACCAAAACATTGGCAGATATACTTTCTCTGGAAAGACGCTCCCTCATTTATGTGAGGACCCTGTGTTTCAGTGCACCCTCAACCTCCCGCGGGGAGTAGTCCGGTGCACTGGAAATTGAACTTGATGGATGGCGATAACATATGTCTTGTTGTGTCTTCTAATTCAGGACCAGCCCCCAGCCATGCAGTACAGCTGGGCGCTATTCAAAGCCATGTCCCATATGCTGTGTATTGGCTACGGACGGTATCCACCTCAGGCCATCACTGAATTGTGGATCACGCTGTGCAGTATGACCATAGGCGCGACCTTTTATGCAGTCTTCATCGGCATCATGTCTAGTTTAATAATGTCTATTGATTCGTCAGGACGGCTTTACAACGAAAAGGTAAGCAGGAGATGGGAGAGCAGTAGCACCCATGGCAATGATAACGAGAAGCTTCGACGATATTAGCGCATGCAAATCTTTATAAAACGAAAGCTTTGTAAAATCTCTTTTATCTAATTTATAAAATAATCAAAAACCAACTGCCATGATAATAAGAACTGTCTCACCATTTCTGCGAGGATCTAGCTTCTACAGAATGCTACAAAATGCTACAGTGCTACCAGGGCTGAAGGTCGGCCATACCTCTTGTTTTTTTGAGTCAAAAGCACTAGCCACAATACCACCGCTCAAATGCAGAGAGAGAAAATAAAAATTGAAGCTTATATGACAGGGAAGAAAGACGGGAGGGGAGGGGAGAGTTATGGGGCACGTTTAGAAACATATCATAAAGTATTGTTACTGCTTCACCTTACAGCTGGTTTAGAAACATTTCTGTTATCACTGAGTTTTCTTAGTCCTCTGCCTTACATTTGAAAAAAATGTTTTAAAAAGCGACTATTGGGCATTTCAGTTGAGTCAAGTGAAGGAGTATATGCGATACCGGAAACTGCCACTGCGCATTCGTCTTAAAGTGGAGGACTATTATGAACATCGTTTCCACCACAAACTATTTGATGAGGATATTATACTCAGTGAACTCTCCAAAGCACTGAGAGTGGTAAATATTCACTGATTGTTCACCTAAAATTGCCTGACGAACCTAATAAGACCAACATGAATGGCAAAAGCAATTGGCACGCCTTCCCTTAGAGGTGATCGATAAATATTGACTCCACATAACAAAGTTCCCCCCTCCCCCTAAACAATGATGACCGGTGGTGACCAATTTTTTAACACCAGTACAAGCACCAGGCAACAATGAATGGGGGGGGGGGAGGGAGGGAGAGAGAGAGTCATAGAAAGTTATGAAAAAAAAATCAAAAAGTAGAAAAGCGTGCTAAGACTTTTGCCACTCATTGTAGTTAACCCTTTAACTCCCATAAGTGATAAACATGTAACTTCTCCTTATAACATCCACACATCATCCAGCCAACATGTAATGAGAATACTCAAACTTATCAGGTAGAAGTTAGTAGTCTTGATCTAACACCAAATTCTTACAATTTATTTACAAGGAAATGTGTAGCAATCAGAGGGAAGAGTTAAATATTATTATTATATATATAGGTATTTTCGATCGGTGAAGTAGTACCCATCCCATAGGGGAATTTTTCATGGTCATTGAAAAGCAGTGTAACAATATAATAAATGTTAACTTTACAAAGGTAATTATTAGTTTCTAAAGAAACTGTTGTGTTAGGCGGGCATTTCAAATACTTCTGTCACTAGGCTTAACTAGGTGTAGCTTTTATTTGATCCTTTCCCTGCCCGTTTAGTTAAATATCAATTACTGTCCTCTTTATAGGTGAGAGAACTTTCCAATATCATTTTGCTTCCGGAGTTAGAGGTGTCTTGGTAAACTATCCATTAAGACGGCGTTATAATTCCAAGAATGGCATTTTGCCTTTTCTTCTATGGATTATTATGAGGCATTCAATTATCAAGATATATAATAAGCAGAATTAGGCACGCATTTTGATTGATTCTTACGATCTGTTAGAGGATCAATACATCAATGAATCATCATTAACCATCCTTAATAATATTTTCATAATATGAAATAAGGTGATTCTATGTTGCCGTGGGTCTCTTAAGTAATATACCACAGAAGACACCAAAATGTGGAAGGAACATTAGTGACACACTCGGCAGCGCCTCATTTCCCAATCATTTGCGTTACCACATTTTGTCGTCATCTATGGTCTATTACTAAAACAGACGCACGACAAAAAGAGATCTATTTGCTAAATGTATTGGATGCTATACCAGCAAATTTCTATACTTGGGTTTGCAGGATATTTTGGTTCACAACGTTAGCACATTGCTTCAAACAGTACCCTTTTTCAGTAACGCCAGTAGTCAGTTCATCGAGGATATCGTTGGCAAACTGCGATTCGAGGTGTATTTGACTGGTGAATATATTTGTAAGAGTGGACGGAAAGGAGATAAGATGTACTTTATTCAAAGGGGAATTGTCGATGTTCTGACAAAAGACGGTACTTTAGCCACCAGCCTTGGGGACGGTTCACACTTTGGGGGTAAGCTGGTAGCATTTGGAAGTGAAGTGTCTCCTTACGGGACTGTTTGTTATTTATGAGAGGGGGGAGGGGTGGGGATCGGAAGAATTTGCAGTCGATGTTTCTGTAGCCTTCCCTTTAAACTCCCTAAGGGACGACTGATCATCCCTCCCTTTTCTCCCCTGAGAGCCATGTGATCCCGACAGAATCCTCCACCCCTCCCCTCACAGGCGATAAATAGGCTGAAGTCTTAATTGCTCGTAAAGTAAATATTTGTAAAGTAACGCAAACTTATCAAGTTAGTTGCTTCTATAAAAAAATTTGATCGTGATTACTATCCAACCCAGAACTTTCACTCAACATTTGTTTTCTTATACTCTATACCGTGGTAATTTTTGAAAGTTAGAAACGGTGGCAGTGTTGAAAGGAAACCCTTTTACGCCGGAAGACACAAGCATGTTCGGCATACAAAATATTCGAACCTGGCGATGACTGTGGGTAATTACAAGTTGCCCTACCTGTTCCCTTCAAAACCATTCATGTATGAAAACAGCAAGTCTAGGAGCTCGAAAGTCTGTTAAACATTTATCCAAAAGCTAAGGCAGGCATGGCTGTAAACTCATGCCACTCCAGTGGCAAAAGCTTCACACCTTGCTCCATTCACGCTCTTCATGTACCCTTGCCAGTAGCCTCGGTCCTCCGCCATTCACCTAACTGGTTCGGTGGCAAAGTTTCAGAAATCCTTGATATAATGTGTATTTCTTCGCCAGAAATATGCCTCTTAACGCGAGAAGCACGCAGAGTAGCCTGTGTCCGAGCTGCGACTACCTGTAATCTGTACTCGTTGTCCTCCCTACATTTTCATGAGGTACTTCAGGAGTATCCAGATATGAAGCTCATGCTGGAGGAAGTCGCAAAAGAAAGACTCAGTCGCATAGGGCTTGAGCCGACCCTAAATGAGCCGCTGACAATGGAGAAAGAAACAGAGAGGTTAGGTAGAAGTGATATGGAAAGCGAGCTGGTAGAAATTAGGCCTGCTGGTTCTGGGTTGTATGGGAAATTTTGTATCTGAGACAAAGACCCGCCACATAACTCAGCTGCAATAAAAGCAAACCAAGAAGGAGTTCAGTCAGAGCTAGACTTAGGTCTCTTTAAGGAAAATGTCATTTTTGCTTCCCAGGATTATTACCTTGTACCATAACTTCACACGAAAGAACGACGCGAACTGAAGTGTTAGGGAAAGCTCATTGTTTGTCGTCTGAGGGGAGGGTGGGGAGGGTCGGTAGTTGGCAGTTACAATTTGTATGATCCCCCTACCGAGGTAGCTCTCTGTAAATACCAATTAAGTCTGTTAACGACGACTGATTACCCCTACGTCCCCTCTGAAAATCACGTGATCCCTCAAAATTCCTTCGATCCCAACAGGCCACAAACAAGGACAGGTCCCTTCGTAATGTAAAAAGGTTAAAAGTTGGTGACAAGTTGCAACAGTGAGGTTTTCAGTGAGTCTTAAGTCGTAATATTACACTCAAACTGTGAGTATCTTTGAAATGCAACACGGTCTTATGTAAAATTTAAATTTAACACTTTTCGCAGGGCACTATTCAAAGCAGAGGAAGACTCCCAAACGAAAGCTCTTAAGTTTCATCCCATCCAAAAAAAACCGTCTACTTCCAAGAAGACTACTCCTCTTCCGCAGTGCAAAAAGGCTGTCACGGAAAAGGAGGTTACCACGGCTTCAGATGCACCACAGGTTACCAATGTAGTAGCTGTTCGAAAGCGTGCCGCGTCTTTACCAGCTGCGCCAATGGATACCCCTCCTTCAGCTGGTTCATGGGTTGCCTCTTCGTCTACCAACCAACAGCCTAAGGACACATCTCCACCACGAACCGACAGCCCTTCGCCCAAGAACAAGGGGAAGATTCCTCCATTCCTAACAAAAGCGATCTTTAACACTGTTGCACCGGGATTGTCGCTTTTCGCGCAAACGCAGGAGCCTGGATTGGACGTTGTTGTCGAGGAGTACAGTGACGAAGAAGACCCGGATGTGATCGCAATCATGGCAGACTTTTAAGAATTGGATATTTGCACGTTTATCTATTCTAATGGCGAGTTCCACATAATTTACGTGGAATCTCGTTACTTTACAAAGGGACGTGTGGTGGGCCTCTTTTTAGCTCACGACAAACCTTTAAATAAAGATTATTAATTTTTCTGCAACACTTTAATGTGCGAGTTCAAATGTCTTTGCCATAAAGCCTATAATAAATTCACTTTACCTATAACCTTATCAACGTATATGTTTGAGAGTGATTCGCTCAAATATTTTTAGTGCCATTAACCCTAAAAAATAGGGCTTGGTTTTTTCCCCACGCTCCTCTTGTTTAAATACCCAAAACGGATACTTCAATTTTCTCCGTTACGCTTTGTAATTTTAAGGCTTTAGTTTACTACTGTCTACTTTTTTTTTGCACAAAAACTGTTAGTTTCATTTCATAGAGTTAAACACATTTTTTGCTTTTCAAACAAACAAGAATGAATGAAATGTTAACAAGTTTTCTTTTTGTAGCATTGTCATTTGAGTCTCCTTTTCATTTACTCCATCTTCTCCATCTTCCTACCGCGCAGAAAATAGTCTCTCACTCATTCCTGACTTCGTTTTTTCGCTGAAATAGCTTGTCTGTTCATAGTTCCATAACATCATTGAAGTCTCTCTGAGTGCTCCTCAAGTTTAAACTTATCCCTAGTCTCAGTTATTGATATTTGAAAGCGAGAGAGAGATTGGAACGAGTCAGGGAGGTACGCGCGCGACCAAGAGTTCCAAAGGAAGGCGACCCATCTCTCTCCGCGCGCCTATCAATAAAAGGAACTAATGAGAGATCGCTGGGTACGAGTTCACTAACATAAATGCGTTGATAACGAGCTCTTTTTACATTTCGTATTTACAGTAAAAAGGTGTCATAACTTAATTACATTAATCAGCACTTAAAAGGAGGAACAATAAAGAATGATGCAGTGGGAGGATTTAAGGGAGACGGCAACGCATTACATTTGGTGAGTTTTTTTAGGAAGGGTAACCCCAAAAATATTAAGATAAAGGGAGCCTGAAAATTTTGACTATCGAGGGATTTCAGTTTAAACGGGAAAATTCCCCTTTGTAACGCCACAGGAGAAACTTCAGAATTTTTTGAGATAACGTGACCCTTCAATTAGACTTGAGGGCCTGTGTTATGAAAACCGGTCTAGAGTTTGGCTTGTTAGATTATGCAGCTGTCTTTTGGTCAGCATCATTGTTCTGAATAGCTTCTAGGACATCCATGGCCGCCGCTGGGATGCGTGTTCCTGAGAAAAGAACAATAAAGAGCAACTTAAGTTTGGACAGAAAATAGAGAAAATTGGGGGAAGGAAAAGGACTTGACCAAAAAATACATTCATGCTACATCACCACACCACAGGAGGCTTTCAAATGAGTGACGTGATCGAGCCATTATCAATTGAGTATTGGAAATTATCCAGGTTAGCATTGGTTATGCTATAATTCGCTACATGATTGGTCTGCAAAACCACATTCTCACTCACTCAAATGATTGCAAAAGAAAAACCAACCGCAACTTGGTTACTCGCGTTTTCCCGCGTTTAAACAATTTTTTCTGATTCACTGCTGTGATTACTTTGGTTTGGTTTTAGAACACTTAAACCAAAGGTGCTTTCTCTCTCTTTCTCACGCGAAACTCGTAACGTCACCGCGCAGTTTTCAACTCACACATGCGCCATCGCTTACACTCACCGGGACCGAAGATGCAGTGAACTCCAGAATCATAAAGGAACTGATAGTCTTGAGGTGGAATAACACCGCCGCAGACAACAACGATATCGCTGTAAATAAATCAGCACACACAGACACACAAAAAACGTGATAATCAGCTGGTGACTATACTCAGTTTGAGTGGTACGATATCAATTAAACCTTTCAATCCTAAGAGTGACGGGCTTGTAATTTCTCCTTGTAGGATCATCCTTAAATCAAATGTGAACGTTGTGAAAATAGAGAAAATGATCACCTGTCTAAGAAGCTCCCGACTGTCAAACACTAGTCAATACTATAGGAAACGTACAGAGAACAGAGGCAAGAAAATAACTATTGATGTTATGGTGTAAATGGTAAGAAGTAGCTTTGTTTGAGCATTCAAATGATCAGAAACAGCCCAAGTTTTTTTTTTTACCCCCAAGAAGCTCGACCAAAATCTGCGCCAAACTGCAAAAAATGACGACTTTCTTGCAAACGATTCCTCACATTTAGCGGGATCAATTCGAGTTCTCTTTCAACATCCTCCTCATTTTGATTGGCTGTTGTGAAAGCCTCGACTTCAAGTATTCCCGAAACGCGTTCAAACATGTCTAAAAGGTAAACTTTCACGATGACCCCCTCCCTTCCTCCACCCTTGCCCCTACCACAAAACCCTCAAACTTACCCTCTTCCCATCGACTTCATCTGAGATATTAATTCAGGAATCAGGGTCTTGTGTCCAGCAGCCTGGGAACTAATCCCCACCACATGCACATCCGCGTCCACGGCTTGTTGAGCAACTTCATTAGGAGTCTATGACGAGAAGAAGAGCAATTTGCACAAAACACATCATTTTCACTCAACTTAGGCATTCCTTTCCAGGGCATCGCCCCAAAGAGGTCGCCCACCTATAAGGAAAAATTCATGACCTAGTCTTTCTGGGCGGACTATCGAATTACTTGACGCTTTTGGAGTAAGGCCACTCACCTGGAAGAGAGGTCCAATGTCGACATCAAATCCCAGATCAGCGAATCCAGTAGCGATAACCTTTGCACCTCTATCATGACCATCCTGACCCATTTTAGCCACAAGGATCCTGGGTCGACGGCCCTCCTGTTCCACAAAGGTCTGGGTACGAAATAGCAATCACGCCCTTAATTTAACAGTGTAAGTTAAGCGTACGCGTAGCCTACATATGTGCTCCAAATTCTAATTAAAACAGTCGGAAATTTAACAAGCTTTCGAGAAAGGTGACAACGATAACGGCGCTTCTCTCTCCAACTTGGTAAAGGTCCAATTCGCAGACTGGGAGTCTGAATGAAAGGCATATCGCTACAACGTCACCGCACGCAATGAGCCCGGTAAAGACCTAGCTTAGAATATACTTCTCTTTAGAGGCAAGATCTGAGGTATGATTCCCCAACGGAACTCATTACGTTTTTCTCATCTTCCTTAATTTATACAGCATAGAACACTGAGAGGGCTACTTCTTGAAAGTCTGCTCGTGACTGTTTCTTTAATTTTTCCGATTTTCAGGCCATGTAAGATAGCAACTCACCTCAACTTTCTTCATACACTGGCTGATTTCATCAGATTCGCCAAACTCTGTTTTGTAGGCACCGCTGACCATGCGATCACTGGCGACATGCCTTCCAACAACCTTAAATCGGGAAGAAAATAAGTCTGTCTGTGTCTACTCGCACTTTATAAATCTTGTGACATTTCCATTCCGCTCTTACATGGGCGTTGAAACTTGTTAAATTTGGGTTCTCCAAATTTATGGTATATAACTACAACTTAACCGTTGAAAAGGAGAAAAGGAACAGAGGCTGAACATGAAGGAAGCTTGACTGACTCGTCTGGCAACTGAGGGAAATCAATGGCGTTCTCCGGCCGAGGACTTATGCGCATAGACGCACTAATTAAGTTCCATTTTCATCACTTACTCTTTCCATTGCCTCGGTAATCTCGCCCACGGTGCAACGAACCCTTGATGCCTTCAAAAACAAAGAAAAAAAGGCAAGAACATTTTACCTTTTACCTCCGTCATTTGTAATTATACACACCTCAAAGAAATACAAACCGCCTTGCAGTCAAAGATAACACGAGTTATAGGCAGGGTAAAAATTGCAAATACATAGATATCGTTTACTTAGCCTGCTGATAGACCCTTATTTTTATAAGGACCTTAAGCAGTCAGGACAGCAACACTAAGGAATAAGTTCTGCCCATTTCATCGTTTTTTCTAATTTTTCTGCGACGTCCTTATTGCCGTCGCTGTCGTGGTTTGCTGAAGGTCCCTGATAGCGCTGCAGCACGCACGTTTCTCCGTTCGCAATAAGAATTGAGACAAGTCGGGGAGAAGCTAGCCGAGGGTCTGGCGCTAATAGTTATCCACGCTAGATCCCTTGTTGACCTCGCGCCGACTCGCGTTGCTCAATGCGAGTGCAAATAAATTGATGGGGGCCTGTCCGCCTACTATCGTGTATTTGACTTCGAAATAGAGATAATCAAAGATGAAAGATCATCGCAGATATACACAATTTAAAGCAGTCAACATTAAACCTCAAAAGAAAATCAGCCTTGAAGAAGGTTTCAAACTATATCGCGGTATGACATCATTCAGGATGGGTTCGAATCCCGCTCCAGCTGAAATTTTAGTCGGGTTTTATTTTCTCAAAACCATGAAGACCTTTCACCAATAAAATAACTAATGTAAATGAGTATGAGCTCTAAAGATTTTTACAAGCCGCAGTTTGTGTTTCTTAAATATGTTCTTGTTCTGTAACTCAAAGATACAGTTGCTCTTGTCTGATATTAAACCAATCTTTAGTAATCAGCGTGCTTTGTAACACAGATTCGCCATTTACATAAGCTGGTCACCGAAAAGGAAACGTTGAAAGCTTACCTTAACAGCAAGGTCAAGAAGATTCCCTTCACCCGTCTTGCAGCATTCTGATATGGCATTCATAGCAAGATTCACCTGCGGTGAAAAGAAAGCAAGTTTCAATGAACTTGTTTACTCAACTCTGCAAAGTAAAACGTTTAGAATAGTCCATTTTACAGTTACGGACTTGGTTGCCAAGCCTTTGAACAGGAGTGAGGCTAAGGGTGACCTTGTTATGATATGTGTCTATCACAACAAGATCACCTTCAGCCTCACTCCAAATCAAAGGTTTTGCAACTAAGTACACAACTGTAAACTGGCCTATTGGTGGACTTCCACACTAGATGTACGTTAGCGAATAAAAATTTAACAATGGATGCCACTCTTTCACATAAGCGGGGAGATTTAATCTGGCCCTGCGTACAATTTGTGGCCTAGTTGCTTGCAAGGGAAATTTTGGGTCACAAAGACTAGGTTCGAACTCTGCTTACTGGAGCTTGGACAGGTCACTCTTTCTCTCTCAAAGCCTTTCTCTACTTAGGGCACCAGAAAATTGACCGACATTCCGTACAGTGGGAGTGCCAATACTCTTAGCTGCTTTATCTAAGGAAACCGCAGTAAACCACGACTTTTGAGCTCGGTTCGTAGGCAGACTATTTTCCAACTAAGGTAGAGACTGCTCTCTTGGGAGAGTTCCGTTACTACTAAAAACAAACATTTCAAATCTTCACCTCGTCTTGATTTCGCGTCTCCTTGATTCGCTTAATTTTCTCGAGCTGAGAGAAAGCAAATGCACCAAATTAAGAATAGCAAAAAAAAGATTTCTACAACGAGTTGTTCGAAACTCGATTGAGACAAAATTTCAACTGTATAATAAAAAATTTGTAAATAAATAAGTACACATTTTAAATAATGTGATTAATAAAACGTTACTTTGTCAAACTTTCCTAAAAAATATTGAGGTACCTTCCTTCTTTCCTTTCAAATTGGATCAAACCACGAAAGTTTATTAGGGAGTTTAAGATGTAGGGGAAATTTCGCCTAAAATAAACTTCCATTTCTACCAATAATTTCGCCAGTAGCTCGGTGGGTTTACTTTCTGAGTGTGCGCTAAATTTGAAGATTTCACTTTGTTGTTATGCATGGAAGGTTAAGAAATGTACAAAGTTCCAAAACGCACGTGCTGAGCTTTTGTTCTGCAAATTAAATCTTTTGTTTTGCTACGTTCTCGTTGCTGTCGCGGTTGTGTTTTTTTTTCCTCAAAGTCCCTATCATTCAAGTCAAAGTTTGTCGAACCGAAAAAGCGAAAGATCTCAAGAAAAGTAACGCTCCCGCTCAACTCTCTTAGACTTCTTCTTGAAAACGTTCACGCTTTGGGGAAACCCTCTGATCCAGAACAAAATTATGCAAAGGAATTGGTTCATATTTTGAGAAAATTTAAGGTAAAAAATTAGTCTTGACAGTTACCTGGCTTTCTCGCACTTTGGTGTTATCCACAACAAGCACGTCTATTTCTTCTTCTTTGGCCAAGCGGTATTTATTAACACCGACGATAGTTTCTAAGAGAGAAAAACTGATTTTATTCACCGATCGCGGCGAATTTGATCGCCGGCGAAAATTACTGATATCTGACATGCCAGACATCGGCGAAAATCGCAGTCGCTGCACTGGGCACACGTGTGGCGATTTTCGCCGATTGCCGCGCCCAGCGTATAAAATTGCCAAGTGTGTCACTGGCTTTAGAGAAATCAGTCTGCATGGCAGGCAATCGATTGAACTGGACGCGAGTAATTAAGACCAGCACGTGCAGGAGAAAGTTACGTGTGCTACAGGCGAGTAAAAGCCACAAGTATAGAGAAACATGCAATCAATAATTTCCATCGGTGCGTCACGACTGACAACCATGTGTACTTCGATGGGTTTCCTAAACTGTAGAGGAAACAAAAAGACAGCCTTCTCTTCGCTGATCTCCCTTGTCTACTAGGTGACATGCCAGACTTGGAGAGGAAACTGATTTGACCACATTCGAAATTCGACAATGTAGGTGACTTAACACGGAAACAAAAAACGGTTTAAAGGGGTATATTGTACTCTGTTTAGTTATCCTGCTTTCCAGTTCCTTTTTAACGAGTCTATACCCATCACCCATGCCCATAAAACGTTAAGTAAAGAGCCGAATATTATAATAAGTCAAGGATTCTTGACAATTTGAAAATCATTTTTTGCGAAAAGTTTCTCAGAATCAACGAATCAATTATTTCTACCTGAATTCAAATCTTCAGAATGCAACCACAACAGCACATTCGACCTCCAAGATGTTCAATAGTTACCTGATCCCGAGTCAATCCTAGCTTGTCGCTTGGCTGCACATTCCTCAATTCTCAGTTTCGGCATTCCAGCAGCAACAGCTTTAGCCATACCTCCCATTTCTTCAACCTGATTATCAAATTCTAGCAGTAAACTTTCTTATTTTATTAACACGGTCCGAAAAAAACCACCGGAGAAGAGAATCATTGTTGTTTAAACGCTTCATTTGGGAACTACAGCTTCAACTTATATCACTCCACAGAGAGTACAATTTAACCGTAACCATAATATCAGCTACATCTTGCTATAACAGCGCTACCACAAACTAAAATTCATCCCGTTTTTTAGGCTCAGATTAATTAAACCTGCATGATTTCGGGCATAATGCCATAGTCAGCTCTCTTATAATTGGCTAATCATGGCAGTAACCATATCGACACCAATATCCTCACAGGTGAAAGATAAAAGTAGTATCTTCACTGCGCGCGATGAGGAAATGATTTTTTAGTAAAAGGAAAAATCCTGGTATCTCATCGGTATCTATATAATAAGCCGGTAAAAATTATTCAGCAAAAACCTGTTAAAGTACGTCCCAAGTACTTTCACAATGAAGTTTTCAGGGTCGTTTTCAGCATATACGTCTCAAACGCAGTTTCTAGTACTTTTCTGTAACTTTTTTAGGGGAGGTCTACAATAAATTGAATGCCTTTTACCTTAAGTACTTATTTAGTCCAACAATATGTTTAGCCCTGAGAATTAATTCCAATAAAATGTTTTGTTCTACATTTCAGTTAGGCCCTAGTAAGTTTTAGGGAGGGGGGGGGGGGTGGGGGATCGAAGGACTCTTTAACGCTCTTAAATTGAAGTTTTAAATGGAGGTTGATACAAAATCATAATCAAAGTCATAATTTTGAGGATAATGCTATGTTTTCAGGGGGTGACGCTCAAAAGCGTAATGCTAGAATTTTCGAGCATAGTATATCTGACCGCACCGCTTTTCCTCATATTATAATGTTCCATGATTATAACTACACTTTTTCGTCCCACTTGCCGAAAACCACTTTCTCTCACAGTTGCCAAAAGCCACTTTTTTTCACGATTGATAAAAGCCACTATTCTCGCTCAAGCCTGGACTTTTTCCTCCATTTGCTAAAAGCTATGCTGTTTCCTTCTCCCTTTTTCCCACGCTATTTCTCTACAGCTTTCCACAAGTCACAGTTTTCCCGCGCTATTCACAAGTAAAGTTCCTTACCACCCTATTCACATATTCACGTTCAGCCCCGCACACGCTTTACGCATCCAATGACTACTACCGTTTCTTTCTGGCATTGGTCTTAAATTACTAACCTCGTTAATAACAGCCAGGCCTTTTTCGTATATCTCGTCTGTGAGACACTCCATCATATGCGATCCACCCCATGGGTCTGCAACCTAAGGGAAAAAAAAATTCACGTGAGTAACGATGTCACATTTCTTTATCTTTACATCTGAGTTAGAAAAAGTTCAAAAGAAATCAGTGAGGACAATTCTTGATTTAAATTGAAAATCAATCGAGGATTACATTAGGAATGCCAGACTCCTCTTGAAGAATGATCTGTGTGTTACGAGCAATCCTGGCACTGAAAGGCGTGGGTAGTGCCAAGGCCTCGTCGAACGAGTTGGTATGCAAGGACTGGGTTCCACCAAAAACAGCTGCCATCGCCTCAATTGTTGTCCTGATAATGTTGTTGTATGGATCCTAATTGTAGACAAAAATAATAAACACAGTCTTGCATATACTACATCTCAATTGAGGTCCATTACATCATATCAATTTTAACTTGTGAATAGCTTGAGAAACTGCATTTGTGGAGAAAAATTACCCGTACACTAGTTCATGACAAATTTGGCAACTGCAGGTTTCTATTTTCCCTGATCCTATAACAAGTATGTGGAGAACGCGGCGAGAAAACCTCATATTTTTTTGTCTAAATGGAATTTATTTCTCGAAGACAAAAAGGCGTTTGTAAACAAAACGTTCAACCTTTAGGAGAAAATGTTTCTCTACAAAATCGAAAGGAATTTGTTAAGAATTTTGTTGCATGATTCTGACATCATTTTGCAGAAAAAATGAGAAAAAACTCTATTGACTGGTTCTTGCTCTGAATCTTTCATTTGAGGTGTCTGTTACCTTGCTAAAAACAACTAAAAAAGTACAACAAAAATTAAGACGCTACGCTAATGGAATTGATAACTAAATCATGACCAATGAAATTGAGTTACTGTGTTTTGCCCTTGAGATAGCAGTCATTTTTATAACTAACAACCACTTTTTTCAGGGAAAAAAATGTGCAGAGAAATTCACTACCTGCTCAGTGAGAGACCAGCCAGAAGTCTGGGAATGAGTCCTCAACATGCAGGACTTCATATTCTTTGGTTTGAAATTTTCCTCAATCTGACGAGCCCACAGTCTACGGGCAGCTCTCATCTTTGCTATTTCCATGTAGAAATTCATTCCAATTCCCCAGAAGAAGGACAGACGGGGTGCGAAACTGTCAATGTTCAGTCCAGCTTTGAGTCCTGAAAGAAGATGGCAAGTCAGAAGAGTGATGGGCCACTGGTTTTGTAACTTTATGTAAGACAATAAAACTATTCCACGAGAAAACAACTAGCTTCAACCCTAAAACACCATTCTCTTGCTCTTCATTGTTATTATTATGTAATACTTCAAAGTCTTTAGATGATCCCTACAGACACACCTTTAATCAGCATGAAAAAATTAAAAAGAGCTTCCATCACTATACAAAGTACATGACTTCTCTCTCTGTACTTTACTCTACCAGTGTTCTTCCCTTACCTGTTCTGCAGTACTCCAGGCCATCAGCTAGAGTGAAAGCCATTTCCAACACAGCATCTGCTCCAGCTTCTTGCATGTGGTAGCCAGAGATGGAAATACTGTTATACTTTGGCATATTCTGTCAAAAAAAGAAGTATTGGAAAAAAATTTGAAAAAAAGTATCAGGATGGCTATGGTGACAGTCAATTTAACCTAAATAGTATTACCAGTACCAAGCAAGGCAACGTATGACATCTGGTGATTATCATTCTACTCTTCCCCTTGGGATAGGAGACTGATGTTATCTACTTTAATTGACTCCCATCATTAATCATTCATTAAGCTGAAAGATAGACATTTTACACCTGCATGTACTATGTACCTGTGATGTGTAAGAGAAGATATCCCCAATGATCTTCATGGATGGTTCAGGAGGAAAGATGTAAGTATTGCGCACCATAAATTCTTTTAAGATATCATTCTGAATGGTTCCTGAAAGCTGCTCTTGTTTTACTCCCTAAAAGTCAAGTCGCAAACATAACAAACTTCTACTTCTAAAAGATCTCATTCATCATAACTAACTCTATTTTACGCTGTGAACTTTGAACTTAAAGTTGGCTGATGGCAATTTCCCTTAAAATATTTTCCTTGAGGAAATTTGGAGTAACCTTGTGACGATTCATGTATATACAATGTACAGGTCTTAATTATTCTACTAGCTCTACAAGCATGCAATGCGAGACCAATCTCATGTTCTAATTGAATAACCCTGCTGGCAAAATGGGCCAGTCTTACCCACCGGAGATAACCTGCTTCAATCTTGCAAACATGACAAAAGAGCTTGTGGCTGGTTTAAACTCTCTATTACCTCAAGGTAACTTGATAATGTTCCAAGAAAAAGTTTTCAAGAAGTTTTGACACCAATTAACAAAGTCACTCACACATCCTTTGAGAGTCAAATCAAAGAAAGCAACAATGAGAACATGTTCCTGGAACTTGTCCATAACTTTGATGGCGTTATCCCTTTACTGTATACTGTGACGAAATGCTTTAATGAATTAGCTTGTTTGGCTATAGTGGCCCCATGTTGACCTGTCTCATGATGTGGAAATTTATTAACTTCAACTTTATCCCCCATCCATAATAACACAAAAAAGAACTTAGCCAACACCCAAGCCTTTGGATTCCAAGCTTGATCAGTGACACTATGACACTTAACACTGTATACAAGATGTCATAATACTTACTTGTTCCTCTGCTGCCACAATATACATTGCCAACACTGGTAAAACAGCACCATTCATTGTCATGGAAACTGACATCTTATCCAAAGGTATATCGTCAAATAGCATCTAACAAACAATCAATACTTTTGTTTACTGATAAATTTGCTTACATTTGTATTTGCAATCATTTCTTAAAATGTTAATGATATTTGTTTTCACAATGTTTTGAATCTGCCTCCTTCCTCAAGATGCCACCTTAAAATTGATGGATTCTGCCAATGCATCTACATCATTGTTGCTGATCAATTCACATCATGCAATGATTTATTTTGGGGTTTGGAATTGTTCACCTTGAATATACTGCCGAGCATGCCACTGCTTGTCACAAAGTGTTCAATTGTGGCACACCAGAGAATCACAACATGATCTGAGTGGCAATGAAAATGCAAACATCATATTTGAATAAGTCAATATATACCTTCATGTCTTCTACTAAATCCACTGCAACTCCAGCCATTCCAACATCACCAAGAACCCTTGGGTTGTCTGAATCATAACTAAGATAAATATCGAGATGTAATCAGAAAAGTTCCAAATTCCTCGATTGTGATTGGTTTTTAAAACTTTTTCCTTTAAATAACTTGCCACCACAAGTTGTTGTTTAAATCAACCAATCACATTTAAAATTGTAGTTTAAATCAACAACTCATAATTATGTTTTCAATCACCATAGAAACAGTGTACAGACTCCTAAATTGGGGCTTCTCTTCTTTTCTCAGAAATTGTAATTTTTATGTTGATTAAATGGTAATAAGACTTTGTGGATTCCAATTTAGTCTGTAATTATACTCCTGATAACAAATCAGACTTCTGCTGCTTGGTTGTCCAATTTTGCTATCACTTGTATGATTACAGACTAAATTGGGCTCCACTCAGTCGTATTACCATTACTTAATGTTTTGTTTACAGAGAGAGACCTGGGTCAAATGCTAACCTTAAGAGGTGCAAGACCACGTGTAACAAAATTTAATTACATTTGCTTTAAAGTTTCATGTTATGCACAAGAGACAATGATTTACTCCTGAATTTCTCAGTGCCAATATTGTGCCAGATCTGCCTTTAGCCAGTTTTCAGTTTTAAGTGCCATTTTGCAGACAAACTTGGACAGATACAAGTCTTTAGCATTTGATCATGTCTTAGTTCTTTAATTTGCAACTGTTTTATACCCAAAATATAGGAAAACATGTAATCTCCCTTTATTAATGCTTCAGATAGAGTCATTAATAAATCACTACTAAAACTTCCAAGTCTTTGTGACATGTTTTCTCTTTTAAAATCGCTGTTTCACATTCCTCATTGTTCCAGTTACTGTACATGCTCCTTTCTCTGATGGGTTTTCTGGACTGGTTTTCTCCATAACAAAAGTTTCATTGAGGAGTAAATTGACATACTCTACATGTAATTTGATACACTCCAGGCAATAATGTGACTGAATTACATCTATATACCATTAAGTGTCTTCATTCATTTATCTATAGATACAATTTGCTCACCCTCTATGCGTAGCAAGATCAAATGCAACGCTAAGTCCCTGCTGTCCAGCCTTTATATTGTCACGGTAAAACTTGTTACTTTCCTCAACAGTACTAAAACCTGCATACTGCAAACAATAAAGGAATTTCTTTAAAATAATTGGCTTTAATTAACTATCAGCTGGGCTAATTCACATATCATGCTCTTTATTTCACTTACCTCCCCAAGAGTAGACTGGGCTGGCCAACATGATTGATGAAAGAAGTTTTCCCAGTTAAATAAATAAAGTGAAATAAAAAAAATTGTGCTGGCCAGATCTGATAAGATCTAATTATAGGGATCTCAACCTCAGGATTAGCAGGGTACTTGGTGGTGGAAATCAAAGACAATCTACTCAGGGATTTCTTTTTGAAAACACTGACTTGTATTTGACCTTTCCAGATACACGCATTGATCTCTGAGAATTTTAGAGGAACACTATCTATCTTCTAAAATAACAATTTCAATCCCAATATTTGAGGTTTCATTTTTTATGGTAAACAGATACAGAAAGAAGAAATTGTGATATTCTCACAACTTCAATTTAGAAATTGTCTTTATTGTATCTGAAAACTTTAACCCCTAAGTGTGACTAGCATGTAATTTCTCCTTACAAAATCACACCAGAATCAAACATCAAAGTTGCAAGAATCAAAGAAATGATCACTAACTCAAGAACCTCTTGATTGTTAAACAAATTCTCCTTGCCAGCACCCTGGGAAATGTATAGCGAACAGTATGAAGAATATGCATGCTGAAGTTAGGGTGTAATGGCCAAGCAAAGCTTGTGTAGCCCCTTACATCTCCCTTGATCCACAGCCTAAGTAGGACTGCTACAAGGGTCATTTTGAGTCAACTGATAAATTAATGGACTATATTTCCACTATTCCCAGTAACAATACTACTCTTCAAGAGATGTGGTGACCTCTTGGTGCAAGTTAACCCTTTAACTCCCAGAAGTGATTCAAATGTAACTTCTCCCTACAATATTCATCCACTATCCAGCAAACAGGTAATGAGAATACTCAAATGTATCAGGTAGAAGTTGTTTTCTTAATCTAACACCAAATTCTTGCAGCTAATTTACAAGGACATGTGTTGCAGCTATTGGGGAGAATTAATAATCAGATCCTTGCAGTTACAAGCCTAAGGTTGATTAGATGTATTATATTCAGTTAGAGACCCAAAATCAAAAGGTCCAGGTTTGTGCCCAGATGGAAGTCACAGTTTTATATCTTACCATTACAGTACCTCTCTTCATCAAGGAGAGAAAATGAGCAGAAGAAGGAGTAATACTCCATTTTGTCTCATTATTACAGAAACTGAGGTAAGCTCTGGCAGCTGTCAGAGTCTGACTCACTTAACCCTTTAACCCCCAAGAGTGACTGGCATCTAATTTCTCCTTACAAGATTGTACCTGAATAAAACACTAAGGTCATAAGAATAAGGGAAATGATCAACAACTAAATAAGCTCCTGATTGTTAAACAAATTCTCCTTTTCAGAACCTTAAAAAAAGTGTAGAGAAAGTATGGAGAATATGCATATTGATGTTAGGGTGTAAAGGTTAAATTACAATTACACCTTACATCTCACCATCTTTCATCTTCTGTGAGGTCTTCAATTAACATACCTGTCTGATGGTCCATGGCCGGTTAGTGTACATGGTAGGGTATGGTCCCCTGGTAAATGGAAAATTTCCAGGTATTTCTTCCTCAGAGTGCTGTGTGTCTGTTTTAGTATACACAGGTTTGATATCAATACCCTGTGTAAGGTGGTAAATATCTCATTAATCAGTAGTTTCACCATTATTTTTCATGAATCATGGAAAAAGCATTGTTTATTGCAAGCCTTAGTAAAAGACAACCTACTACTAATTATCTGCACAACCCAGTCGGCACTTGCTTTGTTGACTTTAGTAAGTCTATCTTGTTTGTTGTTTGTCATTAAAAAGACATAACCATAAATGAAAATATTAAAGGGCCACAACCAGGATAAAACATAGAAAAAAAAAGTTTTTAAGAACAATCTCTTGCTAAGATGATTAAACAGCTCAAAATTTTTTAATTGTTTACACCAAAGGTTGTTCTTAAAAAAGTTTTTAAACCACAACAGTTACTCTAACTATTATTGCTGGTTATTGCTGGTTATTGCTGAACCAATTACCTCAGGAGTATGCCATGTCAACTTTTTTTCTGGATCAGCACCTTTTAACTGCTTCTTTGCCAGTTCAGCCCATTCTGGATGCAAGGGCTCTCGATGAAGAGAGCGTTTTCCTACAACCTAAAACACATACAGTCTACGTTAATTGCACTTTTTGAACAAGTCTACACTTGTGTCTTTGAGGATCTATAGAGCAAACTATCATATTTAACCCTCCTCATCCAACAACCTTAGTAGCCACTATCTCCAATTTAGAGGGTTTATTATTCTTTGAAGGACAAATCTTGATGCAAAAACATGCTGTTGCAAGCGGTGAATGGAGCAGGGAAGGGGAAGGGGGGGACACCCAAAACACAATACTTTCCACAAATGTGACAAATGTTTCAATGGTGAGAAGATGTTATGATAGTTAATAATGGTAACAGGACCAGGTGGAGTCCATTGCTTAGGGTTAGTAATCATATAAGTGATTACAACAGTGAAGGGGAGTCCAATTTGTCAATCACTTGTATGATTACAGACAGAATTGGATGACATGAAGTCATGTTACCAATTAATCATAACCATTACAATTTCCGAAAAAAGATAAATTAAGGACCAACATCTCAAGTTGGGACAATGTCTAAAGCAAAAAATTTGGAAATATTCCAGTTTTTTTTTGGGTAAGTGGTTGTTGCTATGGTTATTGTGATCAATTCTGTGATTGGTGGATTTAGCTGAGTGTACTTAGAATGATTGGCTGCTTCAACTGTCTGATTACAGGTGTCTGATTACAGCCAACTGTCTGATAACACTGCTGATGCACCAAAGCTTTTTTTGTATGCAGGTCTAAACTTTTCTCAGATCCACGATTAAATTTTAGCACGGTACCCTACGATCAAAACCTATCAATAATTTGGACGAAGATTTTTTAAGATCTAATGATCGCACGTGTAACGAAACGATTTAAAGTGTTAAATAAAAATCGACAAGAAAGACTCTAATCTCGTAGATATTTTCAAAACAAGCTCTGAAAAACGAAACATCTCTAGCTACCTTTCGGGAAAAGAACTATAATGAAGAATAAGTCTTTCAGACGAGGGTGAATTTCTGATTATGTAAGTCACATCACGTCTTTCGTTCATTTGTTCTTGAAAAAATTAATCATACTTAAATCTTCACCTGGTATGCTGTTGACAGTGGAATAAAAACGCTTTTACTTCCAAACCTCGCACAGGTCAGCATGATACTAAAAGCAAACTGATGATTGTTCCCCTTTACCAAGCAGACGTCATCATTAACCTTGCGATACATGAGTTACAAGAAGTATAAACTGAAAAAAGGCACATACAGCTGGCCAACATGTGGCTCGTGTACTGCAGAATGTCACGCAACAGCCTCGATCATTGCAAACAGAAAACATGTGCAGAAACACGACAGAGCACAAGAAGAGCAACGACGATGGGAAGTTAGAAACCATACCGGTAAAAGAAATTTACTCCAGCAGTAACAAAAAATTAAACACGGGAGCCCCTAGTTTTTCTTTGGTCCTGTGAACGTGTTGTGAAAATGTTCCTTGAAATTCAGTTTTTCCGTTTGATTTCCATATTTTATAACTGTTTATACTAGGATACAATGGCCCACGGCTATTTATATATTTAGCTTCTTGTATATGTGTGGGCTTCTTTCTGCTTTTCAAATTTTAATTGTTACCGTCACGAAAGCACTGGAAACTAGTCACGAGATGCGCCCTGATAGTCAATGGCGTACACTGTTCACGTGACTTCAAAAAATGATCGGGAAATTTGACGCCGGCGACGCAGCCTGTCCTCAATCTCGATGATTCCTTTTTCAATTTTCGTTGCTTGTTTCGATGGATCCTTTATATATTTGGTTCAGATTTTTTCCTACATAATGAAAACAAAGAGCCATATGGCGTTAAAAATTGTTGAGGTAAGACTGTTGCACAACCATTGTAATAAGTAGAGTAATTTAGTATTATTAACTGGGTTGTTAACGTAAATTTTACTTTTCTCTCTGGGTCCCGCTTCCTTTTCCAGTTGCTTCTGCACTTCTCTTAGCGTCGTGGCTCTCTTCACCTTGGAACCCTCATGAACAAAATATTCCGGGTAAGAAATGCATTACTTTTATTCGACTGCCGTTTGAAAGGGTGAAAAACTCAAGCATTTTGGGTATCAATTAAACTCTAAAATCAGCAATATGATCGTGCCCTCCTAAGTGGACCTAATACCAACCGCACTTACGTTAAGGACTGTCAAATCTTCAAAATAGAGATTTCGTGAGAATTATGTTAACCACAATATCGCGGAAACTTCGTTTATTTATTCGGCTCTTTTGCTGTATTTTTTTTGTAATCTGTCAGAGAGTTTAATTTTGGTATGGTTGTTCATAAAGACCATAACAAGAGGCATCAAGGGGGCAAAAAAGACTGGTCACGATATAGAACAGAGGAAAGGTGAAAAATGGAGTACTTTCAGCCATGAACTGGAGGTGGAAACTATCTATATCGTTATGCTAAGACTGGAATGAATGTGTAGCAATTAGAATTTGCATTTCTATTCATTTTCAAGTAACTGCGAAACAGATAATAACCTCACAGCACAACAGTGTTGTCGGCAGGGTCCCTTACGTTGTGCGCAGTCTTTCGCTTAACGAATTTAGCGCATAAGTATTCAAGAAGGGGAAAAAGTTTCAAAATCCACCCTGTTTGTATCATGAATTTCACAATACAGTTCAACCTCAAGCGTCTGTGGCAGAGATATCTCAGAAAGACAACGCGTGCATAGTTGTGTGAATAATTTCCGTGTTTTAAGATAAGAAGTGTTTTCTTGTCTGCCTAAGGAAACTAGAACTGTCATTACTGGTTTTAGTTGTCTTGCGCGTTAGTGCGGAACTGTGCTTGTCCCACTGAAAAGTGTCCGAAAATTTGAAACTCAGGAATTTGTGTTATTTTGCACTCGCTGTGTGGTACCCTTAAATTTCTCCAACAGAATTTTTGAAAAAACTAAATAACAAAAGTTGTTTAACCATATCCGAACAATATAATTCTTTTTATCGTGCCACTTTTGGTGTCAATTATACCAAAATATGAGCGTAGTTACAGGGAAAAGTGCTGTGTTTTTTAATTCATCCCGGACATACTGGTTAATTCCAGTACGATGACGATTAATTATCGTCATTGATAAAGACTGTGATAATGTCAATAGGAAGTAGGACTGTCAATATGAATGCCAATAGGAACCTTTTTAGAGTCCATATGAATTCAATTTGTCTTTAACAACAGACTGAGATAAAAGCTTAATTTCTCGGTAGTTCAGTAGGCAGAGTCCATTCTTGAATACTTGAGAATGCACTCGAGCGTTATTTCTCATTACCTTAGGTGCGATTGTTTTCAATATACAATTTTAGGAAATGCTTTTCTCCGCAGGGAACTTTAGATGACTCCTAAGGTAAAACTGAACCGATCATTGAAATCTTTAAACCTACTCTTTCCTAAAATGTATTACTTTTTTGCTGTTCTTTGTCATTTAATATCACCACTGAGAGAAACCTAAGCCCCCGGCTGTCTTGCATTGCAATTGATACGAAGGAATAAACATGAAAACACCTACAAAAAACCTAATTTCAGCTCTCGTTTTGCACCGAATCAGAAAAGGGTTGTTTGGTTAGGAGAATTTGATATTTAACCTCTATTAATACGACAACTTCAATAGTATGCGTGTAAATAGAGTCAAAGGAAAATTTGAGGGGACGGCTTACGGAATGAATCGAGGAACTGTTTTAGGGTCAACCATCTCGTAAATCTTGAAAACTTCTCTAAAGGTGTCCACATTATGGAGCCCAATCAAAGATAAAGTTCTTTCAGAGCTCCTACGAAAGAGACAGAATCGTTAAAGTGGTTTGTTATGTTCTAAAAACACTTTTAGTAGTTGTGAATGGAAGCAAAATGGTGCGCATGTTCATCAACCTATAGACGATATAACTGTTTCTATTACCATTTCAGTGGGTGAAATTGGATTCGTGTTCATAAAATTCCAGTATTTTTTTCTGGATAAACATTGTGGATTGTACCTCTCTTCCTCATTGAAGAAGCATATCTTTGCGTTAATCATATCAATCAAAGTTTTTAAGCAATACAATCGGAAAATAGCATTCCAAATTTCGCCTGTTTTGATTTTTCCGGTTTTAGTAAAGCGAATTAAAAGGAAAACCTCTTGTCTCGTTGTGAACATTTTGAACGGCCCAGAGATGTGGCTGGGCATTAAGCTTTTAGATGGATTGCTTCTACAAGAACCCCAGGGTTAAATCAATTCACTTTTGTTGACTTTGTTTATTGTGCCGAGATACTCCAACTGTTTACACAAATAACACTGTTATATTAAAAAGAAGGACTGAAAATAACGCACCCTGCTGAGAATTTCTGCGAAAACACAAAGCGTGGAAAAAAGTGTTCTTCTCAGAACTCAGGAGTCTGATCATTAAACGGCAGGGTCTCTTTCCTTTTGTTTTCGAACAGATAGCAAGTCCAATAAAGCTGTCTTGCGCCGCTCACAGCTGGGTTCGGAGACAAGTAACTATAGTCGATCGATATAAGACCTTGCAAGGTGGTTACTATTCAGTTTTTCAACCGAAAGAGAACTAGATCCAAGCCAGGTATCTTTGACAATGGATTAAAGAGAGTACATTTCCAATTATCCGCAAACATGCCTGACTCAAAGGAAAAGTTTATAATTTTCGTGAGAACAGGAGGAAGAACTTCAATTCATGCAATCACTGAGGAAGTTGGCATCGGCTCAAGTATACAAGTCTTTTTAGGTGGGCTTTTCATGAGTCTACGTAATATTCACGAATTTGTGTGTTTGCTCGTTTAAAGCGTGAAGTTAGAGCCCTTAATAAAACATACTTTCCTCTTCTTTTTTCATAGAATCATCTGCGGGTTGATGTCTGCATTAAATAATTATATCTTCTCATTTCTTTCCCAATTTTTCAAAGAGGAAAGAGACATGAAGATAAATGAGAAACAAAGACCACCGGCTTTGAAATGGTTTCATCTTTTTCAGGAAATCAATTCCACAAGAGTTCTAGGGAAAAATCCATTGAGAAGTAAGAAAAAGAATGAAGCAACTATCTTGTTTGCCGATTATTCCCGTCTTTCTTGCGTTTTATCTTGCGCCTTGTAAATTCACCTTCGTATGTCACCCTCATTACATCTAGTGTTTATGATCATTTTTTAGCTAAAGGAAGTCCAGTAACTCTCCGTGCTCGTCGAAACATATTGAAGACGCCTTGATGGTTTAAGTTATTTATCTATGAGCTAACATCATTTTCTTCTTAAAAATAAGTTTAAGAGTATATATAAAGTTTTTCGAGTAAAGCACGAGTATAGACATGAGTAGCCTACAAGTCAGCCATATCAGTTTTGTTTCAGTATTTTTTTTTTAGACCACAGAAACTGAACGATCTCATCCTTCTCGTCTCCATCGCCCCGACGATACAATCGAAGTATATTGAATTGTATACATTTTGGTGGTTAACTGGCTGACTGACTCAGGACTAACTGACTCAGGACTAACTGACTCACTTCAATTCTATTTTGTAAAGGTCCGAAATTGTTGTATTTTTGTAATAGCTCACGAATAAGCGGCAAGAACCATTTGGAGAGTAGCCTATAAGTCAGCCATATCGGTTTTGTTTCAGTATTTTTTTTAGATCACAGAAATTGAACGATCTCATCCTTCTCGTCTCCATCACCCCAACGATACAATCGAAGTATATTGAATTGTGTACATTTTGGTGGTTAAATGGCTGACTGACTCAGGACTAACTGATTCACTTCAATTCTATTGTGTAAAAGGTCCGAAATTGTTGTATTTTTTTAATAGCTCACGAAGAAGCGGCAAGTACCAATGGAGAAATTAAGTGCGGAAACGGCACAGATATCGAGTTACACTCGTTATCCCTGATTTCAATATGTGGAGTGACGCCGATGCAGCCACATGGGAGTTGAAACATAGCGGAACTCCGAACACGGACTGTCAGCCATCATTTACATCTGTAGCAGGTAAAGTGAAACATGGTACGTTCAGTGCAGATGAATGCAAGACCTCATTGACAGAGAACGCCGACGGAATTACTTTGGACTACGAGTTTAAGATCCAAGTTAGTGCTTCTGGTAGTCCGACTTTTCCATATGACCACGAGTACACAATAACATGTACGTATATCAGGGAAAAACAGGGTCTTCAGGCTAGCTTCCTAACTCAACATTCAGTCACTGAAACTGGCACTGGTGAGTAGGGATGATTAACAGCTCACGCTAAAGTTAATTCCCCTTGGGCAAAGTACTGCGTTTCCTGCTGATAGCTCAGTGATCTGTGATGTCACTTGGAATGGTAATTTCACAAAACTCCATTGCATTAATCTTATTTCGCAATTGCATGTCGCAGTTTATTTTTCTTGGGTATATCTTTGGTCTCATTTATCCATATTTACTGATGTATGTTTTAGCTCATCTTTATCGATAATTTGAGTAGCTTTGCTTTATTTTCTCGGTTATCCTACTAGGATTAATCTCCCTTTGTTCATGAGTATTCATATTTTTATATCTACTAGATATTATAATTCACTCTCATGACGTTTTTACTCTTTTAAATCATTATTGATAAGTGTGTAAAGTGGTCCGCTTCTTTGCCCAAGCATGCAAAGCTCTTTATCAGAATATGTATGTACGTGACGTATAGATGACTCAAAATGAGAACAGGATGACCATATAAGAAGGGCGTCAGAACGTGTTCACTGTGAATAGAAGTTAAAAGTAAGAAACTGACCACAGATTCAATGCACAGTGTCCATAATAATGATTTCGGTAAGCAGGGAAGTTGAGTCGCAAATAATTCCCTATTCACACCAAAGCGCTTCAGGAAGGAAAAGATATTTTGACATGATACTGATAAGTAGGTTACAAATTGATTTATAGATGATTCACTAAAGAGAGGTTTCTATTTACATTCAGCTGTAGGGAAAACGACCAAAAATCCTTGGTGGATGACCCTTCTTCCTGTGATGGTGATAATGAAGACGAATTTTCATTTCGAGCTTTTCGTTTCTCTGGTCAAACGGAAAGTCAAAAAGTTGTATTTACCGTCACAACCAAGGTTTGTTATAACGGTTCTGCCGGGTGCAAGTGCACTTTCGGTGCTCGAAAAAGACGCAGTACTTTGAACGAGACCTCGAAAACCTTGTATTACATTAGACCTGGTCCTTTGGCATTTTTAGAGGCTGGCGAAGCGGAAGAGCAAGTTTTTATCTGCTTCTCTTTTAAGTGGATTCGTTATCATGATTTGGGCTATAATGGCAAACAAAACATCGGTCTTTCATTTAATTACCTACTTGATTTGGTTTCAATATTTAAAGAAAATGCAAAATAAACCTCCCTTTTTGAACAAAGAAAACTCTCGGCAAAAAACTACGGTTTTGCACAAAGTCAAATAGAGACGAAACTGACGTACTAATCAAAATCTTAAAAGCCGTTGCTCGTTGGGTTCAATTCTTTTAGTGCCTTTTATAAAATCTAACCTTGGCCGTGGTGGGCGTGCGTTCGAAAAGTTACAGAGAAAGGCTGCCATCATCATAAAATCATGCCTTCAGGCAATTTTAAATTGATCCTTCTGAACACGAAAATCGAGCATTTTTGGAACCACACTAAGCCATTTAAAAATTCTCAAAAATCCACTTTTTTACTTCTTTGATATGAAAACTCATTACAACCAAACGGTCTCGGTTGCAACGGATCTCTTTGCGGCACCTTTAATGAATGACCTCTTCGTCTCTCAATAAGTCATCTCAATCTCCAGAAATGCAATCTCGCGCGCATAAGAGGCTAAAAAATTTTAGGTGAAAATAGAGTCTCTTTGCTTGACAATTAACTGGAAACAACTCATTTTCATATCAAAAGGCACCTTGCTCGAGGCATCTTGGAAATGGTTTAATCTGTTTATTACGACAACGTTAGATGGACATGTTTGCGTGGCGTGAGCTGTGGGGCCATACTTCATATTAAGCTTAAATCATGGGATGACAATATAGTAACGACGATAAATATGAATTCAAAGTTAGGAAGGCCTTTAGTTTGAGAAAGAGGGAGATAACAAAGTTTTAAATGGTATTCTTTGTTAAATTCATGCCTCTACCCTCTTTATGAGCTAGAAGCAATTCTTTCACAATAAAACCTTGACTTTGTAATATCTAAGTTTCTCTTCTGAGATGGCGTTTCCTTTGCTCAGTGACCCCTTTCTCCATTAATTTTCTTCCTTGGAGTGTTCCAGACAATTGCGAAACCTTCTAGAGTAAAGTTTAATTTACAAACATGACGCTATCGACAATACTGATCCTAGCAGTAAGCAGGACGCGTATCATATGAACTTCGTAATCGACGTCGCACACCGTAGAGTCTCTGTGGCTCCGTGGTAGAACATCGAAGCGCGGAATCCGAAAGTTTTAGGTTCGATTCCTCATGGGGGCTCGGAATCTTTTTCTTTGTCCCACCCTCGTGACAAAACGAAAAGCATCTTTCATTAAGTGTAATTTATTCGTAATCTAATTGCGACAAGCAAAAGGTTCTACAGGAGCAAGGTGAAAGCAATTAAAGTGAATAATTACTGTGGGAAAATTTTAACCATAGAGCACCTGTGAGCTAGTTAGGAGGTAACATAACTCAGCCTCTGGTTCTTCTAGTCTCTTCTCTTGATATCAGCGAACACATCTAATTTCCGCCATAGCTGTTAACTTGTCCCCTTTTTCTAAGCTATTATGAAGGTTTGAATATTTCAAATGAAGGGTGCCTTTATTGCTTTATTTTGCTTTGACATAATTTGAAAATGAGTCTGTGTTGCAACAAGACTTTCAAAGCACCACACTGAGTCATTCAAAAAGCATTCCGCAGCCCGGCTCTAGGTTAATTTAGTCTGTGTATTCGCGAATACATATTTCGCATTTCTTGACAAGCTTGGATGTTCAGTGGACCGCGGAACCTGCGGAACCCTATATTCTTTAGTGAAATGATAGTAATGAAATAAAACATAAAACTAAAAAGATCTTAAAACTGTTCGAAAGTTCGTCTTCGGGTATAAAGAAGATCACTGTAAATGAAAAATATGTTTTAATTGTCCTTGACGTCCAACTTTAACTTTGGCGACATTCACCGTACAAGGGCCCGGTGTGTAATGTCATAAGGAGCAAATAGCAGTCACCTAAAAACTGAACCATAACGAATTAGTTGCCAATAATCAGAGCCCTTTACTAAGCGCAATGGGTTCTGAGATCGCCACGGGGCAAACATTGCAAGTTGCTAAAAAGAAATCTATGGCGGAAAGTCATTTCAGAGTCCAAAAAAAAGATCTTTGAGAGAATTCAGTGCTTTTTTGCCGCCGTTTTATCAGAAAAGGATTAAAGCAATGTTTATACGTGGGAAGTGTAAGTTTTTGTTTAAATAACCATGAAATATGCGTTAAAATCTACCGGTAAAGTTCTCTCCTTGCGTAAGGTTTATTGTGAAATCGACATCTCGTAATGGTCTTGAAATATATCGAAATTAAGTAATACTCGCGAGTATGTAACCAATTCAAGCTTTTTCAGTTGTAAATAAGTATGTGCAGTCTACTTCTGGCTTATTTCTGAGCTCGTAAACATATATATTATTGGAAATATTATTGGCGATCATTGTGCTGTGTGGGGTGGTAACAGCGATCGAAGGTACTCAGAAAAGCAAAATATTCTTCCTCACGTTGGAATATTAAGATTCTACTACCCCCAGAGTATGAAAGATGTCTTGTCGTGGGCTAGATCTATTAATTGTGACTACGTCAGGGTAACAATGAGTACGAAGGTCTGTTAAAATCATTTTGCACAAGGTTATAGAACTTATGGACGTCCTGCATCAACGTTGTACATGCAAGGTTAGCGAGTTGTCCATTTCGACGTTTTCAACAGCTTGCCTGCAGATGCTGAAGCTAGGTTTTTCATAAGACAACTCGCTAAAATGCGTCCTTTTCATCAAAGTAAGCGGTCAGATAACAAGCGTTACGCTGTAGAAGTAAGGTGAGGTATTTTTTTTGAGAATTTGACCTATCATTTTATTCCTGAGGGCGGTCGTAAATATGCCCATACAAACTCTTATAATTCCGCCATGACTGTTATTGCGCAAGATGATCATGTCACAGCTGGAGCTTGGGCCGCCTATGTTAAAACAAACTATCTGCAGAATCTCTGTTAACGACTTGTTTATTTAATAATTGGCCATTTTAAAATTCCAGTGAAACATCTTCCTTTCAAAGGAAGGCTAAGTTCAGGGACCTGTCTCCGGAAAGTCTATCTAATATGCACGAAAATAAACAAATTGTTATTTAAACAAAGGCATGGCACTTTACCTGACACTCTATTTTTTTTTTGTTGACGGTATGGCTGTGATTTTTTTTTCTTGTCGAGAATGCAGCCACGCTTCACATTGGGCCGCGATCACGGAATGGTTATTTAGTAAACTTATGGAAAAACTTTTTAGGGAATCGTTTATTCCAGAAAGGAGAAAATTTCAGACAGTAATATGGTTCTTGGTATGTTCAATTGGTATGTTCCTCGTCCGGTCTTCTGCTATTTCCTCTTATGTAACCGACTCAAACTGGTGCCACATGTAAGCTACGAAATTTAAAACATGGAATCGCATCTATTTTTTATTTTTAATTGGAAGTATGTTCCAAAATCCAGTGTATTATTTTCATTTTTTTTTCATCAATGAGACACTGCAATTAATTTGGTCCACTAATTAAATGATACATGATGCTTCGTCCCTCTTCTACTCTAACAAATGGTTTTCAACTACGACTTCTACCAGGTTTCGTTTCGATGTAGTACCAAAATAAAAGAGGTATTGTGATTTTTTCAGCTGTCTGTCTATTTGTGGCATTAAGAAGGACTGTTCTTACATAAGTTTGCTCTAGCTGTCTATTTTTAGCAACTGCTCCAGGCCCGAAAAGCACGCTTTCTTGTTAAGCCTGTATAATGAATTGGCCGATTACTCGAGAGAAAATTTTCAGGAGTAGCGTTTTTTGATTATTTAATCATTTCTTAATTGGATAAACGACAAACCCCTTTAACTACGGAATTTAAAACCATCTGCACGGCTTTTTCACTTCCTTTTTGAAACTTATCTCCTCTTTATACGGCGAAACTTTTTAGCATTTTAACAATCCCAAATTTCAAGTCATGATATATTCTGCAATATCAATTTTCATTTCTCTTTATCAGCTGTTCGTGAATTATAAAACTGTATTACTTTCGGAAAAATCTAGTCTGGAAATTACGTAATGGAATTTCCCTGAAGGCAGGGAAGTGAATAGGTATAAAAAAATTTTTTGTTTCTAGAAGGGAACAGTGGTCCTTTTTTTCAATTTACCTGCTGTCTTGAACAATCACGAGAAGTTGGAAAGGTAAGATGACATTACAATTCTGTTGAAATTGATTCTAGAAAACCCACATCTTTAAACAAATCATTTTCGTACTCGTTTACTATCGTGCCGTGATTCTCAGAAAGTTCATGAAAATAACAGTTACCTTGGCAGCAGATAGTTAGAAAATTGCTCCCTGTCAATGACTACAGTGAATACCTCAAGCACGAAGACCATCTTTTATTCTCAGATGTCACGGTCAAGGGTCCGTTCAGTGGAGACACTAGGTCTCCACATTTTTGTTTTCGAGTTGGTGATAAGATCGATCAAGCTGTCGTGCGTCATTTACAGCCAAGCTCTGAGACGGGTAGCTGTAACTTGTCGATAGCAGACCTTGCATCTATTACTGTTCAGTTTTTTTAACTTACGAACTTCTCCTTTCAAAAGCAGTTTCTAAGAGAAGTGAATTTCCAAGCTTTGGTAAGTCTTTATTCTTTGCTATTTTTGCGGCTTGCTCAACCAAGAAAAGTGCGAGCACAATTGGTTTTTGAGGCGAAGGGTACTAAATATGGCGTGGCTTCTGCAGTTATTCTAGATTTCTTCCATTTCGTCAGCGATGATTTTAGAGTAGGGAAATTAAATGAATCTAATTTTGCTTTCAAACTTTTGCAACCTGACGATTGTTTGGTTCTTCCGTTGAGACAAACTGTGACCAAGATTTCGGTGTCCAGATTGACTGATTTTGGAGCAAATACTATTATCCACGCATTATCGCTAGAAATTATGGAAGCGGGGAATGAAACTTTTCTTCGGATTAAAATATCTTCCCCATAAAAGGACATAAATTCACAAAGCTGGAAGAAAGAGCAACTAATGAGACAGTTTAATATTTTGCTTCCTTTTCCGAGCCAAAAGACCTGCCGCTTAATCGTTTTTTATTTCGGTTTCGTTCAGCATGAAAGGAATTTTGATCAAATGCATGGAATGTTCGAAGAGCGCACACGAGATTGATCGAAAGATCGAAATGAGTCTAGAAGCAGCTGTTCATTGTTATTTGTAAAGCTGGGCGGGGTCTCTGGGCTTCTATCAAAGACAAAGAATGACAAGGAAAGAGAATAAGGCTTTTATCTCACGACATGTTTGCGCTGGGAAAACTTTAGGTATTTCCCTTCTAAACAACATATTAGTGAACATAATATAGAACAGTTTCGATGGTGTTTTTCTGCCATGTCCAGCAGTTCACCTTTTTGGTACCAGACTAGGGTGAGGAAGAAATTGCCTCGGTGCTTATAGGTTTTCCTTTCTAGGATAAGAGATGAGTTCACAGGGGTAACCTAAATTGATACACCTGTTGATGTGCCATGACTTTCACGGTCATGAATATCATGGCGCAAGGAAGCCATTTTAGGAAGAGTCATTGGGATTTTCGGTTTTGCGGTTTTAGATCTGTTTTTCTGTTTCTGTGCCAGAAATGCAGCGGTCGTTATCCTTAAAGTTAAAATATAGTTTATGAGCTGAGACTTTACATTTCCTTGACATTCAAGACAAAGGACTCCAACAAAATATGCGAGGTAACAACAAAATGGGAATGATGCTACAAAATTATGTTCCAATGATTGGAGACGTTTCGCAAACCAAACACTGTACATCACCCTATACTAGAAAACATCTTATGCTCAACAGTTTCAGTTTTTTTTTATTGATCTTGGTTTCTTGCTATGTTGCATGAGTTCAAATGCTTTTCAGAAAAAAACAACTTGTTACCAGTAGTTTAAGGCACTGATCGATTCGGTTCCTGATGAAGATGTTCTGTTTACTTTGTTGATCATTTTTTGAAGAGTAAAAAAACCAGTACGTTAACCCTAATCAGTTGCAGAGACGAGAGAGATCTTTTAAATAAATGCAGTTATGCATGGGAAATAATATTCACGAATTTGTGTGTTTGTTCGATTTAAAGTGCGGAGTTAGAGCCCGTAGTTGAAACATACTTTTCCCTTCTTTTTTCATAGAATCATCTGCGGATTGATATCCGCATTAAATAATTTAATCTTCCCATTCTTCCCATTCTTTTTCCAGGTAGAAAGAGACATAAAGATAAATGAGAAACAAAGACCACCGGTTTTATGATGGTTTTATCTTTTTCAGGAAATCAATTCCATAAGAGTTCCCCTGAAAACCCATTAAGAAGTGAGAAAAAATGAAGCAACCACCTTGTTTGTCGATCATTGTCGTCCTTCTTGCGTTTTATTCTGCGCCTTGTAAGTTCACCTTCGTATGTCATCCTCATTACATTTAATGTTTACGACAATTTTTTAGGCTAAAGGAAGTCCAGTAGCTTTTCATGCTCATTGAAACATTATGAAGACACCTTGATGGTTTAGGTTACTTATTTATCGGCTAACATCAGCTTTTTCTAAAAAAAGAAGTTAAAAATAAATGTTTCCGAGTAAAGGACGATTAAGATATATTTTTTCAGTAGGTTTTTTTAGCTACAGAAATTGAAAATAATTTTCAATTGAAAATTGAAATTGAAATAGCTACAGAAATTGCAAATAATTTTCAATTGAAAATTGAAATTGAAATAGCTACAGAAATTGAACGATCTCATCCTTCTCGTCTCCATAACCCAATACATTTTAGTGATTAATAAGCCGATTGACTCAGAACTAACTGACTCACTTTCATTTCATTATGTAAAAAGCCCTGTTAAAATTTTTTAACAGCTTATGAACTAGAGACAACGACCATTGAAAACATTAACTGCGGAGACGTCTCAAATATCGAGTTTACACTCGTCATCCCTGATATCAATCAGTGGGATGACGGCGATAAAGCCACATGGGAATTGGAACATAGCGGAGGTTCGAACCCAGCCTGTCAGCCATCATTTACATCTGTAGCAGGCAAAGTGAAATATGGTGCGTTCAGCGCCGATGTTTGCAAGAAGTCATTGACAGAGAACGCCGACGGAATTACTTTGGACTACGAGTTTAAGATCGAAGTTAGTGCCTCTGGTAGTCCGACTTTTCAGTATGACCACGATTACACGATAACATGTACATATAACAGGGAAAAACAGGGTCTTCAGGCCAGCTTCCTACCTCAACATTCAATCACTGAAACTGGCACCGGTAAGTAGGGATGATTAACAGCTTACGATAAAGTTATTACCGATTGGGCAAAGTAGTACGTTTCCTGCTGACAGCTCAGTGATCTGTTATGTCAATTGGAATAACAATTTCGCAAAATTCGATCGCATTAACCTTCTTTCGCAATGACATGTCGCAGTTTATTTTTCTTGCGTTTATCTTTTGTCTCATTTATAAAACAGAATGAAAAATTTTAAAGGTTTGTAAGTACGTGAAGAGCATATATTCACTGCGAGGTCTCACCTGGCATTAGTACAGCGTGATGCATATGATACTCTTTCTCCAAGGTGTTGTATTGAAAAGGTTTGATAAATTCACAGATCATTTCAAAGACGAGTATTATATTCGAAAAAAAAAACAAAAAAAACGGCAGCGGCAGTTAGATCAGACTATGGTGCGACGAATGTCGAAAGAAAAAAGGAAAGAAAAAGATAAGAAAAAATGAAACATTTTAAAGGTTTGTAAAAGAGCATATATATTTCATTGGGATGTCTCAAAACCTGACGCTAGTACAGCTTGATGTATAAGTTATCCTCATAAAGCGTCTAAAAAGTAACGAAATGTAAGATCGCAAGTCAGTAGGTGTATAAAGTCTATGTTAATATAAGTTTCAGTTCAAGCATTTTATGGTTTTGACAGCTTGGTTTAGATACTCAGTCAAAAACTGTTTTTTTAGTTAAAATTTTCTGCTTTCATAGAGGATTCATCTATAAATGTCCTCCGCGTTTTGCTGTTTAATATTTTCCAGATAGTGGTGAGCTGGCTTTCACTTTTGATTTATTGGACGGCAGCACCCCAATAGTCTCTGGCACGGAAATTACTTTGGGGACAGACCTTATCGGAAAATTGACGGTTTCAGAATCTGGTTTTCCAACCAACAAGTTTACCGTTTTTTTCGTATCTGTCACGGCAGACAAAGAAACCCCCGATAGCTCGATCACTTTGATTACGAATGGGTAAGTTCCAAACTTTTATCTATAGCCATTAAAAGCAGTTTCTTCATTAACAACACTCACATACATACTGATGTAAGTTTTAGCTCGTTTTCATCGATAATTTGAGTAGCTTTGCTTTATTTTTTCGGTTATCATATCAGGATTAATCTCCTTTTATTCATGAGTATAAATATTCTTAAATGTTCATGTTTTGATATTCTACTTAACTCATGACTCTTTAACTTTTTGAAACCATAACTGGTAAGTGTGTAAACTGGTCCGTTTCTTTGCCCAAACATGCAAAACTGTTTATCAGAATATGTGTGTCCGTGACGTGTAGATGACTCAAAATGAGAACAGAATAACCATATGAGGAGGTTGTTAGCACGTGTTCGCTGTGAATAGAGATTAAAAGAAACAAACTGACCACAGCTTCAATGCAGGTTGTCCATAATAGCGAATTCGGTAAGCAGGGAAGTTGAGTCGCAAATAATTCCCTATTCACACTAAAGAACTTCAGGATAGAAAAGGTATTTTGAAATGATGCTTAAGTTGGTTACAAATTGATTTCTGCATGATTCATTAAAGAGAGGTTTCTATTTACCGCATTCAGCTGTGCGGATGACAGCCTACAAGGCGATGGTTTCGTGGATGACGCTTCCTGTGGTGGTGGTAAAGATGACCAATTTACATTTAAAGCTTTTCGTTTCTCTGGTCAAACGGGGAGTCAAACAGTTGTATTTACCGTCACCGCCAAAGTTTGTTATGACGGTTCTCCTGGGTGCGTTTGCAATTGTGGCGCTCGAAAAAGGCGTAGTACTTTAGACGAGACCTCGAAAACCTTATACTACATTAGAGCTGGTCCTTTCACTTTTGTAGATGCTGATGAAGGGGAAGAGCAAGGTTTGTATCTACTCCTCTGTTCAATGAATTCGTTATCATGATTTGGGCTATGATGGCAAACGAAACATCAGCATTTCATTTAATAACGCAATTAATTTGGCTTCAATATTTAATGAAAATAGTAATAAACCTCCCTTTTCGAACTAAGAAAATCGACTAATTTCTTGTATTTAACAAAAAGTATTGAACTTAATTTTTTTAATCGGAGTTTTATTCTGTATCATCAGCTGACACCGTTGTTGATGAGGATAAAGACTCGTCTGTTCCTGTCCATGTTGTCACTGTTGGGGTGGTCGGTGGAGTCGTGGCTGTCGCCATTGTTTGTGTCGCTGTCATCATTGTCCTGCGCAAGCGTCGCCATAATGTAACACTGACTGAATCAAGTGGCGCTCAAGAATTCGCTACTCCAGGCGTGTGAGTTTTTTGCGACAGGAATGCCTCCTAATATGGCATTATTTACTCACGTAGACAATGAAGAACTAGTTTTTCTTGATAGCTTTTCGGTTTTGTAATCTCGTAGATGAAAATATATGAATAATGCTGAGACGTTTTTTAGAAGAATTCGATACACTACTCCAAAAACACCGAAAGATTTAGAGAGATGGTGATATCAAAATCCGAACTTTTGACCGGGCCTGTTGACGCAGGAGAAGAAACAAAATATAGGTGGAGCCTATCATTTTTTATCTTTTGATACAAGTCATTTGCATTATTTTGCTTGAACAAAGACCATGAAGGAGTTAAAAAGTAAGTCTCAATTGTTGCAAAACTGTTACAAGCAACAGTTCTAAAGATAATTCCAAAAATAGAAGGCAAAGGTTAGGACCTAAGAGACAGTTTTGTGTTTTTTCTCGTACGATTTATCAATAGGACTGGAAACCATATTTCAGAAAGCACAGGGAGAAACAACTTGTACTGCAGTTTTGATTTTTTTTGCAATCATTAAAATATTCGGTCATCAGTCTGTTTAACTGATTGATCCTCTTATGTTTTGCGATCGCTTGAGTTTCTGAATCTTGAATCCACTGAATATTGATTCTAGCTTCTAAGTTACGTCATTGGCTAATTGAAACACTTCATTTTTCCACTGAGTGTTTCATGAATTACTAAGCATCATATTGTATTTCTTAAATTTTAGAGCAAGTGATTATTTTTGTAGTGAATAATAGCGGCTTTTCAACATTAGCGATCAAAAACTTGTTTTTGAGTCATAGTTTATAATGGTTCTGGTTAAAAAAGCTGACAAAAATAAAAGATGGAAAGCAAAGGTTAATTTAGGTAAAGATCAAAACTCTCTTGGGGAGTTCATCTTTCCCACGAGGAGTTGGATCTTAATACATAAGTATTCGGATTCTCAGGTTTTTGGGTAAATATTCAGCAGTGCACTTCCTATGTAACCTGCAATTAGAATTTTAAATGAATAAATAGTGTATTCAAGGCACTTAAAGATATTTGGATTCTTTGTTTAATTGATGGGAAAACTTCAGAGTCATGCATGAGCCTTGACCATTACCTGGCCCTACATTTGCTGGTATAATCTTTAGTTGTTGAATTTATAGAATCATCACACCAAAGTGGAACGTCTGGATCAATTGAGTTAGGGACCTTCTTAGATTCACGTTTACGCTTGATATTAACGAGGTTTACTTTTGTCCTGTAGCGATAATTTTGGGTTACCAATTGTCCACTTTAATTTGAAAAATTAAAACAAAAAATTCAACGGAGGGAAAACAAGATGTAGCGTGATGCGTGAACGAAGTCCATTTCTCGAGGATGCAAATTATGAACCTGGAAGCAACGACTCGAGGAACGTTTTTGTCGTCTAAACTAACGTGATTTTTCCACAAATTATACGCTCGAGACTTTGTACCTATGAAGTTCTTTTTCAAGTGTTTCTCTAGGAATCCTTGCTTCAGTTACCGCAAAATGTACCACGAACGATGAAATGACGCGCGTGATTAGTGTCAGTACAAGGATAAAGGGGGTAAGTTTACCCATTCATATCTCTGAAACAAGCACGGTGACCTATCTTTTTTATTGTATTTTTCAAAACAGACATTGGTGAGGAACATATTAGGAAAAATTTAAAAAAAATTGTCCAATAACTCTTTTTGCTGAGGAGTCATCTTAATTGAGCTTTCTGTCAAAAATGTGACACCATCATTTTCCCGACATACCCCTCTTCATTCTGATGAAATTGTACTAATTTAAAAAGAGCCAGAGTCTACCTTGCGGAAGGATTCGTGCTTCAGAAGTTCGCTCCACCAGGAAGCCACCCAATGCTTGATAATGTGAAAAGTTATGCATGTACCAGGTTGGAATGTGACAAAATCCCTTCATTCTGTCAGTATAGGATTAGCAATTTAGTGAGCACCTAGTGTACAAAAAGAAGGAAAAGAAGATAGATGTTGAGCTCCTTCGTCGCACATCGAAAGCTTGTATTCGTTTTGTTTTCGAGCTATAATGCTACTGATGCGTCGGATAGAAGTTGTGAAAATATCTTTTCAGTTCACAAGCTATCCTGTTGTATTTAATGACGATCGAATTTTATTCATTCAAGTTCTAATTACGTCAAACTCTCGGCACAAAACTACGGTTTTGGACAGACTCAAATAGAGACGAAACGCACTTATCAAAGTCTAAAAAAGCCGCTGCTCTGTTGGGTTCAGTTCTTTCTGTGCCCTTTATAAAATCTAACCTTGGCGGTGGTAATCTTGCGTTAGAAAAGTTGAAGAGAAAGGCTGCCATCATCATAAAATCATGCCTCTAGGCAATTTTTAAATGATCCAGCTCAACAGGAAAATCGAGCATTTTTGGAACCAAACTAAGCCAGTCAACAATCGTCAAAAATCCACTTTTTGACATCTTTGATATGAAAACTCACTACAACCAAACGGTCACGTTTGCAAAGGAACTCTATGCGGTACCTTAAATGAACGACCTATTTATCTCTCAAAAAGTCATCTCAAATTCCAGAAGTGCAATCTTGCCCGCATAAGAAGCTCAAACATTTCAGATGAAAATAGAGTCTCTTTGCTTGACAATTAACTGAAAACAACTCATTTTCATATCAAAAGGCACGTTCGTGACCTTTGCTTGAGGCATCTTGGAAATGGTTTAATCTGTTTATTACGATAACGTTTGGTGGACATGGTTGCGTGACGTGAGCTGTGGGGTCATACTTCATATTAAGCTTAAGTCATGGGATGATACTATACTAACGACGATAAATATGAATTCAAAGTTAGGAAGGCCTTAAGTTTGAGAAAGAGGGAGATAACAACGTTTCAAATAGCATTCTCAGTTTAATACATGCCTCTACCCTCATTATGAGCTAGAAGGAATTCTTTCACAATAAAACCTTGACTCTGTAATATCTTAGTTTCTCTTTCGGATGGCGTTTACTTTGCTCAGTAGCCCTTTTACCATTAATTTTCTTCCATGAAGTGTTCTAAACAATTACGAAACCTTCTAAAGTAAGCGAAAAACTAAGTGTAATTTGCAAACATGACACTATCGACATGGCTGATCCTAGCAGTGTGCAGGATGCGTATCATATGAACTTCGTAACTGATCGAATTCGCTCACCTTAGAGTCTCTGTGGCGCAGTGGTAGAGCATCGGAGCACGGAATCCGAAGGTCTTAGGGTCGATTCCTCATGGAAACTCAGAATTTTTTTTTTGTCCCACCCTCTTGACAAGACGAAAAACATCGTTCTCTAAGTGTAATTTATTCCTAATCTAATTGCGGCGAACATAAGATTCTACAGGAGCAAGGTGAAAGCAATTAAAGTGAATAATTATCGCGGGAAAATTTTAACCATTGAGCACACCTGTGAGCTAGTTAGCAATTAACTTAACTCAGCTTCTGGCTTTTTTAGTCTCTTCTTTTAATATTGGCGAACACATCTAATTTCCGCCATAGCTGTTACGTTGTCCCCTTTTCTCAGCTATCGTGAGAGTTTGAATATTTCAAAGGGTGCCCTTATTGGTTTATTTTGCTTTAACATAATTTGAAAATGAATCTGTGTTGCAACAAGACTTTCAAAGCACCACACTCAGTCATTAAAAAAGAATTCAGCAGTCCGGCTCTAAGTTCATTTATTCTGTATATTCGAGAATGCATCCTTCGCATTACGTGACAAGCTTGGTTGATCAGCAGACCGCTGATAATAGCCATGGAATAAAACAAAACTGAAAAGACCCTTGAACTGTTTGAAAGTTCGTTTTCGGGTATAAAGATCACTTTAAAATAAATGTTTCAATTGTCCTTGACATCCAATTTAAATGTGGCGACATTTATAATTACCGTTCAAGGTTTATTAATGTCATAAGGAGCAATTAATAGTCACCTACCCCGGTTGTCAATAATTGAACCATAATGAATGAGATGCCAGTAACTGAATCCCTCTGCTATGCGCAAACGGTTCTAGGATCGCCACGGGACAAACACTGCAAGTTGCTACAAGGAAATATATGGAGAAGAATTGTTTCCAAAAACACGATTTTTAAGAGAATTCAGCGCTTTTTTGCAGCCGTTTCATTACAGAAGGATTAAAGCAATTTTTTACGTGGAAAGTGTAAGTTTTTGTTTAAATGACCATGAAATATGTGTTAAAATCTACCGATTAAGTTCTCTTCTTGCGTAAGGTTTATTGTGAAATCGACATCTCGTAACAGTCTTGAAATATCTCGAAATTAAGTAATAATCGCGATTATATAACCCATTAAAGCTCTTTCAGTTGTCAGTCTACTTTTAGCTCATTTCTGAGCTCGTGAACACAAATATTATTGGAAATATGCCGCGTGGCGATCATTTTGCTTTGTAGGGTTGTAATAGTGATCGAATTTTGGGGTGATCGGGGCGTCCGGACTCGCGAATTCACAGCGTTTTGCTTCCAGTGGATTCGTTTGGTTGGCCATACTCACAAACATATCTAGGGACGGATTATGTATAAGGCTAAGTAGATGAACTAAAAGAGAGTTAAATTTACCTAAATCAGCCCGACAATCTTGTGGTTCTACAAAGGTTCCGATCTAGACCTAAAACATCCGTTCTGAAAGAAAAAACGCTATAGTTTCAATTGATTCACTTATGTACTTTGCCTTACTGAAGAAAAGCTTTGCTCAGTTGCAAGAAATCTGCGTGTTAGTATTTTAGCGGATAAAAAAACGATTTGCAGAATCTCTAATAACGGCTTGTTCATTTATTAATTGTCCATTTTAAAATTCCAAGGAAACATCTTCCTTTCAAAAGAAGGCCAAGTTCAAGGACCTGTCTCCGGAACCTTTTTCACTTCATTTTTGAAACTTATTTCCTCTTTATACGGTGAAACTTTTCAGCCTTTCTAACAATCCCAAATTTCAAATCATGATATATTCTGCGATGTCAGTATCAGGTTTCACCTCCTTTGATTAGCTGTTCGTGAATTATAAAATTGTATTATTTCTGGAAAAATCTAGTTTAGGAGTCACGTGATGGAATTTCCCAGGGGGCGGGGAAGGAATAGGAATAACGAACGTTATTTTATTCCTTGAAGTAGACAATGGTCCTTTTGTTCAATTCACCTGCTGTCGTGAACAATCACGAGAAGTTGAAAAGGTAAGATGGCATTACAATTCTGTAGGAATTGATTCTAGAATAAATCATTAAATCATTTTTATACTCTTTTTCTATTGTGCCGTGATTCTCAGAAAGTTCATGAAAATAACAGTTACCTTGGCAGCAGATAGTTAGAAAATTGCTCCCTGTTAATTACCACAGTGAATGCCTCAAGCATGAAGACCATCTTTTATTCTCAGATGTCACGGTCAACAGTCTGTCCAGTGAACCATTAGGTCTCTATCCTTTTGCTTTCGAGCTGTTAAGAAGTCCGCACAAGCTGTCTTACGTCATTTACAGCCAAGCTCTGAGACAGGTAAACGTAGCTCGTCGATGGTAGACTATGCATCTATTACTTTTCAGTTTTTCAACTTACGAACTTCTCCTTTCAAAAGCAATTTCTAAGAGAAGTACATTTCCAAGCTTTGGTAAGTCTTTACTCACTGTTATTTTTGCGGCTTGCTCAACCAAGAGAGGTGCAAGTACAATTGGCCTGGATGGCGAAGGGAGCCGCTCATGGCGTGTCCTCTACTGTTATTTTAGATTGCTTAGATTTAGTCAGCGATGATTTAAGCATTCAGAACTTTTTAAGGAACAATGGATAGGATGACTGAGATTGCGGTCTACCACTTTGTGAAGAGTGCGGAAATGAAAGGAATCTTATTTGCTCTCTAACTTTTGCAACTTAACGACTGTTTTGCTCTTCCGTTGCTCTTCCATCTTTCGTTGAGACAAACTGTGACCAAGACTGTAGTGTTCAGATTGACTGATTTTAGAGCAAATGCTATAATCCACGCATTGTTGGTAGGAATTATGGGAGCGAGGGATGAGACTTTTCTTCGGATTAAAAGATACCTTCCCAAATAAAAGACATGAATTCACTAAATTGGAAGAAAGAGCAACTAGTAAGACAGTTTAATGTTTTGTTTCCTTTTCCAAGCCAAAATACCTGCCACTCCATCGTTTTTCAATTTCAGTTTCGTTTAACACGAAAGGAAGTTTAATCAAATGCATAGAATATTCGAAGAGATTGATCAAAA